TATGATTTTATGCTACCATTTTACTTCACTTCTTTCATCTACTTTCCGACGTTTTTACAGGATTTTCATTCGTCTACTTTGTGTCGGAGCAGTAACAAGACGACAACATAAAATCCATAGACAACAATCCTAGGACGGTCCTCGGCTGGTGAACAAATAACAATCCCCTAATTCGGTTGCCAATATGCTTACTATGTAAGTCTTTTCTCCTTCATTCGAGTTAAGCAATTCGATTGAGGTTCTTTCTCAACGTTCTCGGCACTAATCATTGATATCAGGTTGCGAGCTGGCTCTCGGAGCGATGACGGCTCTGATACTACCGAGGAGATCGTAAGAGACGGATACCCGTATTATTTTAAGAAAAATAATGGTCGCATGGTGATGGCAAGAAAGATTTCTACAAATCGTGGAAAGAAGAATTTTAGTTTGCTAGGTCAAGCTTTCGGAATTCGCGAGCCAAAGAGAAAAACTTCTATAGAAGCCTTGAGGAAGAAGAAGAAACTGGCGCGTTTTCCTATCCCACGACCTCCTTATTCGACAGCGCACCCACCACAACACTTTCCCGCTTTTGCACCACCACCAATTCCTTATGCACCAAACATCCCTCAACAGCCCTTTCCGAATCCCAATTTCTTTGCTCAAACAGCCCCTGGATTTCCTCCTTTCTACCCTGTTCCTGGATTCCCCGCTGCTCCCGCACCTGTGCCGGCATCGACAACAGCACAACAACCCATGCGATTCGCGTTTCCACCAAAAGCATCAAAGGCCCCAGATTTTGAAGAACTTCGAAAAGTAGAATCCGATTTTCTTAATCGAGCGAAGTCAAAGTCCAAAAGAGACGGAAAAAATGATGGCCATACAGAGATCAAGACAACCACAACGACCGTCATCACCAAGCATATCTGTGTCAGCTGCCAAAGAGATCGTTCTTCTAAATACCATCTTGATAATCCAATCAAGGCTGGTGAGACTCCTACTCCTGGGTTTTGTCGCAGGTGTCGCAGAAACGCTATCTCTACTAGTGGCTCAAGTAGCAATGATAGTGATGACAGTGATTCAAGGATTCATGCGTACGGAGGAAGAGGAAGAAGAAGAAGAAGAACAAAGGAGAGATGTTCAAAAGTGAGTTAATTTGCTCAGTGATTTTGTAGATTCCCTCATTAACATTTTTAAGAAGAATTACACACGCAAATCTGTGTCTCGAGTTCGTTCAATTGAATTTTCAAGCCGAAATGACGAGAGGAGAGACGATGCTCACTCTAACGACGATCGGCATGAAGTCATCGTTGAAGAAGAGGTTACACGCGAACGCGAAACCGCACCCAAAGATCCAGCTCGACGAAGTGAGAACAACTCGAGACACTCAACATCCAGAAGCTACACTCGTACTCTTGAAAGAGATCTCGTTGATGAAGACTCTGCTACTAGAGGAGAGCCAAAGGTGAGAATCAATATCACAAATCGATCCCTATCGGCCAGTCCACCATCAATCGTTGATGAAACCCGAGAAAAGTCAGTCCGCTTTGATCAGCAGGCGAGGAAAGTAAATGCTACTTCTCAAGCCGCCTCTCGACAAGATCTTCATAAATCATACAGATACGTTGAGCCGCTTCACTCAGCTGCTCGTTGCGAATCTCCGCCAATATCTGCTCGTTTCTCGAAAGAGTCTCTTCCAAGCTTACGTACGAAAGATCATGCTCAACGGAGACGTTCTGAGCGTGCATATCCTGAGCATGCTTATGATCATGATGATCATGAGCAAGTACATGAACACGTTCCTCGTCGTCGCTCCGATAAAGATATTATCGTGGTTGAAACTGAACACGAACAGCCTGAATTTCGAACTGGGCCAAGAAACATGCCTCGCCGTCGCCCGCGCTCCTCTGACGAAGACTTTATCGTTGTCGAGACCGAACATGAATTTCCCAGATCTCGAACTGGATCTAGACATGATCTAAGGAGACCACAGGAGAGACTTCGCAGCCCTCCACGTACCCCCATCAGGACTCGAGAAACATATATTACTTCTAAAATTGATCAGCATGGCAATGAGACGCAGTATAAATGGACTACTACAAGCCGAACGAGTTCAAGCTTAAGCTCTCTGAGGAGTTTCGAGCCGAGTATTCGGCGTGCATCTTCAGACATCTATCATCCTTCAACTATTCGTCGTTCTTCAGATTCTAGCGAAGAGTTTAATAGAGCTTGTAAGTCCCAGGTTATCTATTCTATGACATCTGCAACCAACGTGACTAACTCTATCCAGATGAAATGGCTCATCAGAATTTACCAAACCCAGGACTTCGTCGTCGTCAACGTAGCTCATTCAAAAGTTATGGAAGATTTATGGATGGCATCAAGACACCTCCTCGAGCACCAGACCCACCAACTCTGGACGGTAATTGGGACCCTAGATATGTGCCCATAAGTAGAGATCGTTCAACTTCTCAGAGCAATTTACCTAAAGTTCCTCAACATCAAAGCACTCCTCGAAAAAAACAGGCATGGATGAATGCATCGACAATCGATCAGCTTGATCAGCTTGATCAATGCTTGGAACAGAATCGAAAACTACGGGTCCATTCTCGATCATCTGATTCTCAATCCTCCGGCTCAATGGTCACTCAATCCGATTCTTTCACAACAACATCAACATCAGCAGGCTTATATGAATTTAGTGCTTCGGATTCTACACGTTTATCCATGGTCCCTCAACCAGTTTCTGTTCGCGACACCACAGACAGTGGGAATGAAGTTGAATCCACTCTTGCCACACCAAGTACAAAGGCAATTCTCAAAAAGAAGCCAATTATTGAACCTAGCCGTCGTCGTTATGAACGTGCTGAAATTACGAATTCCAAAGTCAACGACAACAGCCATGCTGTCCGTTCCACTTCCCAAAAGTACAGGGATCAAATTGGAAGCTATACAGCCTATGTTGAGTATGGCAATGCAGCAGTGATTGGCACTGAAACAAACCGTTTTAACGCCAACAATCGCACTCGAGATGTTGCAGGCAAAGATTATAATGCTACCATCATTGATGACGCTACTGATCTCACTCTCCGAACAGCTCGTTCCAAGGCTGCTGTGCTTGATCGTGTCAAGCTTCGACGCCGAGTATCTTTTCAAGAGAAGCCTGAGTATTCGGCTACTCCTAAGCCATCTAGAGAAAATTCTTGGGCCGAGACTACCAACCATGATGCGGAGCAATCATATGGTGGCAATACCTATACCAATGATCAATCTTGGGATGCCAATGCAGATCAATCCTATAGTGCTACTAGTAACGGCTATCAATCATGGGGAGGCCAAGCGACCGAAGATTACTCTCGGGGTACCAGTACCAAGACCACCGGCAACAGTTTCTGGTCAAGTCCTACAGATACCGAAACCGTCCTTCCAAACATAGGCGGCTACAGTGGTGGCGCTGGTGCGAAATGTAATCCCTTAGATTTCAGCGGGGGTGGTTATGCATCTACTCCTACACCCAAGTCCAAATCTGGTACGGGAGGGAATGGTAATACTGATGGTGATGGCAGTAATAAGAATAAGAAGGAAGCTGATGATGACGATGATAATGATGGCTGGGGTCCCATCCCTACATTTTCCTCTCTCAAACTTTGAGCTCTTCCCAGCATTTCTCCGTCCGCTTACTTCCAATGTTACTTTAGCAATGGGTCAAGCACTTTTCATTTCAAGACACTACACCACAGGCAGATGGTTCGGCAACTTAGGAATCGGTCAACGGCGCACGACTATTACTCATACTATGCTACCTATGCATACACTTGTTTACAAAAGATATACAAACAAAAGATTTTTGGATGTGTAATTGTTCACTATCAATCAATCACTCACATTCTTTTGATTTTTCTCGAGTTTTCTTTCATTTTTTCCTCTTTGCTTTAAATTTTTTCCTCTTCTTTTTCTTTCTTTGGTTTAGTTTTCGTCGGCTTAGGTTCTAATTTGAATAGAGATAGGAAGGCCGGCTTTGAAGGAGTTACATCTGTGGTCGAATTTGATTTTCATTCGTCGTTCACACGAAGTTGACGGAGTTGGTTTTCTATTTCTTTGCTTGATCTCGTTTTCTCTCTCTCGCTCAAATTGAACGGATACATGCAATCAAGACATGGGAACACAGTACCAGTACCAACACTACAGACTACAGATTACAAGAACCCGTCGCTCATTACATCCAGCATTCCACGAGAGATCTCGATCGGGGATATGATGGGATGCGTGGGGGATACTTTATGGGAGGACTTACTTACTTCGTTACTTGACTTACACTCTGGGATGCGTAAAGTGTCAAGATACACTTATGGGATACACTTATGGGATACACTTATGGGTCAATGACTAGGAATATGGATACACAGACTTGGGGATTTCTACAATGCATGCATGCAGTACTGCTGGCAGATGGCTGTTATGACTTAGGTTATTTTAATAATTGCTACAATACGATTCGCTTAGGAAGGAACTTTGTGGTATGAACTGAGATAGAAAAGTAGAAAAATAGAAAAATACTAATAAAAAAGGATTAAAATGATGTGCTTTCAGTATCAATGTTTGCATTATATCGTGTGAGTGAGCTACATCTGTAGGTAGTGTGAGGAACCTTGAGAAATACTAGATGGAATATACATCGGTGAGCATACCCATTTCTTTTGCAACGATTCCGGAGTTTGTTGATGTGTAAGTTTGCTAAGATACACCCAAATTGTCTCTGCAGGATTCAAACAAAACAATCCCCTTTAGCACATATGTCACAACAAAACTCTAGCAAACGCCAATATGAACATACTATCTACATTCCATTCCACAGAAAAGATGACACGTCTTCTCTTTAAATCTAGATTTATATATCTCATAAATCTCATTTCTTTCAATGCTCCAAGACCTGTGCAGAATATCTTTACAAGATCCACAGATGAGAGAAACTTTACAAGTGAACTCCAATAGATATAGATATTTAGAAATCCTCGATATTGGTGTTAGCACCTAGCAAATCCGTCCGCGAAATCTTCAACATCGATATCCATCCCCAGCCAACCAAACCACTCATTCTCTGTGTTTACCATATCTTCGATATCTTCTGATATATTGAATAGTTCTGATAAGGTATCGGGAGTGGCTCTCAGCGTTATATCTTCTGATGCGTGCTCGATAGGGGGCTTGGGTGAGGGTGTCGTTACATTGATCCAATCTTCAATGTCTGTATCAATATCAGCATCCATCCCTAGCCACCCAAACCATTCATTCTCCATTTTCATGATTTCTTCGACTTCTTCCGACGGGAACAAAAGCTGTGATAGCATTTCGGGAATAGAACTGGGCTAGCTATCTTTCGATGTATCCTCAAATATTGCGTCTCTAGTCTTTGTGCCGTACCGCCTCGCATTGTCTAAAATAACTCCGATATTTTGAGGTATTGAAACTAGCTTTGCAATGTCCTCCTGGTCTCCATGTTCAATAACAGTATCGATTTCCATGTCCAAGTTCTCCGGTAGAAACCCAGCATCTTTCAGCACTGGAAGGAGTTCCCCGTCTTGCGCTCCTTCCATAGCGTGATTTCCTTGCTCATCAAGTTGTAATACTTCTCGACTTTCATTCCTGAGCACGGAAGAACTGTTATGCCAAGGCTTTTGAGGAGCAGCGGGTGCGTATAATGATGAACCTTGATCTGAAAGTGCGGCTCGTTTTTTCACTATCTCCAAATGTGTCTTCTCCGAGACATCGCAAATCTTGGTAGGCACACTCCTTGACTTAGTATTCTCTATTGACAATCTGATCCGTTCCGATACCGAAAGCTCTTGCTCCTGTTCCCTCTTTTCCACCAACTCAACGTTATCTAGTGCTGATAATCTTTGTCTTCGCTCCTTCTCCCTCTGTAATAACACTCTGATTTCATCTGGTATTGAAGTGCTCGGTTCTCGCTCTTTCTCCGATGTAGTATATTTCCCCTACTGAAGTGAGGTTGCAGCATTGTTCTCACGACTTCTACAAATCATTGTGGGATTTTTTTGCGTAGGCTGAGGAGGGGATGCTGCGATTCCATATAATTTCTGTCGATCCAATGCACTTTGCTATGTATGTGCTCTCATCTTATCCCTCTGCTCGCGCAGCCTGACTTGATATGTTTTTGGGCTCTTGGTGATATGCTGATTTGAATCCTTTTTCTGCGGGCTGGCTCCAGAACCAAGATTCTCGCTTCCCATGATTTCGGGAGTTTTCTGTCTATTTTCATCTTCCTGGATGTTAAGAGGATTAAAGATTTTAGCTTCGGAGTTACCATCTCGGAGAGTTCGAATAAAGTTCTCTATCACGTTTTGCCGAGAAGGAGACACAGGAAGTAGACCCTGTGCTTGCAGCAAAGCTTTGCGTGCAATTATTCTCTTGCGTAGATCAGCGATTTGTTTCAGACGATCTTGCTGTAGAGTAAGCCCCTCAGAACTAAATCGCCCCATAGTCATTTCTCTACCCGCTTTCTGCCCTCTTACTTCCAGCTGGTTGTTATTTGACTTGGGGCGAAGAGCTACGCTATCATGCTGCGAAACTGTTCGATTGAATTGCTCCTGTAAAGGTTGCGGAGGAAGAGGAACAGGAAGTAGTCCATGAATTTGTAGCGAAGCTTGACGTTCTGCTGCCTTCTTTCTTTGCTTACTTCGATTTGATTTTTTTCGTCTTGTACGCGAGAGGCTTTCTGAAACGAGATTCTCTTCGTGTATGTCCACATTCGTATCCCAATAAACATCGCCATAGATATCCCCGTACGCGTCCCCATATATACCATTATGGATAGCCTGCTCTTTTTCTTCTTCTGTCCAGCCACTTGTCTCAGGAGCCACAGGTTCCTGCCGATTATTACAAATTGAGTCCTGGGACAACGGCGAAGGTGTGGAAGATACAAGAGGTAATTCTTCTTGAACATTTCGTGTACAGGCCGCTCCTTCCACGCTTCCCATACACTGCTTCCGCGCTTTTCCCCTCTTCATACTCTCCTCCCATATTTCTATTTTGGCAAGGCGCTCTGATTTATCCTTGGCTTCAAATTTAGCGAGCTTGAATGCTTTGAAATTAGGGATTTGTGGCGACCCTTCAATCAACTCTTCTTCCTCCCATCCTTCTTCTCTCATCCATAATATTTAAGTCCTCCAGAGACACATGGATCCTAAGCAATATGTATTGAGTAACAACAGATTTGTGTATTTTACGTTAGAAGCACTTACATTGATATTATGGATATCTTCCATTTTGGTATCCATATTGTGAGATATCAATGTTGATTACAGGATTTTGGTGAGAAGTAAACAAATAGAACGCGATTTGGTATTTTGCGTAGGTTTCGATTAATGTATGAAAATGAATGAAGGTGAAAGGAAAATAAGGTTATGCAACCAGGAGGTAGGCACTTCCTTCCTTCTTTCCAAGGCTCCTTCTGCACTTGAACACAAACAACTTTTACACAACGAAACACCGCACTGGACCAATTCTTGCGGGTTATGAAATATTCAATGTTCCAATTTAGGAATTCAAGTTCAACTGTTGAGTGATCTCTTGGGGTCTAAAGTAACTTTTACGAATCATGGAGTGCCTGGGCAATGGAATCGACATTTGATCGTTTGTTCATATATTCCATGTTTCAGCCCGCAACTACCTACCTCGAATTGCTCATCCACACGTGCATAGGTAGTCATCAAATGTGACGTTCCCATAACTCGTAGGATATACATACCGAGAGGTACCTCTCAGAGATAAAATCACCGAGTATCTTACAACGATACCAAAAGAAAGATGATGCTGATCTATTAGAGATCTGTTCGTGTGTATTGAGCCTCATTTTATGATGCGAGCTTGGTAGTTTAAGCTGCACAACAGGCAATCATTATTAAGATGCACCAGAGTTGGTTGTGCTTTCAAATGTTTGGTAGATGGATGATTGTTCTCTCCGTTGAGTGCTTTTTGGGTCTGAATATTGGGAAAATATACCCTTGTACCTGTTAACTTGAGCTCGCTATCTTTTGATTATCTTGATGAGCTTTGGCGAGACAGATAGTACGAATAAGTTTTCCAACTAGTGTTGCATATTCGTACTCCAACTCGAAAGTAATCATTACTACCATTCTCCTTACCAGAACGATGATGCTATCCGTATCTATAATCTCACACTGTCGGCTTCCGATCATCTTACATGCCAGAACATCTTGGCAAATACCAGACAGCTGGCTTTCTACCGGTATCCCAGTACTGATATTTCACTGGAAACACCAATTGAGATGTTGACGCGAAAAAGGAACTTCATCTTCGGCGCATTCATTTTCTTTCATTCGTGATATCTCGTAAGAGCGAACGCTTCTTGAAACCCTTGAATTAAGCTTTCTCTTCGATACACCATTCTCTCTTTCCACTCACCATATCCACATATGGAAATTTTGACGAAGAAATATAGCCAGTCCAACAACAAATAACGTCGACCTTGGAGCAGCTCTTCAAATCACGTGAGTTGGCAAAATTGGTCAGGCTCCAAGACCTCGTATTCGCCACTGATGCAGAACTAGTCGTTCTTCCGAAACATTGATGGACATTCGTAGATATTGTAAATGCAAGACACAGTGCGGAGGATGTGTTACAGTAGTGTGTGTGACTACGAGAAAGACCCCTCAAAGATCTGTGTTGAACCTCTTGATGATGCAATTATTGCGGAGTTTGATGGATCTATGTTTGAGAAAGAAAAGACTCCGCAAAAACAATCTTCTTTGGTGGTGAGTGGTCGGTGATTTTTAAGAATGTTGTTGTCAAATTTCTTAGAGCAACGAAGCAAATTCAATAATCAAGCCTTTTTGTGATACGCCGGACTACCGCTATGGCTTTAGTTATTGCTAGACAGGAAGGAAAGAAACCTTAATAATGAATCATGATAGGTAGCTAAAAATTACCGCATGGAACCTTTTGGAAAGCGCTCAAACTTTATATCAAATCTTATTTCAATCTCGAGCCGCGAGGTTCATTAGTTGAAACTTCTATAACATTTTAGACTTTGCACAGTTTTTGGATCCGAGTATCGAATCATTATTGACTGAATCTATCTACGGAGTATAAAAGGGACACCCCTTTCGATCTAGGCGACTTGTCAACGAATGGAGACGGGTCGAGAATCGAGATGAGAGCCCGAATTGATTGTTAAGAATTCACCAAGTGTTGACGTTATTTTTGGATATGGAGATGGATATGGATAGGTATTATGAACTACTCCTTTTCCGGAGCTGGATGTCCTTGGGGACGGAAAAAAAGACAACAAAACGCCACGATCTTACATTTTCCTACAAACCACAACAAATTTCCTTGGGAATGTGGAGGAATGCGATATATCAGAAAATCAACGGCTAACTGGATGAGATAATTGGTAGTTATGCCAACCTTTTTGAATGTCTCCTCATGTATAGTGGAATATGTGTGGGCTGAAGTCCGAAGTGAAGGGTAATAATCAAGTGAAGAGTGAAAGTAATAAGTGGGTGAGGGAAGTGAAGTGAAGTGAAGTGAAGTGAAGAAGTGAAGTGAAGTGAAGAAGTGAAGGGAGTGAAGAAAAGAAGGAACGGAATCTCAATTGATGATTGGTTCAATTGGATCAATAGCCCCCTGAGCCAATTTTTCCCCGTATTTTTCCAATTTCACTAACCATCGAGCTCATGCATATAACCATGTCGAAAGAACTCAATTAAAGTAAGCTAAGCCAATACGAGTATGATATAGGAGTACGTGAGAGCTTAGCGTGGAAGACTAGAGTGAAATAAAATGAGCATAAGCATTATTATCCTTGTCCACCTATCGATTCCCCTGTTGATCATCAAATAAACACAACCCTGCCCCGCCTGTCTGCCTACCATAGTACCCGTTAGCAGTACCATAATAAAATAAGCATGACAATAAGAAGAGCAATCAACCCATCTTCCAGCCAATTTCCGTTCCTTCCCAATTCCTTCATCTTCATCTTCATCTTCGTTCTTGCTTCAAACAAAAAGACTATCATTTCCTCTCATTATATATATTCCTTCTTGGATATTCACTGTCGTTCATCAACAACAACACCATTCATCAAATTATCATATAATCTTACTCTTCGGACATTCCGTAAGTGCATTCACGCGCAAAGTAAGTAATAAATATCCACCCCCATCACTCAATCTTTCATCGACACTTCGAATTCGACCTTGTTATATACCTGGTCAATCCTTATAACCAACAAACTGACCGGTTTCTTCTCTACGCATAGTCTTTTACAGTCAATCAATCGTCTTCAAGAACATCCCAATAATCAAAATGCAATTCAGCACTCTCTTCCTCGCCGCTGCAGCAGCAACTCTTGCCAGCGCTGTCAAATTGACCAACTCCAACTTCGCCGTCACCGCCGGAACTCCTTTCAACATCACTTGGTCAGATGCCGAGGGACCCGTCACTCTTGTTCTCAAGAATGGCCCATCCACTGCTCTCACCACCGTCTCCACCATCGGAAGTGGATTGACCGGAACATCCTACTCCTGGACTCCATCATCCAGCCTTGACACCGATCTCTATGCCATTGAGATCCAAGATTCCACCAGCACACCAAACTACAGTCAACAATTCCAAGTTTCAGGTGCTACTGCCGTTGCTTCAACTGTTACTGCTTCTTCCACAAGTGCTTCTTCCGCTTCAGGATCTTCTACTTCTGGCACTTCCACAGAATCTTCCACTGGTTCCTCCACTGGTACTTCCACTGGTTCTTCCACTGCCTCTTCTACTGGCTCTTCTACTTCAAACGGTACCTCAACTTCTGCTTCTTCTTCTCCTACTGCTAGCGGCAACAGCAGCACCACTCTCAGCGGTTCTAGCTCTGCCTCAAGAACCAGTATGTTTCCTTTGAATTGACTTGAACAATGAATTGTAACTAACAAACCATAGGCGCATCCTCATCCAGAACTGCCTCATCCAGCTCCACCGGTGGCACTGCATCAGCAACCTCCGCCCCAACCTCAGCAGCTGCTGAGTTTGCTTCCCCACTCGCATTCATCTTCCTTGCATTTGCAGCCATCGTTACCCTTAATTAAGAATACAATTTCCAAGTTATGGATGCATGATTTTTACTTCGTACCCGATTACTTTCGATTTCAATTCAAATTGTCGAAAGTTTTATTTTAATTCCTATAATGTACTTTACGCATGAACGATGATGGTTTGGAGGTTTAATTTTTTGTGATGGTTTCTTGGTGAAGAAAGGAAGACAGCATGAATGAATGGGTATGGTCATGAGGATTCTTGATTCTTTCTTTTACATTGAGAATACATCATGTATGATTGGTTCGAAAAGACAAAGCGTTTAAAAAGGCGTTTATTTCCGTTTTTCTTCTACAGTTGCGGATTATTGAATTTTGAGAAAGAGGAGTAGAGTTTACACAGCGGCTAGAGAGAGTTGAATTGTGATTTGAGACTACGGGTTTCGAAGACGATAAATTAATGGAATAGAAATATTCATCCACACAACCATAATTTCACTCGATTGATATTAATCATGACTCGTGAATTTTGATTGATCTGACATCATTTTTACCCAGCATTGCGAAATGACATATTTGAGCCTCCAAAAAGTAAGCTTACACAATAGTCTCACAACAGGCTCATCAGTCAGTGGTTATCCAAGATCTATCTATCTGTATGCTGGGATTGAGATTGGTGTTGAGATCTCCCTCGTGCTCATGTGATGCGATGCGATGCGATGCGCGTGAATGCTTATGGGTGATTGAGTCATGGATGGATGGATGGATGGATGCTCGTGTCTGCAGATGCGGATGCAGATGCACGGCGCAGGATCTTGGGATTGATTGATTGTTTGTACGACGTTGGGTGTGTGGTTGGTCGTGTAGATGTAGATGTAGGAGGCGGAGTGCAGAATACTATATGCAGTGTCGAGGTTGGCCTGGCTGTGTTACGGGTTGGGGTTTATGGGTTGGGGTGTATTTATGGGTTGGATATGTGTTGATAGGTGGGAGTTTATGGAGTACATGACTGATTGACTGATTGACTGACTAATGGTTGAGTTGATGATGATTTATTGAATGGATGGATGGGTAGGTGGGTAGGTGGAGAGGTGGAGAGGTGGAAAGGTTTGTATTGATTTGAATGTAAGTAAGATCTTAGTTCGTGAGTGTATGTTCTAGAATGTCGAATGTCAAATGTAGAATTTGTAGGGAAGTAGGAGGGGAAATGAGGGGCAGTGCTTGGGCTGAATGGATTGGATGAGTTGGATAGGGGGATACCGATAGATGGTTTGCCGATCCTCGAGTTGAGAGGTAGCTACTGAGGTACCTAGGTAGGACAAGATGGCAGATGGCCCGATCAACAATACACAAATAGAGACTCGTACATGGGTCGACAAATCAACAAACAAACCTCCAGCTTTGTGTTGTGCATTCCACGAGGTCGCATTCCGGGGGATATCGATGGGAGAGATGGGGAAGGATACCCTTGGTTGAAGATCCTTGCTACGACAACTTTGTTGGAATGTATACACGAATCAATGAACCGACGAGTCAATGAATGAATGAATGAATGGATGGATACATACATGATGAATCAGCAGATATCAAACTTAAAATTCCGAGGTTCGGGCCGGTTTGGAACTGGGTAATGTGATATAAGTAATTTTGATATAAGATAGTATTTATCATAATGGGAAATCCAGGAGAACGCTTGGGAGTTGGAAATTGGATTTCGAGAATGAAGAGAAGGAAGAGGATAGAGAAGAATGGGATTAAAAGGGAATGGAATGCTTGGAATTTGGATTTTTGAATACTTGAATACTTGAATACTACAATAAATACTCCATCTAACCCTACCGAGATTTCAATAACCAGATAGAAACCCGATCGTCAAATCAATACACACTCTACTGCATAAATACCTAATCAATTCGACCCAATGAACAACTCAACTCTAAATCTGAACCTGAATCTAAACCTGAATCTAAATCCGAATTTCAATCACTAATTAACCATCTACGCTAACGAGTCTATCTAACATCATTTTATACATCATCATCATCACCACCACCAACTCCAGACTCGGTATCTACCCATTGGTACTTAATACTAAATGATTATCTCCCTACTTATCTGTCTACTTCTTACAACCTAGTATCGATCTTCCTACCCACCTACCCACCTACCCAGACAGTAGTACAGTAACCAAACCTTCAAATCCACAACTCCAAGCTCCTGCAACTATCATTGAAATCAAATAGACCTCGTAAGTGAGTGAAATACATATCATATCATATCATATCACCTCTCCTCTCCTCTCTTCCCTCCCCTCCCCTCCCCAGCACACCCACCCCAAAACCCAGAACTCAGAATTCAATTGATTTTCCCTACCAAAAACCCTTTCCAAAACCTCACCCATCTTCTACCTGCTTCTCAATCGGCCAATCAATCAATCAATCAATCAATCAACCAACCAGTGATCTCGGCTCGCTCGGTTACAATACAACATCCACGATGATATATTTTTACAAGGTACTCTATTAAAGTTTTCCGCTCACGATTCATCATTCATCTCGGTTGCGATTTTCCAGCTCAATCATCGTAAAAGTGATACCGCGTAGGTAATTATAAGAATTGTTACAGGCGATCCATATAAAATACTCGTATAATATATGAGATGTAAGAAAAAATCATTACTAGTTGCTTCTCCGTATTTGGTTTGAGTGTCAGCTCAAATTTGATGTAGTGGTATGTACCTACTTAAAAGGCCATAGACTGCAAGAAATAGGGGAACTACTCGGTAAGAAAATAGTTTCTCTGCTAACAACCAATGAGGTATAGGGCCGCACTTATGAATAGCGTTAACTACTAACAATGTAAACTAGAGGGAAAGCCAAAGGGAGAGCTGAATATACTAAGAAGCTAGCTAATTCACAGTTTACCTCATCAATCATTTATTTAATATGTTTTTGTATTTTCTCGGATAATCTGAACTATATTTTTCTCTACTACAGTGTACCGAGTTCGCCCATGATACATATCATTCATATTCCCATTCATATCAGCAACCTGCAAATCCAGCCCAATCTGACCCTGTCTTTCCGCGATCCGACTGGTATTCATTCCACCCAATATCATTCATTCATCCCTCCCATACATCCATCTATTATAATGGCAAATTATCCACCCCACTCTCTTAAAGCATCCAAATAAGTTTTTGACCACATCTAAACCTCACACCAGAAGAAATATTAGCTCGTATGTAAACAAGCAAAGAAGTAAAGCAATTCAGCTAAGGAAGCAAACAAATAGTAAAAAGAGAAAAGAAAACAAAAGCTAAGCCAAAGCAGATAGAAAACTCTCGTGTGGTATGTGTAAGCAAAAGATGATAGTACAAAAGGAAAAAATAGGTCTCGTGTTCATAAGAGTACAAAAGGTTGTGTTAGAAAAATATCCCGTCTAGGTGACCCTAAGGAAGTGTTGTGGAGTTGGATTGCCAAAAAGCAATCGAGATCAGATGTCTACAGATTGTGTCCTTTGACGTTTCAACTCCTTGGCTAATTTTTGCTCCTCAATCATCTTTTTGGTGCGCTCCTCAATAAAGGCAGTTTCGAGCATGGTACATACTCTGTCAACCTTTGCAATATGATCTTCTTCTTTGTACAGGAAGAATTTCGACTCGTGGCGATTATATTTACCCATACCCCAGAAACAGTCGAATTTGAGTTTCAAGAACATGTTCTTTGTCGTACTAATCGTGATAATGTCGCCATTACGAATTTCCCCCCAGAACTTCGATTCAGCCAATGTCTCACTGATATTATGACTTGGAAGTTTATGGCCATTGATCTTGAGACCCGCCGAGGACTTGGTAGAGATCAAGAACCTGAAGCCTTGCTCTTCTTCTTCACTATGGCTCTTATTCCATACTTCCGTATACTTTTCACCGGAGTGATAGAAGTCATTTTTGAATAGTATCAGCTTGAATGCGTATCTAGGAACACCTATTCGGACATCTTCACGAGTTGCATAACGGATAGTGTTGGAGAAGCCGCGGCCCCAAGATGTGAATGCTTCCGTAATATTGAAAGCAATGGTTGGTAAACAAGAATCTGGAGTTGCAGAAAACTTTGCAAGCACGCGCTTAGGGACCTGAAAATCATCTGCTGCAGATGCATCGATTTTTGGGATTGTAGCTGATGTACCTTCCGTCGCGGCTTCAATAGAAGAAATTATTTCATCATCATTTGTCGCGTCTATCTTGACTGGTGAAGAAGGTTCTGAGTTCTGAGCTACTTCAGGCACAAGGGCATCGGTGGTGACGGACAAATTTTCCTTAGAAGCTATGCTCTGTTGAACAGAAGCGTCGTCGCTGAGCCTTCGTTCATCGCGCGCCAATGGTAAATATCGTTTTGTTCCTTCAACTAAAGGTTCAGATTGAGCTCGAAACGATACATTCGAGCCAATCGAAGGAGTTTTGCTATTGCTTCTGAAGCTAACCATTACATTCTCAAATATTGTACAGCCATGCTGAAATTTCTCTCCTTTGGATTTGGCAAGCTCAACATATCGATTCCAATCCGCTGCTGACATCGGTGGATAATGTTCATGATGAGTTGACTTATCTCTAGGATTCCAAAATGTTTCTGGGGGTACCATGACATCAATTGTTCGCGCAGACTTTCGGCGTTTTTGCGGTGGAAGCTCCTCAGGTTGCCAGCCACCAACCTCTCGAGGTCTTCGAAGACTAACATTGGCAGCCTGAGCATGCGATAGAGTTGACAAATGGGGAGTTATAATTTTGGTTGGCGAAATCAAGGGAGAATTCATCTGTAGATGACCTAGTTGAGATACAGCACCCAAAAGGCTCGAGTGGTTTTGAGCATGTCCATTTTCAAAAAAGTTCGCAGCTGGAGTCACAAAGCGAGGGTGAGGTGGAGGTGGAGGTGGAGGTGGCAGCGGTGTCTTTGGCATGGCGCTCGCAGTTTCAAGACGACTCCTGAATTTTGCGACTGGAAGTGTGTCGTCTTGTTTCAAAACCTGCTGATGTTTATTATTTCCGATGTGCTGGATGGGAGTTGGGAGATCCACTGGAACAGCCCCAGAACTTCCCAAGGCAGAAGAATTTACATTAACTTCGCCAAACAAGCGACCGGTGTTTGCAGGATTCCGGATGAACTCATAGCTTTCGTCTCCTTCGATTGGTTCGGCGGTTGTGAATTCTGTTCCCGTACCAAAGTCACTCGGAATTGAGCTTGCGAGCTCCAAAGCTCTCTCATCATCCGACTCGTTAGTACTGAAGCTGCCCGGCATCTCACGAGGTTGGAATTGAATCGTCTCGTCGCCGAAGTCGTCATTTTCACCATTTTTTTCGAGATCATCCAGCAAACTCAACTGAGAAGCGGGCACCTCAAGTTGTCCAACGTCTTCATCCTCTGTTTCATCAAGATCTGGGTCGTTTCCTGTCAACCAAGGACTCTGCTCTAGATCCTCGATGGTAGCACGATGCTCTGGATCGGTGTGAAGCATTTTTATGACAAACCTAATTGCATTAGGTGATACTCCACAACGTTGCAAGGGCCTAACATCCAAAGGCACTGTCATTATTCTTTGGAGTATTTGCGTATGATGCGAGGCAGCTCCAACGGGAAATGGCGGAGTTCCACAAAATGAATAAAAAAGCACACCAGCTAGCGACCAAACGTCGACAGCGTGATCATATCTCTGTTGTGTTGTTGAATCGGCACTGCGTCGATTGGTTCTTCGACCCGTACGATCATATTGGGGATATTCGTTATAAACTTCTGGCGCACAATATAGCAATGTGCCACAGAAAGTGTGCAGAAATGTGTCTTCTGTATCAATCATCTTTGACAGACCGAAATCGGTCAATTTAACATGGAGTGGATTTCGACTTTGGCAGAGAATGTTGTCAGGCTTGATATCGCGATGGGTGACATTTATCGAATGAAGATATTTCAATGCGCTAAGTAGTTGAATAGTCATACCCTTGACTGCATGTTCCGGAAGGAAATGGCACATTGTAACGAGGGATGTAAGGTCCCCTTCGGGAACAAACTCCATGATAATGTATAGATAGTCATCCCAGTCGATACATTCGACAAACGAAACCACATTATCCTGAAGCATGTGAGCGTGTGCATGAAATACCAAAGGGGCAAGAATGAACTTACATGATGAATCTTGCTCATGATCTTGATCTCCGAATCAATATTTTTAGCTCCATTCTTCAAGAACTTTTTCTTGTCAAGCTCCTTGGCAGCGAATGGAACTCCAGTTCGTTTATCAGTCACCCTATAAACAACAGCAAAAGCGCCTTTGCCAATCATATCGAGCTTGTTGTACTTCGAACCACCTCTCCATTCTCGCTTTCTAAAGATTGATGAAGACTCCGCACTACCTCGATTGGCAGCATTAGGGAAGAGATTGAGCTGAAATCTTTTAGCAGTTGTGCTTTCCATTAAAGGCAGAACAATTACTTACTGGCTGTCTATCCACACCACTCGCCACACGACGCCGAATTTGCCTTTCTTGAATTCGACGAACGTGAATGGCGAAGTTTGTTTCAAAAGCCTCTTGAGCTTCATCACTACGTCGGGGTATCCGAACAACAAAATTGATACTGAGGGCAACAGGCTTGTTTAAAGCAAGGGATATAATAGTCCCGTTTTCGATAGTTTGTCGATAAGGTTTCCCATTGTTTTTCTTCTTGAGTCGGAGTATAGTACCATCAACAGAGATACCATTAGTAGACATATCTTCTACCATGAGGAAGCCATGTTCATTGAGATAAATGCGGAAGTGTTGATTGCTTATCTGAGGAGGCGTGCCATCTCTTATCATAAAGTCGCATCGTTCCTCACTTCGACCAAAAATCCAGCCCAAATTTTCGTCTTTTAGATTGGCTGATAGTCGAAGTGCCAGGTCGCAGGGAACCTGACCTTCTGCTGTCAAGTAAGAATTACCACCTTCAAGGCTGATTGTATTCTTGGGGTGTAGTTTGTTGATTTCGGCACAAGCTTCGCGCGCCAGATCGGAATCAGGATGGAGAATGCAAACAATATCTGAAGCATCTTCGTCGGTCAAACCAGAATTTCTGTTAGCAAGGCGAATTGCTTCGTCGGTAGGTTGAGTAGCTTCGTAACCAGGATCATCAGTAATTGAGCTAAAAACAAACGCTGGAGTCTTGGGAGGAGGAGGATAAGTAGAAGGAATGAAGAAGGGTTCTTTACAGGGCTGGGTTGCATTTTCCTCCATTTTGAAAAGAGTGTGGAGAAAATGGTTGATTCAGCAGCAAAGTTGTTTTTAACAAACTTTGAGAAGAGGAGGAAGAAGAATCAATTGTCCAATGATGGTAGTATAGGTGAAGTATGCCGAGAACGTTTGCCAGGCAACGGTACTTTAAGAGGGGTATATCATCTAATGTAAACTTGCGTAAACCACACCAATTATTTCTTTCAAATCTTCAATATTGAATATCTTTCTCTGCCATGCAATTGAGTTCGTCTCTTTTATGGTATAAGGTGTCCAAGTGGTGAAAAGAAGAGGCAAGAATCAGGTTCCGATGCTTTCTCCAGCTTAGAGATGAAATGAAGGATAAAGATCAGATGAAAGGGTTTTAATGAATGACAAAACAACATAAATTCTTCTAATATTCACATAACCTCATGATATTCGCAGATAGTGAAGCTTGACTATGGTGATAATGAATGGTTCGTAGGTATTCTGAAGGTACTCGAACATTAGTAAACATCTCTCACAACAAACACATGAACATATCAATAACCTTACATAGCCTTACTCAAGACTCGCCTGCCCTTCGAGGGCCCACCAGTATTCCGTAGATCAATCGAGGATACTAACAAATCTTCATTCATTTATATGGATGGTTGGCTTATAAGATGGTTCATAAGGTCATGATAAGAAAAGTTCTAGACATTTTCCTTCCGTCGTTACATACCTCGAAGCTTTCGGAACGGATTAACTTATGTCATGGCGCGCTATACTAAAAATGATTTAGTGTCAGTGGGGGTTTTGGCTCGTGTCTCCTTTTTTTTCCAGGTCCCATCCACCATCTTCTCCAATTATATGCATTTCATCTATTACGTGCATTGCATCAGTTCCACACCATAATACAGCATTTTGCCGCGCATTTTCCCCATTCTTTATCAGAATTCGATCTTTTTTTTTTTAAGTTTGATTATATCTTCGAAATGCATTTTAGAAGTGGGGCGCCGTTAAGGTCTGAGGTTATTGTGGATGTCAGAATCTTATCTTCTACCCAAGATACACCCACCTTGTAACATATATCACGAGGCGCACAATGCGATCAGGTGTAAGTGTGAACGATAAGTATCAAATGATGCGCCTCGAGAATGTCATGGAAACCAGCATTGTTGCTTGTTCTTATTGAAGCTATTCGACTCATCAAGTAGAGTGACACAGTGTTTGAGACCTGTGACTCGATCGTTACTCATATCACACGAGATCTGTGTCTTGCCAAGTTTCCTCACATCCCACTACTTTGTTCGAGGACCCTTCACAGATTTTCGTGTGACAAAGGTAAAGGATGCTGAAATGAGCAGTCAAACCAGACGGAGTGTTTAATACACAACATCCTATCTCATCTATCTTCCTAACACGCATTAATTCTAAACCCATTGCCAGCACGAGTAGCAGTTGAAGACTTAAGCTTTTCCGAGGCTATGAAAAGCATGATATACTTCAAACTCAATTCACTCTGTCTATCTTTACCACTAATTGCCATTCCTGATTGAATTTATCTTTGTTGCTTCGCCCTTTTCACAGTTCCTTAATTTCTTTTCCAAGTCGACCCTCCACCGTCTTTGCTTTTCTAGAAGTTTATTTACGAGGACGTCGTCAAGGTCCACTTTCCTTTCATTATTCCTCATTCCCAGTTTCCCCAGCTCAACCGTCTCGATGTTTCCATCCTTATCTGTCCACGAACCGAAATTACTGCTCTTCACTTTACCTTGAACCGCCTCTACACAAAAATTCGCGCAATTCTCAAAAGCTGTTCTTCCAGCTTGATTCCACGGCATGAGAGCGAAGCAATGCGGCATACCCACGTGCCCATCAAATATGACTGTAACTCCGGCTTCGTGCAATCTACGCGCGAAAACCTCTGCTTCATCTTGCATACTCTCCCAACCTACACTTACGTAGACTGATGTTACACCACGCCAGTGCTCTCTCTTAGCCGCAAGCGGGCTGACGAGAGGATGAGTGACCATTGATGACTCGCAATAGGTCTCAACACGAGGTGATCGGGCTGGCCAGACTGAATCGTGAGGAAATCTGGGATGAGGCATTGTGCAATCTGATGAAGGTGGTGCTATCATATCGTACTGAATGTTCCTCAATACGGAAGGGAGGGATCGGGAAATATCAAGCCAAGGCGAAGTAATGGCAAGGCCAGCAACTTCGGTCGCATTGATTGGCACATTCACACCATGAAAACGAATATGGTCAATCCCCATGCGATTCAAAGTTGTAAATAGTAGCAAAAGCGACGTCGCTAATCCTGCCCCTGATGAGTCACCCGAGAAAATAATATTATTTGGAGGAATAGGTTCATGGAAAGAGCCAGGTGGAGGCGAGATCAATGATAGATAAGCGATGAACGCATCTAACAGTGCCGATGGAAATGGATCTTGGGGTGCCAGCCGATAGCGAACTGAAAAGCAACGGCCACCAGTTTGTTGAGCCAACGCAGATGTTGTCGGTCGATGGGTAACAGGATCCATGAGACTAGACGTTGAGTTCAGTTTGAGAAATGCAATATCATGATCTCCTTACCAGAAAGCTCCACCATGAAAATAAAGAATCGTGGGACTGTTCGGTGCCACTTCTTTCATCATCATCTCATACTGTTCACACTCAGATATATCTAGTCGGCGGGCAAAGGCTGAAACTCCACTACGATGGCCTGTCCACTCGGCTTCCACGTCGACGATTTCCGGCAATTCAAAAGCATTGTATTCCGTCCCAAGCTCTTTTATTGCTTTCACTAAAGCATGTTTAATACCATAGACTCTTTCGTTGTCATGGCTTTCATCTTGAGGTCTTGGTATTGTATACTTGGCAATCCACATTGGTCCCCATACTCCCCAGTCTATCTGAGATTGTCTTTGAGATTTCAAGATAGCTGCCGGTGTGCTAAGCATAGGTCTTGCAGTCACTACTATGACTTCAGTGATGACATCCTGGACTGAAGCATTTGGGGAACGAGAAAGCAATGCTAAAACGGCGGTTTTTATTACCAAAGGTAAATTAGGAATAACAGCCTTGGCAATTCCAAAAGGGCTAATATCCATTGTATAATGATAGGTAAATTAGGAAATTAGGAAATGAAGAGAATGGAGGAAAATGTTAGAGTTGTGGAAACATTTTTGGTTATCTTCAAGTTTCCGCTATGACGACATGACTTTTGGAACAATGTTGGTTTTGAAAGAAGGCTCGATGTATCAATAGTATTTGAGTGGTAAGTAAGCAGTAGTATACTTACTTCTTTTCTTTATTCGGGCTTGCTATTAGACGGTGATATACTTCAAGAATTCTAGGATCCAGAAGGAAATACATATCAAGAGCTACCCATTAGATAGAATAGCAATGAATACTAGTTAGATACCTAGCTACTTGGTTGCTTGGCCACTTTTGAAGACAGCTCAAGCTTAAGCAAGAGCCACGGAGTGACATGGACATATGAATCTCCACCGAACCACTTTTGTAAGCGAAGAAAGATATACCATAAATACCGTAAATACTACCTAACAAAAGAATAACCTTTAGGTAATTTTATAATCGATTGTTTCCATATTTACCCCATTTCCCCTGACTCATAAAAAGATCCAACAAAATGTCGTAAAGTCTTATAAGTTACTTGCATACATTTATTCCCTACAACCCACCTACCCCGTCCGTACTATCGTTTGTTCAAAGTTCAAACGCGTACCGAGTACTTTACTACTTCCAACCTCTTTCAACAAAAACAACTCATCCCAACCTAAATCGATCGATTATAAATCAAAACATTTCAGACTAAATATCTCAGCCAAGCAAATCATAATTATAGCCAATCATATTCAGATACTCCACCAATCATTGCCCCCTCGAGCCCCCACACAACTTCAAAGTTCCATTCCATTCAAACATCCCGACCTCCCGTATTTAGAAAGGAACAAACCCAAAATCACGGACAAAAGTAATCCGACTCCGCAGCCTCATATCTCCAACGCGCGCGGGCGCAAGCAATTCGCAATGCCCATCCTCAAGATTAAAATGCCTCATCCTACAGCGTCAACCTCAAATTCTCCTCCCTCTGCAGCGCCAACTCCCGCACATTACACATCGACTCAGACTCCCATTCAAGGAACTTCTCCTCCTTCGCATACTCACAAATCATCCAATTCGAGATCCGCTAGTCCCGAGCGTCCTCCTGTTTCTCCCATCACTCCTACATTGTCGGCCGCGAGGCTAGCTTCAAACTCCAATGTAAATACGAATGTGAACCTGGGAGTCGCCGTGAAAAATGGAACGGCGGGATTGGAATCGCAATCATCGGGTTACGCGCAACGAAATCATGTCGGAGGAAAGAATATCGCAATCATGAATAATACCATCGCAGCTCAGAATAGTAGTCCTCAGCAAATGCCAATCCATCCAGCCATGCAAGCGCAAGCCCATGCACTCAGAGAAACGTACGCCCATACACAACAAACGCCACAAGTATCGATGCCGCAACCGAAACCGCCGCCACAGACGATTGATTTGAGTCAGAATCCAGACGCTCTGGCTGTAAAAAGTGCGATTTCGATATTACAGTTGCAGATGAGAAATGCGAAGAGGGATATGGTTACGTTGCAGAGGATTAAAGAGAGGGCGATGGAGGATCCGGAGGGATTTATAGGAAGTTTGAAGGAAGGAGAACAGAGGGAAAGAGAGGAAAATGCAAGGAAGAGGGGAAGAATGGTCGTGGATACGGAAAGTAGTAGTGATGAGGATGAAGATAAAGATGAGGAGTCTGAGGAAGGGCAACAGATCAATGGAGCGCAGGCCCAAAATCCAAAGTGGGAGACCCTACCAACACCGCAGAACGTAGTACGGTGTCCACCGGTTAATTGGGCGAAATATGGAATTATGGGGGAGAGTCTAGATAGGCTGCACGAAGATCAAATCCGAGAACCAAGTCAAGGAATTCCGGCTACCATTAATGCGGATTGGAGCACGACGCACAAATATGGAGATGGAACGAAGAAGGAATACGTGATGCAGAAACCACTTGGGATAAACGAGGTGAAACCGAAGAAAAAAAGATCACCTGCTAGCAAAAAAGATTGAGCAGACTCGAGACAAGACAAGCTTCAATAGCAAACAAGAAACATATCACATGGGAAGGAGTTTTTGCATTTTATACATTTCAGCATCGGGATTGGGGCGGGTCTTAGAACATATGATATTATGAACACGAGGTTATGAATGGATTTTAGGATTGGAGATGGTATAGCGTGGCGTTTTGGTCAGGTAGCAGATGCATAGCAGCTTTGGGTTCTCTCTCTCTCTCTGTATATTGACTAGATTTGGGTTGCGTGGCCAGTTCCATATAAATGGCTGATCAAGCTACACATTCTTATTCTTTTTAATCAGCGTAAATAACACTTCGGGCGTTCATTCATTAATTCATTATTTCATTCTCTTTATATATCAGTCCCTCTTCATTCTTTCCCTTTCAATCCCCATTAATCCTTATCCCATGAAATCAACATCCTCCACCCCTACACTCATCTCTCCCCTTCCCTCCCAACCCCAAGTCCAAACAAGCCCTACTCCCCAGCAGCAAACAATCTAACCTTCACCTCATGAGGCGACATAGTCAAACTCAGTTTCTTCCCCAACATCCCATCTTCTCCACTCATATCAACCGCTTCGATTCTTTCGAATTTTTGAAGGAAACGCGCGATCACAAAACTGGCTTCGTTGAGTGCGTATTGTTCTGTGGAGAGGTGGGGTGTTAGTAGGCTGTACTGTTCTGCGTTGCCCTTGCTATTCACTTGGGATTTATTTCGCATCTATCTTCTCATGTGTCCAAACAATCTCAATAAACTACAATCAATCCAGAAATCCTCACCATCCCTAGAACCCTAAAAAAACAAGAAGAAAGAAGAAAAGAAAAAAACTCACGACCAATACACACTCTCGGCCCTCCACTAAACCCCCCAAACTCCCACCCCAATCGCCTCCCCTCCCACCTCTCAGGCCTCCACTCCAACACATCTTCCCCCCATATATCACCCCGTCGATGCATCACATACGTACTATAAGTAACCCTCTCACCCCTCCTAACCACTATCGGTTTTTTCCCATCACTGCCCCCACCAACCGGTAACACGGTATCCCGGATCGCGACGCGCGAATTCATAGGTACGAGGGGATAGAGCCGGAGCGTTTCGTAGAGAATGTGGGTTAGTGGTTTACAGGCTTTGAGGGTGGTGAAAGAGAGAGGGGAGGAGGAAGATAGAGGGCCAAAGTGAGAGAGGATTATAGAACGATATTTGGTGTAGCGTGTGGGATTGCGGGAGAGGAGGAGAAGTGTCCAAGCGAGGAGTGCAGCGGTGGTGTCGCGGCCGGCGAGGAGGAGGTGGAGCATTTGATCGCGGAGTTCGGTGGGATTGCGGGTTTGGGTGGTGAGTGCGTTGAGGAGGATGTATTTTTCTTTTTCCTCGGGGTTGGCTTTGGGTGAGGAAGGTTTAGGGGATGGAGGTGTAGATGCAAATGGAGAGGGTTTGGGAGAAGTAGATGAAAGAGCCCTCTGCACGAAATCTGCGGAATAATCTTTACAGATCTGGCACGCATCTAGAAACTTCTGAGAGCGCGCCAGCCACCAGAATTTGAAGAGTCGCACGCGGAAGATAATGTAGTCTTGGGAATAAGACATTGCTTGTACGAATTTCTCCTCAGCTTGCAATTCTGTGTCGTTGCCCGAGTCAATGGATTGCAGAGCGGTCGTTTGACTATTGACTGATTTTCCAAAGAGGAATTCTGTGCTAACATCCATTGTGAAACGTAGTAGAAGAGGAAGAAGATCTACCTCTTCTGAACTTTTTTGGGGAAGTGCTCGATAGAGAATCTGGAGATGATGATTTGCGGCTTCTAGATCACTTATTTGATCTCTGGAGAATTGAGGCTTGAGTTGTTGACGATAGTGCGCCCATGCTTCGCCGTCCGCGGTGAAAATGCCGTGGCCGAGTAATTCAAACATGTTTTGGCTTCGGCTGGGGCCGAGCTCGAAATTGGTAAAGTTGGTGGCGAGAATCGCTTGCATGTTTTCGGGGTCGGAGGTTGCTACTAGGGAGTGGAAGGGGTTGAAGATTCGGTAGGTGCCGACGCCCATTTTGAGATAGCGTGCGTGGACGTGGTCTTCGAGGATGTCCATACCTGTGTATGGTTAGGCTTGTGAGCTGGTTGATGAAAAGAAGGTCAGATGTATGGGAGATCCATTAAGATATGTATTGTGTAGAGAAAAACTAGGCTTCTTGAAACGCCCTCTTGACGTAAAGACATACACACAATTACCCAATGGTATTCAGAGAAACTTTGACTTCAAAGTGAAATAAATACATTCTCTTCCATCCCCATCCTATACCTTACCGAACCATAAAAAATCCCACATCATACATACCCTTCTTAAATTTGAGCATCCCCCAGTATCTTTCTATCCCTCCAGGCAATCTATTTTTCAACACCTTTGGCTCTTCACATCCATTCTTCCTCCCAAACCTCCTCAATCTCATCCAATTCACTTCATTCTTTACCCACGCATATACTATCCATACCGTTAGAAATAGAACTGCTCCGCTAAAATACGATGTTGTCATTGTCCTTTAACGCTTCGGTGATTCTCGATATCAGAAGACAAAAGTATATAATGAACAACAAGGCAAAGAAACCAAAAACAATGGTTCCAGACAACAAGAAGAATAAACCACTGCTTTTTTATATGATTTTGATAAGACAACTACAAGCCACAATCTAACGTCCTTGCATCAATACTCATCTGACGAACGCGTAATTTCAAAGAATAACCATATCCACTTCTCACCTAATCTTCATCTTTGTGTACGACCTCACCACGCCGACGGAGTAAGAAATATCAGACGAATCCGAATGCGAAGCGGAGTCGAGACGATAGAAAGTCTTTCATGAGCGGAAAAGGAATGAATATTTGAACCGTTCCCGTTCCCGTTCCCGCTGCCGCTGACGCCAAACTCACTGCGTTCTTTGTAGATCTAGAAGAAGTTTCTAGGGCTGTAGGATATCCCTAGGTGGTTAATTCCACATTGCAAGTCGTAGATTTTATTATTTTGGCGAACTGTTACCGATGTTATTTGCATTTGAATACACCACTGAAGTGGCTGAACTGGTAACGCCTCTCGGGATAACCTCAATTGTAGTCTTCCTGTCTTGAGAACGGGATGTAAACGATCACCCATCACATCTTACCTACCCGTACCCTGAAGTATAACAGAAGTTAAGTGTATTCTATCCAAGAGCGATGAATCTCTCCCTCCTCCCGGACAATTCCCACGTGCTCTCCTCCATCCGGAAATAATACCTCGGAAGTAACATTTTTCTAAAATCACACTCATGCCGAGCTAGTCTCTCTAACTTCCCCACTTTTCCATGTCTCTTTCTTCACTGGTGTCGATCAAATTTCGCTCATTCTCGTTCGTGTAACCGATATGCAACAAAACGATTTTGTCACTCATCATCTTCACGTGATATTCGGTCATAAACGACTAAATTAGGACATTGCCGGCTTCTTCGCATTCGCTAAATTTCACGATTCTGATTGGACATACATTTGCTAGTGATGAAATAAATGGGAAGAGTAAATGAAGATATTCGTAAAACATGCTAATGGTAGTGGGTATGCATTAAAAACGGTGTGGGTATGGAAGAAGGGATGGAGAATGAGAATGAGGTGGCAAGGTAACAAAGGAAGATGACAATCATTTTCCTCCCTGTTTTTGTTTGCATAGATAGGAACTAATAGGTAGACTGGTTAGCAAAAGAGTAATTATAGTATTGTACAGCATGCTGTGCTTCACCACTCACGGATATTAACATCAGCATGCATGAACTGCTCGCACAAATCTCAAATTTTACAGATCCCATGCAGATACCCTCAGCTGAAGAACCATCCCCCTCAATCAAACCTAAAAACTCATCTGTTTCGGCGTTTACGCCAGCCTAGGACATACTAGCTTAGCCACTTCCCAAATAGAGTTATTAGACACCACGTAGCTCAAATAAACGAATGCGAAATGCATCTCGACGTGCAACAAAAAAGTTGAGACAACATTTCCATTCATATGATACGCTGAAAATATCAATGCTAAAGTTGACACGAATCTTGTATCCGCAGTAGAGTACAATTATCCATATATATGACCCCACATATGTCTGCAATATTCCAAGATGTAGTGGCCTAGACCAGTGATGAATATTCCTTTTCCGATGAAATAAAATGAACAGTCGTATAGTCATTATTAAACTAATCCGAATCGCTATCAGGCTCCGAGTCAGGGAATCCATTAAAGGTGCCTTCTTCATCCGAATCTTCCAATGAGACTTTCGACTCCTGTGATGCTTTTCCTGAATCTTCCTCATCATCCTCATCATCATCCTCGTCATCTTTGACACCGAAAGCACCGCTGATGTCCCATCGATCACCTTTTGCGTTGTTACTAACGTATTTGACAAATTTCAACACACCGCTGTCTCTCAAGACAATGCTCATCTTATTCCACGAAGCTGGCATTGTGAAAAGTACTCCATCATCTTCTTCCTCTCCTGCAGCTTTGTAAATTGCTGCATCTTCGTCATTCTCATCATCGCCTGCCATGAATACTAAATGACCTCCAACATCATCTTCTTCCTCGGGTTCTGGTGTAGGTTCCTCTTTGGGCTCCGGTGCCTTCTTCTTGCCATTTGACTTTTCTCTGCCCTTTGACTTTTTGGATTTTGGTTTAGGCTCATCCTCCTCTTCCTCCTCCTCATTGTCATCCCCATTATCATCGTTTTCATCATCATCATTAGCATCGTCGCCCCATCCAGTTGTAGGTGTCAATCCCAAGTCAACCTCTAATCTTGGCTCTCCTTCGTAATTCTTCGCAAGAGCATAATCTAAACCCTTGCGAAATCTACGTGCCAAAAGGTCATAATTCTCAATTTGACATGATGTAGCAATCTCAAGCCATTTGCGGAATTGAGGGCTTGGAAGTAAAACATTAAGGATTTCTTCGATGGGGTTCAATTCCTTTTGACCACCTGAAACTCCACTGGATGGCTTTTGATAGAGGAAACGATGTTTGTGAGGTGGCTTAGCAACCTTCCAAGAACCCTTCTCGATTTCAACGCTGCTATCTGGTAGACCTGCAGCTTCTTGCGCCTCGACGTATTCTCGTACTTTGGTTGAAAACTTGACAGATAGAAGACCATCAAGAGTAACATTTGACTCCTCCTCGAAACGTTCGGCAATTTGCTCCAAGGTATCCGGTGTCAAGTAGGTGGGCGCCATATATTTGAGTAGGAAGTCCAAATCTGCCTCTTCAAGACCATTCTCATCGGCATCTTCAGCCGTAGATTCCGTCACAGTAATTGGCTCTTCCTTCGGGAAGTCATATTTATCTGGGTTGCCCTGCAGTTGCATCAGACTACTATTCTTCCCCCATTTCTCTTCAGCTCCCTTGACGTATCCTTCTTCTCCAATTTGTGGAATGTGAAACCATCCACTAACAGCCATCCTAACTCTACCACCATCTTTTTCCAATTCTTCTTTGTTTGCGGCATGATATACCTCTTCAACATCGTGGAAACTCTGACCTGGTTGAACAGCAAAGAAACTCAATTGATTCCATGCAGGTGGAATAATCTTCGAGATGTCAGGACTAGGAGTAATAGTTGTCACACCATCGTCCTCGAACTCTTTTGTAGGGAACAACCTCAGAGCTCCACCCCATTCTTCCTTCCAAGCCACATCCGGATCAGTTAAATACAGAATGTAACTGACTTTCCGACTTCCAATCACATCATCGTGACACAAGAGATGGCAACCTGGAGTATAAACATTGATAGCCATATCCGTTTTCCTTCCGCTCAATTCTCCAGAGCCTGTAATCTTCGCAACATATTTTCGAAATGAAGATGAGTACAATGCATCTCGTAGCCTGAGTAAAGAAGGCAATTTCTCCAGCGCACCATCATCCAACCCATCCAGATTTGCCAAGTCACCAGATTGATGGATTTTATAGATATCCGTTTCCTTGGGTGTGAAATGCACATTTTCTCGAATTTCGTTGCGAACGGCGCGGAGCAAAGCATCGTCGATTAATGGGCTGATAACTTGATGTTTATATGGTTCCGAGTTGGCATATTCTTTGGTGTATTTCTTGAGGACATCCTTGTCGAAGAGACCTTTTCTAAACGACTTCCTTGCATCTTCATCCGACAATGCTGTTACAACAAGATTGGGTCAGTTTGTGTGGCAGATGAAGAATAGTTGACGGGAATACATACCCTTCTTTGCACGTTTCTTCAAGATACTTTTGCCATTCTGGCCATTAGATTGAGTATCTGCCTTGCGCTTCATCTTGAATATTGTAAGAATGCGTTGATGAAAGATATCAGAGTAATAATTCACGACTGAGAAAATTAAAAGATTTTCGGGATTATCAGTTCATAATAAATTTGAAGCTTGCTTCTCCAATGACGATTTTGCCAGGGCGGTGAATTTATTTTTTGTGGAGCCCACCAGCTCCAAACGCTGAGGTTGTAGAAAAAAGGAGTTTTGACACTTGCACAACGTCACTGGTATATATGGAATGCGTATATTGACCATACGTATTTACTATATAAGGATATGAATCTACGCGCTGTGGAAACGTTGCAGGAACGTCTTCTTGAGATGAGAATAGTCTCAAGTTTGAGATTGAATATCAATACGTCCATCAATACTCCTGCATTGTGTCAGGAAAAGCAGTGAGGAGATACGTCATGCCGATTGGCTTGCGAGATTCAACGATTTTGATAGATTGGTCAATGTGGAAGCGCAAGTGCCTCGAGACTGCATTCGGGTTATTTTCGTCCGCTATTTCTGAAGAGGAAGCTCTATTGGGCAATCCTTGATTACGGCCCCTCAACCCCACGTTGCTATCCATGCCGATGATAACCATGTTATCGTGAAGTAATAAGGACAAGTCAACAATCTTCTTGCCATTCCGAGTCACTTCTTCTACTGTCACACCTACAAGATCAACTATTGAAACCATAACACAATGAGCTCCTTCGATATCACAGCTACAAGAAAGTGCTTCCCATCATTGGACAAGAAGCAAGTGTATTTTGACAATGCCGGTGGTAGTCAAACCCTAGGGACTGTCATAGATAGGTATAGTGCACCTCTCTACTACATTGCCTTATTCCATGGGATGTATAACAGATTATCTCACACATATAAAGCATCCATGATTACCTCATCAATTCCAATGTTCAACTCGGTGGTTCATACAATGTGGGCAAGAAAGCAAATACAAGTTACTCTGCAGGATATGAAGCAGCAGCAAAATACATCAATGCACCCCCATCCAATATTGGTAATCCCCTTTTCCTAATTCTCCTCACCCGTTGAGTGATCTGATCTTTGACGTTATCTATTAGTCCTCGGCTCAAGCACAACTCAGAATTTTCGAAACCTTTCCCAGGCTTTTGACTTTCCACCCGATTCTGAGTTGATCATATCATCCATTGACCATGAATCAAACATTGCCTCCTGGGTCGCTCTCGCTGCATCTCAAAAGTTTACTATCAAATGGTGGACTCCACCTGCGTCAAGTAACCCAATTCTGTCTCCTGAATCACTGTGTGTTCAATTCTCCTCTGGTTTCGTATTTTCAAAGATTAAACCCTGGCTGCATATTTTGTCCCGCCTGATGAACCCCCTTTGCTGCGCAATAGACGCCATAAGCATATATCTTTCTTGTAGTCCATCCCGACTAGACAGCTGATTGATTCGCATTCTAGTCGCCCCCTTCTCTCCTCCAAGACCGCTCTTGTAACCCTCACTCACGCCTCCAACATTCTTGGTACCATCCACGATATTCGCGGCAGTAAGCAATCTCATTCTTTTCACACAGCATACTGAAATTTAAAATCAATCTCGAATTGTTCATATCTCCCTCCATCCAACCCAACTTCCTCTCCAAGTCCTCCCAATTCACACTTCCTTCTCACTAAATCCTCCTCCAGTCTCCGACCTCGTGCACACCATCCCAGGTGCACTCCTCTGCGTCGACGGCGTAGCCTACTCTCCTCACCGCCCTCTCGACGTCCAGGCCCTAGGAGTAGACTTCTACGCCTTCAGCTGGTACAAAGTCTACGGCCCCCACATCTCCCTCCTCTATGCCTCTCCTCCCGCCCTCTCCTCCCTAAAGACCCTCGGTCACTTCTTCAACCCCAGCAAAACCCTCGCCGATAAACTCGCTCTCGCAGGCTCAAACTACGAGCTCACTGGCTCCATCCCAAAAGTCGTTGAGTATTTCGAAAACCAATCCTGGGAGGCAATCTGTCTCCATGAAGAATCGCTTCAGAAAACTCTCCTTCAGTATCTTCTTTCTAGACCTGAGATCCAGATTCTCGGTGAACAATCTTGGGATACGAAAAAGAGAGTTTGTACGATCAGTTTCTTCGTGCAAGGATTCGGAAGTCGGGAATTTGTGGAAAAGGTGGATGAGAAGAGTATGGGGGAGGTGGGGATTAGATGGGGAATGTTCTATAGTAACCGATTGTGTAAAGATGTTTTGGGGTGTGGAGATCAGGGCGTGGTGAGAGTTAGTTTCGTGCATTACAACAGTTGTAAGTTCTTGCTTTTCGTTTGATTTTTGTTTTGATTGGACAAAACTAGTGGTGCTAATATATGCGGCTTTAGTGGAGGAAGTAAATCGCCTGATTGGCATTTTTGACGAGATCCTTGGGAAAGCATAGATGTATGCACGTATATACACTAAGAAAACAATTGATTGTGCTTGGCTTGCATGCTAAATAACAAATTCAAAAACTCAACCGCAAAATCCACTGAACTACCGAGCATTAATTCCCAACCATTTCTTTCCTACTACCAATCTCCCTAACCCTCACTAATGTGAAATATCCAGTTACAGATTCCAAATTCAAGTCCAGGGTATAGTACTCCGTGCTAATTCCATTGGCCCATTCATTGCACGAAAGTTTTCCTTCCCATGACCCTCTCCGATTACCGATATCAAAGCTTCAAAAACACACACCAAAAAAAACAGGACATGTGCAAAACAAATATCAACCTCGTCCCCAGAACATTCCATTACTTCTTTTCGGTGGCCTGAATTTACCAAAAGTTTGCTCCAATTCTTCTTCCGACCAGCGACGATGAGACTCGGTGCCTATGTATTCACCACTGTGACCTCTCGCGAAATGTTTCAGATATCTTGTAGAAAGTTGTTAATCCGTGATTCATAGTCCTAAATCCGTGCTCTGGAAATAAGGAGGAGAAAGGAAGCATGGCTTAAGAAATCATGAACATACTCTTTCCTCGGCATATAGACTACCTTCGTTAACTTCTTTTCCTTATCATCTCCATTTCTGCCTTTGTCTTTCTTCTTCTTCACAAGTCTTGAGACTAAACCGGTTTTACTTTTCTGTGGAATGGTATCGTTATGGCTGCTGTCTGAGCCAGAAGAATCACGTCTTTCAGCGGGAATAACATCGACGACGATGGCGGGAATGATAGAATCATCGCTCACGGGGGTGTTGTGAAAGGAGGGGGCCGCATACATATGTTCAGAGTAGGTATGTGCGGTATAAGGAGAAGTTGAGAGGGCGGAAAGACGATGGGAGTGGGGAAGAAGAGGCTCGTTGTCGGAGCTAGTGATGGGGAGATGCTGTTAGTTTTGAAAGATGTAGAATGCGGAAGAGAGAAGGGGGGTTGAAGATTCCCATCAGAGAAGCATGCAGTGGGCTCTTCCTTTCACCCAAGAAAGTTTTGATTCATGAAGATATTGGAGATGAGTAGTGAGGATCGCGCCTTTAGTAAGACGAAATGTAAGGGAGAATGGAAGTGAGCACTTACTCATAGAGATTGGCGGAAGGATATGCAGCGGAACTGTAACGTTGATGGGGCACAGCGAGGTCGGCTGGGCATCGATAGTATAGGAGCATTGGAGCGGCAGCCATCATGGTCGATGAATCAAACGATTATCAAGAAGACTGGCCAAGGCCTTTAAATAAATAAACCAAGGAATTTCTGGTAGGACTTCCTACAATAAAAAGGCCGACAACGGTCCCGGAAGCTCCAAGGCTATTCAAAATGACCTGGATGAAGAGGCGGTTGAGCAATTTATGCCCTCATCCGAGATCACATTGTACGACTGAGTGGCCACGATCTTTCACTGGCTCGAGGTACTTTGGTCGGTTTGTTTGATCGATCGGTAATGAATATATGATCAATCACAAGATGTCGACACAAACACGAGGTTATTGAGGTTATATTGACAATTTGTATTCCCCGAAATGTGAGGAATATAAGATACACAAGAAATCACTCAGAGTCTAGATGTCGAAAATCAAGATTTAGATAGGGTCTGGTGTATCTTATAAGGTTTTTTTGACCGGTAAACGGAGTCCCGAAGGCTCATATTTATGCCCAGGTGAGACAAGAGTTGCTTGATTAAGTTTCCCCGCATTTCTTATCTCTTATCTTAGCGCATGACTTGTGGGTTGATGATGGATTGATGATGGCATGATATCAAAAAAAGCCCACCTCCAACACAATATGTTGAATGCCTGATATTTCAGTTGCTTAGGTATTGAGTTGAGCTCTCGGTGAGCGGGGACGAGTACGAATAAAACAAATACCCCCACCATAAATACAACTTTGTCTGACGTACTTTCAAGATCCAAATCTGCAAGACTTACTTCTAATTTCTTACTCTTTCTGTCAGCATATCTGCCGAAAGATTATTATCAAAATGTCACCTCAAGCTATTATTGCTCCATCTATTCTATCTGCAGATTTTGCAGAATTGGGGAAAGCATGCTCTGATACAATCGGTCAAGGAGCAGATTGGCTCCATGTAATTGAATACCAGCCCACAATGTTGAATTCATGCTAATCGGTGATTTTGTGATTTGCAGGTAGATATTATGGATGGGCACTTTGTGCCAAACATTACTTTTGGAGCACCTGTCGTTACGAAGATTAGAAGTCATGTCGATCGACCAACGGCTAAACACGGAAAGGGAACATTCGATTGTCATATGATGATTGCTGAGCCAAAGAAATGGGTAAAGGAATTTCAAAAGGCCGGGTGCGATCTTTACTGCTTTCACTACGAAGCTGCAATCTCAAGCACTGCGGCAGAAAGTCCGGAATCGACGAGCGAATCGAAGACGAACCCAAAAGAATTAATCAGATATATTCATGACAATGGAATGTTGGCAGGAATAGCAATTAAACCAGATACAAAGGTTGATGTGCTATGGGATATTCTCGAGAATCCCGAAGAAAAGGAAAGGCCAGACGTGAGCATTTCATGACGCAAACATGAGGGAACAAATCGCTAACAATTGTAGATGGTATTGATCATGACGGTCCACCCCGGGTTTGGCGGACAAAAGTTTATGGCATCTGAATTACCTAAGGTCACCGAACTCAGGAAACGATACCCAGACCTCAATATCGAAGTTGATGGTGGATTAGGTCCTGGAACAATTGATCAAGCCGCAGATGCTGGCGCAAATGTGATTGTTGCAGGTAGTGCTGTTTTTGGAGCCAAAGACCCATCCGAGGTTATTGCCAAGCTTAGACAGGCTGTTGATAGCAGAAGGGGAAAATTGTAATGACAATGCAATGTGACATACAAGTTCGTACACGGCGGTAACAACGGGACATGGGCGGATACATAAAAGTCGATACATGTGTTCGCTCGTATCGCAAAGGCCCAAACTTCAAAGCAAGCGGCTATGCATATAGAAAAATAGACATAGATTCCCCGTCATATCCGTCCAATGTAACTTCCAAATTCCTGAAATTTAACAAAAGTAGTTCCACATAAGAATGCTATGCAACGCAAATCCTTTCGGCTTCGAAGAAAGGGAGTTGAAGAGAATCATCTCATGGCCAAATACTAGTTTTGAACATCCACTTGAAGCAAAATAAGTATAGAGATTCCGAGAGTTCGCCGGCTGATGACTTATACCCCCTCATTATTGGCTGTGTGAGTCGAGTTGCCAGATTTAGCGTGGACCCGAGAACATGGGGATGCGGATGTGCCAGAATCAAGATTGCGGGGTGAAGACGGATTTCATAGTCGGCAGTTTTGAAGCTTCAACTATAATTGAACTCGATGTCGCTGGATATTTTATGTTGAAGTTATCTTTATATTTCAATTGAGGTGTGAACAAGCAAGAATATTTTTAGTGTTGTGAGATACCCCTGAAGCTATTGTTATCATTTTCCCCGGTGTTTAAATCTTGCATCGGACCCTGCAGCACATCCTTCCGGCAAAGGAACCGGTAATTGATCATCGCTCTAGTACACAATGGCCGTTGTCGATTTTCTTCTCACACCTTATGCGATTCCAATCGCATTGGTGCTCTTCTTTGCTGTTCCATATTTCACATCCAACACAGCTATTAGAGATATCCCCGGGCCCTTCGCAGCGAGATTCACAAGATTATGGCTACTGCTACAAGCTCGATTGGGGTATCGATATCTGAGTGTTCATGATGCGCATGCCAAATATGGAAAGATGGTTAGGATCCAACCGGATCATGTCAGTATCGCAGATGATGCTGCTATCCAGCAAGTTTATGGTCATGGCAATGGGTTCTTGAAGTCGTAAGTTGCTGAATGGTCTGTGAAAATTTTCAACTGCTAATTCGGTTCTTTGCAGAGAGTACTATGATGCTTTTGTCTCTATCCAGAGAGGTCTATTCAATACTCGAGATCGTGTCGAACATACGAGAAAGCGCAAGACTATTTCGCATACTTTTTCTACAAAGAGTATTGGCCAATTCGAACAGTATATGCATGGAAATTTGGATTTGTTTGTGAATCGATGGGATGCACTGTCAGATAATGCACATGGCCAATTCGCAAAAATTGACTGTCTTCACGTATGTTCAAATTTTCTGACATGGGCTGTATTGCCATATACTAACGAGTCTGTTTTTATAGTGGTTCAACTATCTCGCTTTCGATATCATTGGCGACCTTGCATTTGGAGCTCCATTCGGCATGCTTGAAAAAGGAAAGGATATCACGGAAATCAGAAAAACACCCGATGCACCAATTACTTATGCCCCCGCTGTCGAGGTTCTGAATCGTCGAGGTGAAGTTTCCGGTACACTTGGTTGTCTACCACAACTCAAGCCATACGCCAAATACCTCCCAGATCCTTTCTTTAGTCAAGGTCTTGCCGCAGTAGAAAACTTAGCTGGTATTGCTGTTGCTCGTGTGAGCCAACGTCTTGATCGTGAGAAGGAAGATGATCGCGTTGACTTACTCGCAAGACTTATGGAAGGAAGAGACGAGACAGGTGCCAAACTTTGCCGTGCAGAATTAACCGCAGAGGCGCTCACTCAACTCATCGCTGGCTCAGATACTACATCCAACACATCCTGTGCAATCCTCTACTGGATTTGCAAGACTCCAGGTGTCCTTCAAAAGCTTCAAAAGGAGTTAGACGATGCTATTCCTGCAGGCGTCGATGTTCCCACTTTCGATATGGTAAAGGATTTGAAATACATGAATAATGTCATCCAGGAAACCCTCCGGATCCACTCTACCTCTTCTCTTGGCCTCCCACGTATTGTCCCACCTGGAGGAGCAGAAGTGTGCGGAAAATTCTTCCCCGGCTACACTGTCCTTTCCGTACCAGCTTACACAATCCATCATTCTAAAGAAATCTGGGGAAATGATGCAGATGAATTTGTACCAGACAGATGGTACAATTTGACAGAGAGACAAAAGAACGCTTTCATTCCATTCAGCTATGGACCGAGAAGTTGTGTAGGAAGAAATGTGGCAGAAATGGAATTGGCACTCATTGTCGCGACGACATTCAGGAGATACGAATTTGACCTGTATCAGGATGTGTTGGAGACGAGAGAGGGATTTCTGAGAAAACCGCTGGAGTGTATGGTGGGGATTAAGAAGAGGGCGAATATTTGATGGGGGGTAGTGGTAGGAGGGGTATGTGTATGTTTAGCTTTTGTCTTGTATTCGGGATCAGATCGAGTGTCATCTGTTGTATATCATTGGAAATTGTATTTATTCATGAATATTGAAGAGATCTGGGTGGAAGTGATTTGCTTAAATGCATCCAATTGTTTGATCTGTAAACATGCAAAACACGGTGAAAATCCCAATAAAACAAAACCATTTTCCATTCACTCAACTGAATCAACAAAATTTATATCTCTCCCGTGCGAATTCCTCCTTCGCTTCATGAAAAGAATTCAAAGAAATTACCCCAAAAATATCAGTACATATACTCAGAACTCGTGCCCCTCCCATCGAACAACCATCCGAATTAGTGTAGGGGTTAACATAACTCGCTTTCATCATCATGTGACCATCACATCATGCGATCTGGAGCCGAGTAGCCCCGGGTTCGATTCCCGGATTCGGAAAATTCGCTTTTGTTTTGTTTTTGTTTTGTTTCTGTTGGTCGAGGGAAGGAGGGCAGAAGAGATATATGACGGATTGGTAAGGAGGAGGAGGTTTCTGCATTTGAGAAACTGGAGAGAAGAGGGTAGAGGTGGAAAAGAAAAGTTTTGTGCATAGCATGTCTGTGCGGCAATGGGATCCGCATTATAATGGATCGGTGGCGTGTGTGGTGAGGGGCGAGAGGGGTACTTGTTAATGTGTGATGAGGGTTTAAGCCTAGGTGTGGTAGGTATGGATATTGTAGGGCTTTAAGAGTTACTTCTTCGCTCTGCTGTTGAGGAAGTGATCGTTAGATTACTCGGAAAGGGGCTTGTTTTATTGATGAAGTGAACTCTCTCTTGAGCGTTATGAAAAATTTCTCAATGATTTTTTAAGATCATTTACACTTTTCACTTATTAAAGGCTTACTCACGTCTTCTCGATCGATTGTAAGAAACTGACTTGAATTCTTAAAAAAAAAGGCCAAAAAAATTACACTCCAAATACAGAAGTCAACACACCATTGCGTCCTATCAGGTTCCCGAGATATTTCTCCTGCTGATATCACTAAAAAGGGATACTGACCGATACTATGGTAGACTTACGTACTACCTAGTATGTATAGAGGTCAAGACTTGTGTTGAAATGTAGCTGAAGTAACTATCGCCTTTGAAGAAAAGAGAAGAATGCAGAGAAGTGAATTACAGAGCAACTTTTGCAAGCGCAAGGGAAGAATGGAATTCCTGAGGGCAAAGTGGGGTGAAGATGGACCCTGAAGTAGGAAGGCTCGCGAGATTCGGAAGAGATTACTGCCATGACTGGACAAAAGCTCAAGCATATCGCCATTCCAGATCTAAGCATAGAACTCAGTTGCAATCTTTGTTCTCATTCATGCAATTGATAAAACTCTTGTTCCGCTCCAGTCCAATCTCGTATGCGGTGTTTGACTGTTCGGCGACTGGAGTAAACTTTATTGATTTGATGACAGACTCGATCTCTTTCCTGCCGCAAAACTTTAAGGGACATATCCAGCGATTTGCAACTTGGTATTCCCACCACTCCAAAAACTCATCAAGCCATTCCTTATCGTGGTTGGCAAAATTGATTGCTCTCTAAAAACTGTTTTACATCGGCAACAACCAGGGTTGAAAGTATATCACCCGATGCTGAGCTAGCGAGACTACGCTCAGCCGATACAAAAGCATAGCGGGCAAGAGACCGAGTCTTAGTTTCTTCCTTTTCTTTCTCTTTGAGCTTGTAGGATTCTTGTTCAACAATCATGACAAAAGTCTACTCATTCGGAATAATCTCTCTAGTGATTTGAAAGATTCCATTGCTCTTTGATGAATCACCAATGCCCAAATCGTCGCTATAAATACCTGCGCAGAGCGGTAAAACCTAATATCCTGGGCCGATATCGTCGATTGGTTCCATGGCGAGAATCTTCACCAGAGTCTTTCTCAAGTCTGAGAACCACATGTGTCTCTCGCTGAAAGAAAATCCAATGAAGCGGGCTAAGCTCTGGACAAGTTGGAAAGGGTGTCGGTTCGTTTCTTTCAACGGCATAGCATGATACCCAGGACCATCAATCCCTGAATGCGACGATGATTTTTTCTGAAATCGATTAAGTATGTCAAGGCCACCTTCACTATCACGTATGCTATTTTCGTCAGTCTCACCACAGGTAATGTATATCATCTGCTCGGTCACAGGCGTAATACAATCCAAATCGCAAAATGGCGGCATTCCGTCTTCGAGAAGATGGTAAAATTTGCTCATATCATTCATGAAGCTTTGAGATTCTTCACTAATATCATTAGTTCGACTTGCTTCTTTATTCTCGGAACCGAGCTTCGGACCGAGCGCTGGAATGGGCTTATTATTGTATCTACGAGAGTTTTGATCGTTGTAGAATTTTTCGCGATATGCGAATGGCAGTGCATAGAGATCTGTGTCGAAAAATTCTCTCAATACTTGGTCTCTAAGTAGCCAAGACTACCTGTGGCTGGCTTGAATACCATGGAATATAACTCCGAATCATGGAAATCTGATACCCTTTTTCCCTTGGAGAATTTTCAGCTTTCTCAAAAGTGGTATTTCAGAAATGTTCAGGAGGTAGACATCTTTGAGATTTGGCAACACAGCGAGAATAGTTTCAAGGGCAGCCGGGCTGATCAAGTCATTGCCGCACACACTCAACGCAGTAACATTTCCTCGGTTCACAGAACTCATTGCTTTCTCCAAGATGTGGAGAATATGACCTGAACTCGGATTATAAGGGTGGCCTAGGTCTATAAATTCTAGCCACTTGGACAGGATGTCAGAAGATCTTGTACGGAAATAAAAGCTGTATCTGTGAAGTGTCTGTTCAAAATTCAAAAGAAGATGGCAACTCATCTTCGAGAAAATTCCTGATGCCACTCACCTACAAACAGGACTAGTAAATGTGCAGCGCTTTCTAATGTTTCTCCATGCTAGTACTTAGTCACATCGTTCATCTTCACTTTGGTGTCTGTATCACAAGGGCACAAAGGTGACATTGTATTGGTCATATTTTTCAATAAAGAAAATGTCTATTTTTATTTTTATTATTGTTTTTGTCGTGTAGTTGAAAAGTCAAGACGTTGTTACAAAGAAAGACTTCTACTTATCTATTCATAAAAGACTAGCTGAGCGCCAACAAAGGAAATTCCAGCTTACCTGTGCGAGGACCAGCCTCCAGGTCGTTGTCGCCCGTGAGCATGTACGAGATGGTTGGTATGAGTGAGAGAGGGTTCTCTCAATCGTTTCCTCCCACCTAGTACTAGTGTCCCCTACGATTCCTATATCTCTTACCTTTACGATCTTCCGCATCCAGCATATCCGCCAATTCCTCAGCATTAACTTGGTTGTTGTCGATTTCCCATCTGAGAGAGAGGGTCTTCTCAACCAATTCCCGATGCTCGATTTTGAAGATATTGATATATGTCTGCATAAACTCCATTTCAATAACTGATTCAAGGTAATGTGCAACGAGTTCTAGGAAGCAGTCGCAGCAGACGCATAAATTAGATGGATCAAGGGGCCGACAATCGCTGCGAATGGAATCTCGGCGTTCCGGTGGCGAGAATTTGATGGAAGAGCCGATGAATTCGTTGAGTGATCTTGCGTAGATTCGATTTACCCTTGCGTACTCTCGTGTCAAATCTCTGTATTCATCTGCTAATTCATATCGCGCCTCGTGGAGGGGCTCGATGAATTTCTGAAAGGACTTGTAACGCTCTAGGTGGTCGCAGCTGTCGAAACAATTTAGGTGGTTAGAAGGATTGCAATCGATTTGTATTGGATCATAGTAGTCTCCCTGTTCCTCTTCGTCATAATAGGAATTTCTAGATGCTTCAAATGAAGACTCAAGATCGCATGACATAGTTGTTCTTTGCATGTTAGCGGCCTTCATATTAACCTTCTGAACTAGTTGAATTCTCCTGGAAAGATAGAACTAAGATGTCCTGTGAAGAAGATCTAAGTTGAGATTATTAGTGGTTATGTAGGTATTAGAAAGCTAGAGAAGATTGAACTGGATTATAATTAATGTGTGAATCATTTCTTGAATAAATAGCCTGAAATTGGAACTGTTCAGAAATTGTTACTTGAATATTCTGCAGTTGAATTTTGAAGTTTGATAGTATCTGGCTCCCACATTGCAAATTGTTTCAACATCTCTGTATGTATAAGCCGGACTGTTATGGTGTTGTTTTCTTCGCCGCAATGCTATTGTACTTTGAACTTATAGTCCTTTGAAGCAGCTTGGTTTGGTTGTTTGATACCTCCAGTACAAGTCCTCTTTGTGACTGCAGCCAGGAAGAATCGAAGCTTAGAACTTCGAAATGCGGTAAGAAAAAATTGACTCGGACTCATCAAGCGCCGAAATATTGCCAGATTTCTTGACTCCATGTTTGCCCTGGCGAGTATCGAGACCAATACCAATTGGACCTGGTATCCCACCCTCTTCCTTTCCTATCACCCAAATAAATTATAACCGGTAAAGTATCGGTAAACCCCAATAACAATAGCCGGGATCGGCTATGCTCCATGCCACTCGGCCAATGTGTAGATACCCTTATCTTCCCGAATCAAGTGGTTTCGGGATATCACGTTTTCCCATAAATCAGGATTATGAGGACAATTCCCTCGAACAATCGATCGCGGGGTAAGCAAAATTGATATTCCGCTTATTTTCCCTTCCTTTTGCGGATTCCAGGCGTCTCTAGGCACTGTGCATATGCGCGTCCGTATCATTGACTAGTGAGAAAGCTGGGCCTCAACTGTTTGTAAAGTCACAGATTGAGGCGAATTGTTATGATCAATATATAAAACAGGCTTCTCCTCTTTCTTGTTAATTATTCCTTTTCATATGTACTTCTGTAGATCTCTTGCGGTACACTTACGCGCGATAATTGATCGGATAAAATTGTTCGAAAAGAGATAGAAAAGTCGCTCGATATGGGACAAAGACATCAACTCTTCGTTATTGCCAAGATAAATGGGCGGTACGTGGCCTAGCAGCAATACACCACTGTGAGTTTCTCTCTTTGACTCCCTGCAAAATTTGCCCTTAATGTTCAACCGCATACTAAAGAACAGCTCGTCAGAAAGGCTCTACGGCGCCACCGCCCTTCAAGCCTGTCTAGATATCCTCAAAATCTTGCAATCTCCGGCCAACAGAATTGCATTATCGCATAAACTTCGCCACGCAACTCGCCTTCAAGAGAAAGATTGGTCGCGGAAAATTGGATTTGCAAAAGTTTCTGTGGCCGACATCCCATTTCGCTTTATTCTTACATGTTTGGTTGTCGAAGCTGGCCTCAGAGCAAAGGATAGTTACCATGCTCGAGTCCACAATATTCCTTTCAATCTATCATTTGATGGGGGCGATAATAACGACGGAATTACGGTATTCGATATACGCTTTTGTGAGCGCTGCTCCTTCCACGGATACTGGAGATCCGACTCTAGACTCATATGTTCCGAAATTTATCATGCGGGATTTTCGTGGATTCCTTGACAGTACTATCCCTGATACGTCAGATTAGCAACAGATATTGGAGATCTGGAATAGAGCTGTAGAGCCGACTCCTCCAAGTTTAGCCATAAATTTGAGTGGAAGACAAGAAGTGGAGTCACTAATGCGTGTGCTTGTGTATCCGCTGAATGATCCAGGAGAACTAGAAAATTCAGGGACTACATTGTCAAGACCAGTAGATCGTGCATCGTCAATATCAATAGATTGAAGCGTGGCTGATATTCTCAGTTTGAGGGGGATGGGGAGAGGGTAGATGAATCTCTTGAGTTGAGAAATGATCATTATGTATCGACGCTTGCTGGGTCCGCTTACCGATAAATAGTGCATGTCTTGTTTCGTAGTATATGTTTCCTGTCCGTATCGACAGACCTTTCTGCTTATGAGCCCTTCATAAGCCACCCAAGACATTCTTTACACCTGCGATTAAATACACAAATCCGAGAGAACATTCTCTTCTAGTACCACTAAGTGAGCATGAAACTGAATGCACATTTGATATCTAGTTTCTTTGAATGAGAAAGAATATTCTGCCATTAGCTGGTCCAAGGATGTTCGTATATCTGTATAATAATAGACTGATCCATCTTGGTTGATGTAGGTATGTAAAGTGCATCCAATTACGTCGGGCCGCGTTTCTGTGGCCTGTCTGAAATGATCTAAAGCATGTTCTGAATTATTTTACATTGACTTCGATGATGCTGGTATTCTTAGGATCTCTCGGAGTATATGAAAATTAGAAACTTGTGAAACCTTTCGAGTCTGTGTTGCCGCCTGTCATCCAAAGAACAGGTAATTCTGATAGGACAACACCAGACTGGTATCTGAGGACTAGCAGGCTGAGTCTATAAGCCGGGCATAATCTGTTGGCCCGGTCAGATGAGAGGTCGGAACACAAGAAGATGACAACTATTCCCGACCATAAAGGACAAGGCTTAAGTGCGAAACATGAAGTCTCAGAAGCATCTGACTACCACGTGAAAGCATTTGTGTTCCAGATATTCAAGAATCAGTCGAACCATCTGCCTATACAGGGCTAGTAGTGCATGCATCAATATTGCTTAGATGAATGCATAGCCTGGCATACAGAATACACAGCGTGGGAGTCCACAAGCACTCTACATTTGCAATGTAAAGTTCAAGCAACTCGAGAGATTAATGTCGTAAAGCACAGAAATCAAATAATGTGGGTGAGTATGAGTAATATCATGTCAATCAGACGTAGCTCGATGCAAAGGTTTGGATTCTTCGGATAGTTGTGAACTTGTGTCAACGTCATTGAAGCAAAGTCGTTGACAATAGATGGAACAAGGAGTATTGAATGTTGGGGCATAATTTTCCGCTGAGAGAATATATAGTTACCCATCCACATAAAATGGTGTCTGAATAGAGAGATTCGGGGTAGATTGAAAATGGTATTCAGCAATCGGATGTAACCTTGTCGAAAAACGTGGTTGTCAAAACATGCAACATTCCCGCTAGATAGTACCAATAAGAGCGATTCAAGTGAGATTTTATGGATGGGTTGTGGATAAATGAGTTGAAGAAAGAGATTTTGGTTCAACTGTAGTCCATTTGGCAGTAGCACGAACGGGGGTTGATTGACCAAGCTCGCCAAGACAATGGATGAGAGACATTGGATGATAGGAAAAAGCACGGACTATGGTAAGGTTAGCGACACGTGACAGGAGCTTACACTTGGTTTGTGGAAACTCTCAGGTGGTATTCAAGATCTCCCATTCATTCAACCATCACATCAATGACACCTCAAACATCTTTCGAAAACAGAGGATCAAAGATATAGTCATGATGCAATAGTCAGACGCCGAGGTACATATATGTATAAAAAGTATACGGATATGAATCTTCACCCGGGACTGCTTAGCTGGCAATTTTTGAATGCAGGTACCTCGATCATACCGCCAGCAAATATACTGTACCTATATTTCTGCTTCACACAATCAGGCTAGCATGACTGGTTGGCAATATTCATCGGCGGATATTTCTACTTACAGAAAGTCAAAGTATATATAGGGAGCCCACCCGTCACCTATTTCTGTCCTCATTTCTACATGGGTACTTCACGAATCAAGTGTATAAATCAGAACATCACATCCAGTCGTGCAAAGTTGAACTACGATCAAGTCAAACCCAGTCTAACTCGTGGTGCATTGAAATCCATCCCCATAGGTCAGTCTTTTAACCATTTCTATTTTTACGCGCCGAACTTGTGGTGTTCCCATGTATTAGCAAGGTTCTGCAGTCGATGAGCACTTTCATTGGTGGATGCTGTATGCAAGCGCTAACGGAGAACCTACCTCCTCAATTAATCGTTGCGCGCGCAATTTGCTAGAAAAATTGATTTTCTTCCCATTTCAGTCCTTACTTGCCAACTATTCGCTGCGGGGCCGTCATTGCCATGCATTATGGTTGAACAGCCACATCTTCTATTGGCTATACGGTCGTGAACCGACGTTGTAGTAGTATCTTAGTCAATCTCAATCTTTTATCCTTATTCTGGATGAATCTCTTGACTAGTGGAGATCATATTGGTCTTGACGCTTGGAGAAGCTTGTGAGTCCCTTTTGGTCGGTTCTTCAATAAAAATAGTTTTCTATTGGTGCCACACCTGCTTGCTCCCCTGGTCGGCTTTTGACGCTACCCAGTGACGATTGTACAGGCAATACAGGTATCGTCAGTATAAACCTTGAGTGGCCCAGTTACCAAACGCAAGTTCTTCTCGTCTCATTCTTTTTTGTAGTCTAGGAGGTGTATTTTTCTTGTCGTCGTTAATTCCTCTCTCTTTTTTTTTGGCATTGTTACAAAGTCTTCGTTGATCGAAGCATACTATCTTTTAATATCTCATTTTCCTTGCCTCACGGGACGCAGCGCGTTTTCGAAAATTAATTCACGATACCCAGTCGACAAGGAACGTAAAACAAAAAGGTCACGTTTTTCAAGTCTACAAAATGGCAACTCTAGATTATTTACCTGCCACAACATACCGGCCGCCAACTTCACCTGTGCAGGCACAGACAAGAAGACGGCTACTTAATACAATAATGGAAGATGAAGAAGAATCTGTACGGGGTTCAAAACACATGGAAATGCGAGGTCGGGATAGATCCCCCCTTAAGGCAGACTTCCTTTCTCCCCTCAGCGACCATTTTCCAACGCCTCGAGCCAATCAATTCATGCAACAATATCGTCCAGCTTCACCATCTTGCTCAGACTCGAGCAAAGACTCTTCTTCTGCTCCTTCGTCAGCACCATGGACAAGGACGAGTTTCACAACCGATGCTACAGATTTCGATGATCTCTATGATGCTTCATCCGACGACGATAATCGAAGGAGCAGCACTATGAGGCAAAGAACTAGTGCTGGGCAGTTTTCAAGGTCAAATAGGTCATCCACGGGTTCGACCCGAAGTAGAAACTCCCTAAGCTCATTGCCTTCACTTGTGATTCCGTCAAATGAAGATCCATGGGCTGAAGTCACCGCTTTCAAACGACAACTAGCCTCTCCAGTACCACCAACACCACCCCCGAGAGTAGCAATGTCTCCCGCTGTTCTCACGTTCCTCAAGAACCAAGAGAATCTATCAATTCCATCATCATCGACTCCGCCTTCGTTAGACGGAAGCATGGATTCAGAGCAGATGGCCCAAATATCTGCTCCACCAACTCCAGATGTCGGCTACGACAGTGAAGAAGATGGTCCCCGGGCTAGCTGGGGCGTTCAATTGCAACCTGCGGCTATGGCCACCTTAGAGGCGATCTCAGGACCTTCAAATGACTACTTTGATGAACAGCAGCCGGAACAGGTCATTGATTTGAGTACCGCACCGCAAGAAATCATACCTGGTCAAGAAATGCAGCAAAGCTTGCCACCATTGAATACAAACATTCATCGCGCTAACTCTCTAGTCCTTACCCCAAGTCAACAGCGAGCTATGGAAAGTTTAACAAATCTGGAGATCCCATCTCCTGGTGGCTTCTTTGCATCTTTGGGCCATGGCGCAAGACATACCTGGCACCTTGTACCTATTACGCCAGACGAGCCTCTTCCGCCTTCATCAACCACCGCCGAAAACTTTTATAACACTCCGTGGGCACCTCATCCAGTTGAGCGTATCATCGAAGTTCCAGAGCCCGCTGATACTGATGGGCCACCGACTGCTAAATTCATCCGACCCGAGATCCGTCACGACAATTCTGATGAAACAATTGTCCCTGTCAGCTCTCCACCACCGAACAAAACTCACTTTGAGGAAGAAATTGTCGCTGATGAGATCCTAACGGATTACGCACCTGGATATATCAACAAGCTTGAGGATACTGCAACTGCCAATGTTGACCGCACAGCACTGTGGCTTGCAGCTCAGCATGACTACCTCTCAGAACTCATCAATCCTACAGAGGCTCGTGATGATGAAGTTGCCTTGTTGAAGCGAGCTGTCAGTGTAAGACTTTCAGCAGCAGAAATAAACATCTCGCCAATTGAGCCTGAACAACTGCCTTTGCAACGTAAAAAGACTGTTCGATTTTCCACAGACCCAATCAATCATGATATCTCCACTCCAGAAGCCGCTACTGCTACACTTGCCACACTGGCTGGAAATGCCTGTCCGCTACCCAAAGCCCTTCCTCAAGAATCGACATACCATCGTGCCTTCAAACGCTCAGTTCGTAAAACTCGTCGCCGTGATGTCTTCGTGCATCGTGTGCCCAGGTTTGAAGCTATCCAATCTCAACGCGTCTCCTTCCCAGCAGCTCATCGTGCCAGTCTTCTCGGTAAATACCAATTGAGCGTTCTTCCCATGTCCCCAAAGCGCCGCATGTCTTCCAACGTGGCTCGTGGCGATGATACCCCATTTGAAGATCCCGAAAAGCTCCAGCATGACAAAGAAGCCGAAGCTCTTGAGCAAATGTCACCTGCAGCCTGGAACGTCACAGCAACTAAAATGCTTAACGGAGGTCGCTTAATCGCAGCTCCGGTTGCCAAGCGCCTTGCAAGACTTTCCTCAATGGGTCCCACCATCAACGGTACCCCTCGAGACCGCGCTCGTATTCTCGACCTGGGTGGACAAGCCACATGTGATTGGGCATGGCATTGTGCTACTGAATATCCCAATTGCAAAGTCTACACTGTAACCACCAAGGCTCTCCGTCAACTCTCAAACTCCAACATTCGCGGTCCTAAGAATCTTCGCCAGGTAGCTGTGGAACGTCTCGTTAAGCTTCCATGGAAAGACAACCAATTTGATCTCGTTTCCGCTCGCGAAATCTATATGATTCTCAAGGAGCGCGGTGAGAACGGTGAAGATGAATGGGAAGCTTGTCTCAATGAATGCATGCGCATTCTTAAGCCAGGCGGATATCTTGACTTCTCCATCATGGATTCTGATATCGTCAACGCGGGCCCAATGGGCTTGGCCAAAAGTGTTGAGTTTGGATTCAATCTCAAGACCCTCGGTTACGATCCCTCTCCCACCAAACTTTGGCTCGGTCGTCTCAAACGCGCGGGTTTTGTAGGTATCAAGCGCGCGTGGGTGTTTTTGCCCATGGGTGCAGATCCTGACCACAGATTGGATGTAGAGAGAAACAGTGTAGGTGATCCATTGGAAATGGAAGCAATGGTTAGCGGAAGTACTGGAGATGCAGCTTGTGTCACTGGGTTAGTCGGTGGCTGGGCTTGGGAAAAATGGTTGTTGAGATGTAGAGTTCAGACAGTGGGTGATGAGGGCACGTTGGAGGGTGTACAGAATCTCATTGAAGAGGGTAGAGCTTGTGGTGCTGGATGGAGAACCGTGAATGGCTGGGCTAGAAAGCCATTGGGAAAGATGTAGGGTCGCCTACTTCGGTGAGGGTGGACGTGCAAATTGGTTTCTTTAGATTGTTTTGATTTGATTTGGTTATCTTGGTGACGGTGATGGGGGCATGATGATAAGGATTACGATGGGACGAGCAAATGGCTGATTTCTTTTGTCGGTTCATGAACGGTGGTTGGCTGGATGGTTGATGAGTGATGAGTGATGAGTCTGTCGGTAGTGTGGGTTGGCTGAAGGGGCATTTGGTGGAGGTTGTATATTATCTTTCTCTTGACATAGCAATTCATGTGTTTTAAACTCATAGTATTATCTCATTATACATACATTGAGTGCAGATTGCTCATTTTCTCATGTTTGTTCTCAATGCAAAGGATACGAATGTTCGTAAAAAGAGGATTCTGACAATTGAAATTCGTCGTGGCATCTTCTCCTTTGACAGATGCTTTGTAACCCTGACAAAGGATTCAAGCTCGAGGACAACAAAATTGTTACCTTTGTTATCCCTCAAGAAGAAAAACATGCATGGCATACATGGAACAGACTTTGAATAGACCTCATTTTTCAACTATATTACACTTCTGGTTTGACTTGTGTATTTCATTTCAGTATAGCTTCCCATCCTCATTCAATACTTCAAACATATAGCTTCTAATCTAAATCTTCCATTGCACATTCAAGACCCAGATTATAATCAGCAAGATGAATTGGACACCAATTTTGATTGACTGGGATACCAGCGATAGAACTCAGATGGATTACACCCAAGATACCATCAAACCAATAAACACATCAGCCATCACAGAAGGTGTTCCTACTGGAGAAGCCGACCCTAGCTCGGGTACCGATATAGAAACGATAGAGGGGTTAGTGATGTTCGGTAAATTGATTTCTTCGGCTCATAAAGAGTGCATGGAGATAGAAACTGACCTTAGACTAGTCCCACAATACTCCAATTTTGAGCACTATTTGGCATATAAATACAAATTTTCTACTTCTGGTAATCATTGCTATTGTAATCGCTGCATTGGATCTTTGGAAATGGCCCACTTCAACGTCATCAAGACCCGGAATATTCTGTACAGCAAGCTTGTTACTTTAGCAAAGAATAATCTAAAGTATCGCGAGAGATATTCAACACTTTACCACCAACTCACCGGCTTCAGTGTAAAATTCTCCGATATGCCTTTTGATTTGCCAATCATGGATAATTCTTGCTACGATTACCAACGTCCCACCCCTCTGGTTCTTGGAATCTGCCACTTTCGTCGTCGTTATGAAAGACTGGAGGCTTGCCATGTCAAAATTGTTCAGACCAAGGATACTTTATGTCAACAGATCGATGCCATGACTATCATGAATGAAGATTTACTCGATAAATGCGATCAGCTATTCGCGATTATGCAAGAGAAGATTTCGGCCAATTCAGAAGCATTTGATGAGCACTACGAATACGACCCTGAGGATTCTTGCCCCTGCCATCATAACTGCAGTGACTGCAAAGAGATGATGGAAGGACAAATCGAGGATCTCTACCGTAAAAGAACCAAATTCCATACCGAGTGCGATACCACCATGGAAAAATACGAGACACTTAAGAGAAAATACAAAGCTCTAGTCCGTGGTGTTACCAACTCTTCAAGGTTTCAAGTTCCTAGGGACCCATACGATGTCCAAGAGCAGCATAAGTCTTACGTGTATCTCAGATCTCAAACAGATGAATCTGTCGTAGAGCTGTTTGGAGACGCCGAATCTTACCAAAACGAAAATTCGGATACACCTCGCGATCGTTGTGGTTCGTGTTCTTACTGTGCTCTTGAGCTGAAACTCATCAGTGCTGCCAAGTTCAACCGCATTTTTCTTGAAATGTTTAATTTTGATAAGCAATACAACGATTTATTCGAGAAGTATTCGAATTTTCGAGATATAGTCACATGAGATTGGTAGAAGCTGGTCTTTGCGCGTATGTTTGGTTTTCCTTCTAGTATTTTCTTTCTTGATATCTAGGAGTTGGAAAATTATGAATTAAATTGAAATTTATAAAATAATTAGATGCTTGTATAAACTGCAAACTTGTGAAATGAAAGTGACCGTGAATATATTGAGAAGAAGATTGCCACGTAGTTTGAGGTCGTGAAAATACTGGCCATTCTGGGGTATCAGAGTCTATGTGGCTCCACATGGTTCTTCCGTGTGGCTTTGACGGCAGTGGTAGTGACCTCTTTAACATATCAAATAGGCGACTTGTATCTTCGCAGACATGAAAGTAATGAAGACTTCCTTTTCTTCATGAGCCTGCTGAATGTATCAATGGTTCGAATACTATAGCTTTGATTTCGATTGCCAGTTGAGTGCATGTAATTTTCTGGATAGATGATTATTTTCAGGATCGAAGCGGGCATCATCATCGCATAACGCGTTTTCAATTGAGAGGTGTAGCATAATTCTTCCGCTCGCTGGTATTTTACAAATCAATCTGGTATCGTCTTGAGAGTCTGTCGATAGATCGGAGGTAAAGCGAATATTGTCGCTTGATAGAATATGAGAAAGAGTGGGAGGTCTCGGATACTTTGTTAGAGTCATGGACACAGATCAGACAAAGGATTGTGATGGAGATAAAGAATTGCGCCTCTCCAACAAAGAACTTGGACCTGCATTCTTTCAAACTGAGTACAACAACAAAGCAAAGCTCGAATAGTATGGAACAACATTGAATAGCTCACATGCTAGCTAGATGATAGAGAAAACTTGTCTTACTAGATTCAGCCGTGTGGAATATTTTCAGGGAGGGAGCCACAAAGGTCCAAGATAACAGATTCTAAACAATTGCATATCTTAAATTATAAGATCATGCAATATCTCCCTTGTAAGCAACATTCCATCCTTATACTCGCCATCAATCGCCTATCACATCACATAAGTATCAACAGCCCCACTCTTCTCTAGACTTACTGCCTCTCAATCCAGTCTTAACAGAAAGAATTCAGCGAATCATTTAGGTTAGACAATCGAACCCGCTAATATGGATCAAATATTGATGATAATTGATAGAGACCTTGCTGAAGTAGTTGAGAGACTCGAGGAGATCACAGTGACTCCTGAAATAGATGGAATTATTGATCTTATTGATGAAACTATTGCGGACATTGCGGAAATAGCCTTCGAACGCGAAAGCGAAAGCATGCCAACCCCAGTGACATATCGAGATCGTGAGTCAAATGATGGAGATATTGCGGGCGTCATTGAAAACTCGGGCATTGTCACATCTGAATCTAACGAAGACCAATTGGAACAAGAATCCGAGAGCAATTGCAGAACACTTGACTGCTACGATAGCTGCTATGGGTACAGATATATGTTAGAACATCAATTTGAAATCGTCAAAGTTCAGCATGCTCTCCATTCCGAACTCGTTGCGCTGGATAGAGAAAATCAGAAAGTTCGCGAGAAGTACGAAGCTTTGGTCCACCAAATTCCCGGACTCTCAAGACTTTCTCTCCCACTCAAAGTAAAGAAGGGGTGTCTTTTTGACAATTGGGAGCATTATAGTCCTGGGGGTGAAATCTGTGAATGCGAGTATTGTTTCAACGACCTCAAAGAAGAACACATCGATTCGCTTGAAATCAGAAAAAGCACACAACAGGCACTCAAAGGCTCGAGAAAGGAGCATCGTCAGTTAATCGAGGAGTATGATGCTTTCAAAAAGTTCATGAGCAGAGACTCATGACTGACAAACTCAACCTGAAGGCTGGTCCTCATACAGGTATGTTTGCACTTTCCTTTGTCGATGTTCGTTCTTGACGTTATTGAAAAACACTAAAATACAATAAAAAATACATTTGCCCTATAACTTAAATATGATATATACTATGGAAACCGCTAGAATAGAAATAACAGTGAAATAAAACTTGTGTGGGAAAGAGCTGGTGCGTTCATTTAGAGCATAATTATGTCTCTCCTTCCATTCTTAAAGAAATCGATATGCAGAAGCTACGTGTTTGGACAACATAAGTATTTGAGCTTTCCGCCTGACCAGCTTTCAAAAACATGTTACTCCCTACTAGAATTTCACCTCCAGATAAAGCCCAATTTTCATCTACGCCGCTTTCTTCAAGCAAGAGATTGCAGAAATAATCGCGATTGGAGCCGCTGTTCCATTTGCAGGAAGTTCGACTATGCTGCGCTGCAAACCCTCTCAGAAATGTGTCAAAGATGTGGCATTCGCTTCGAGTTAGGGATATTTGACACATTTACAAGTCATAGAGATGGAACTTGGGATGATCTAGGTAACAATCGGTCATTTGATCTACCACAAGCTTGGACTTTGTAGATGTTGCTGCGGAGCTAGAACTTGGCTATACCACGACTTTGAAACTAACCTAAAGTTTGGCGTGTTGTAGGCATTTTCTCCACTTATCCTATTAATTCTCCTCAAAAGGAGAAAGAATTGTAACATAACTTCAGTCTGGAAGTCAATAGAAATAACCGAGAATAGCATTAGGCGAAAGGACTGCAAAAAATGGTGATTAGGGTTGAAGGAATTTTCAATAACTTTAGCTATTATCAAAACGAAATGAGGTAGCTATCCAAAGTATTCACGGCAAACTAAATGTCAAGAATGATGGCAAAATGTTATGTGAATTCATAATTATGATATCTCTGTCCATGAGAAAGGAAGTCTGGCTCACGTCATTAAATGCTAAATTTTCAACAGCCTTCCTTCCTGATAATACTGTATTGGAAAAGAAGTCTTTTCGAAAAGAGAGCAGGATGATTGATATTTCCACTACATCAATATTTAGGTAATCAATGTGATCTGATGTGAAATGGAATATACACAACTCTTTAAAAGACATGGTGATATCTCAGAAAACAGAAAGAAACTGCTTTGATTAAATAGATTCATACTCAATTTATTAATTGACTGGTCCTAGACTCCTGGAAGCCCGGTCAAGGCATTTAATGGACTGCCCTAAGTGACAGTTCTCTAAATCAACGATTAGTGATTCTCGATGAATTCTATGCAGAACCTCTTCAATGGCTCCGATCGAGGAGAAAAGAGAGAGAGAAAGCTTAGCATATTGTACTTATCTGTAATCTAGATGTAAACAAGAAATCCGGAGAAGATGGTCACGTGATTGCATTTAGGCGCTGCGCTTAACATGATTTGCAGGACCGAGACTAGGCTTACATATTCCCAAACATCGCAAAATCTTCTCTGTAATTTCGAAGCCTTGCTTATAAAATGTCGCTCCTCAATCTACCCAACGAAATATTTGATAAAGTCATATCGCTTGTTTTGCCAGAAGGATTTGAGAGTCTGGCTTTGACCTGCCAAGAAACTCACGCATTATGCACACCTTTCCTCGAATGTCACAATCAGCTTCGGTCACAATTCCATAGACTAGCATTAGGACCATCGTCATCAATCAAAACATTGCTGGATCTCATCCTACGAATTGATAGCGAGCCTATAATTGCCCGTTATATTATACACGCAGACTTTGGCATTGACAGATATCATTCTTATATTCAGGATTTTTACCGTAGGCATCATGGACCTCTGAAAAAGCTACTCGCTGATTCTCCATATTTGAAGAAAGCAGGACTGGACTGGAAAGAATATCATGATTTAATCAAAGCGGACCTGAGAAGGAATCGGCACTCGAGGAACTATTCACAACATATCACTGCTTTTGTCTTGACACTGTTACCAAACGTCAAGACTCTCGTGCTATCTCCTTGGCAGCCGCTCGAGGCCCCCAAAAGGCTTCTTGAAGCTATCGTTGCCGAAAGCAAGCTGTCGACGTTCCCATTTGAAGATCCTAGTCTCGCTCAACTTACCAAGATCAAGATATCAACCTACACTAGACTCAAATTTGACTGGTGGAAAGACTTTCCGTTGTTAGCACTGCCAAATTTGCGGTCATATCGGGGCCCCAACTTCGTAGCAAGAGGTGACTTATCAATTGCATACCCTTCCAAACCAATATCGGATTTTCGTTGTGGTCAGAAACTCGAAACAGTCTATCTTAAAAACTGCTGTATCAATGACGTAGCCATTGCCAATCTCCTCAAACATGCCCCACATCTTAGGAGCTTTAAATATACCCATTCGCCTGAGAAGGAAAGTGATAGTGAGGTCTGGAATATTTTCAAATTCATCGCAGCAATCGAGGGCGAGGCAGGAAGTTATCTCGAGGAACTTTCCATCAAAATTTGCGCCTCAACGTCCACTGAGGACACCTCTCTGAAAGACAGACCAATAGTTTCGATCGCCCCTAACGAAGTGTTCATGCGTGGCTTCAAGTGTCTCCGAAAGCTTGAATTACCATTGGAAATTGCGATCTGTGATCATGCCAATACCGCATTTCGAGCTACAAATTCAACTTGCATTTTAGCGAATCAAGGACCCAGAAACTTCGAAATATTCATCAATGAGCTTTTACCTGCTTCTGTTTCCTATCTATCGCTATTATCAGGCGGAATAGATGCGGGCGCAAGAAGTGATATCATGAAGGCCATTGGAAATCATTTTGTTACAGAGCAGTCTCGGTTCCCCTCCACCAAGGAAATTCAACTTTTATTGCCAGGGGATAATAGTGCAATCTATTTGTACAAAGAAAATCATTCAGAGGCTGCTGGAGAGGTCGAGAAGGTAGACGTCATTTCAAACTCTGCATCATGTGGTTTTTCTCTCGTCTACTTTCTCTAGTGGGCGCAAATACTGGCACCAGAACGATTTTTAACAAACTGAAGCGAAAATCGAGTAGAATAATATCAGTTGCAAGACTAATAGTGTCACGAGGTTCCTCAGCATGTTTGTAGATATGATACAGGGCACCAAGCAAGTCGTTTTCCAGCGAGAGGGGAAGACGGGTCGCTTGATACAGATCGCTCTCTTTATTGAAGACTGCTCAAAGTCGCCTTCTGTATCTGAGACATGGGGTTCATGATAAATAAAATCTTTTGCAAGTGGAGTCGAGGATCTTGCATTGTTCTTGAATGGTTGTTGTAATGTATTTTGTCTTAGTGGAGTGATTTTGAATATTGGTTGATGTGATTCTGGGAGTAACGGGTGGGAGAAGCAAACAGCAACTGGAGTAACGATCACGGTATAACAGTACTATATAGATAGAGAACTATGTAATATATCCACTTGTTATTATTTACTCATTATACTGGGATGGCAGATGTTCGATGCTATGCTAAGCTGAACTAGAGGTGTACGGTCATAAAGCAAAGATTATCAGTCAAAGACTATCTATTCCTCTACCATCGACCTGCATATGACTCATGAGCCAATTCTGCTCGCGTCGTCCCATTGCCTTAAGTCTTTGACCAAATCGTCCGTTTCAACCAACCTGGCATAGGAACCATCCAAGATCCCCATCGCTACTTTATGCACCTCCTCCGCTCCTATCTTCTCTTCCTTGAAGTAATCGACCCCAAAAGAAGCACATGCATCTACGACAACCACCATGTTTAATCCTAAATCCTTCGCGCCTCTCACGGTGCTGTTGATACATTTTGCACCTTCCATGCCAATCACTACAATCTCTCTGTCCTTACAGTCAAATTCTGGAAGACGTTCCTTCAGTTTACTAGATGCAAATGCACTCCCAGTGTTCTTGATAAAGACTGGCTCATGGGGTAAAGGAACGGCACAAGCATGTGGTGCGATGAAGCTAGCGTTGGCCTCAATTGGGTACAGTTCATCGCTGGGATCAGGCGAATGGTGATGGACATGAACCACTGGGAAGGATTGTTTGCGGAAGGCACTGATAATTGCGGTCACATTTGAAGTCAGGTTGGGAGTAGAGCGCGGACCCCAAGAGGATGGCGGATCGACCAAAACTTGATGGAGGTCGACGATGAGGAGAAGAGGCGATTTTGTGGGGGTGAAGACCATATTTGCTTTTTTTGATCAGATTCAGCTACTATACGAGTTGGAAATATCTATTTCATCTAAAAATGAAGATAGGAAAGCCGCGTTATATGAGTCAGACATGCCGAGATTCACAAGAATGGGCCAGAGTCACGTGGACTTGACGCGGAATCTGTAACAGCTGAATAATTTTGAATCATTTTAGAGTCACGTAGATAAAATAAAAAGTTTAATGTAATACCATGGGAAAACTGTTGGCAGCTTCCTGCATGTGTAGCTTGGAATGATGCCAGCGATTGTGAGATAATCTCAAAGACTTGAACTCTTTAATTTTCAAGAGTACGCCGTTTGATTGTGAGTGATTCGGAGATTTACCATGAAGAATTCACTTTAATAGATTGCGATTTGACAGAAAGGAGAAGTATACACAACACATTGATCTAAATTGCTGAAGGATCTTTTTTCGTTTTCAATCTCTACTTAATTAATAGTATGAACCGAGCACCAATATTCGAAGACCCAGATCTGACCTCTTTATGTCATGCTTGCACAATGCGGATAATGTGGATTCTCAGTGATTCAGTGATGAATGTAAGATATAAGCATTTTCATGCTAGCTTAAGCGCTTTGCTGTTTGAAAGGATGCAGAATTCAGAGATCTTAAGAATCTATGGTTTACATTGGCATCATTACTGGATAACACGCCGCACGCTCAAAGAAAGCTTGTGATTTAGGTGAATTTGACTTCAGCTCATTGAGATCAATATTCCTCAGTATCACGAACTTCTAAATTTTGTGATCCCATGGAGTTTCGGATGAGATAGATGTTCACAATACAAGTTGTGGCTCTCGGTGGGCAGAAGTTGGCAATATGACAACAGTTGCTGCAGGATGCAACCTTTTACATTTCGTAACTTGACTCATTCCATTAGATATTTTGCAGCTTTCTACAACTTCCATCCATCACTGTTAAGCTTCTTATACCTAGAACCCACCTCGCCTTCATCCCCCATGTCCACAATAACCTCATTCACTCTCCCTCGCTTCATTCCGCCACTCAAAAATTCAACCACTCGCTTATCACATAACAACAACAACCAAAAGACATCAAAAGAGAGCTTTCTCTAACAACCAAATCACTGCGATACTTTCCAAGCCAGGGCACAAAAAGAAAAGCCAGTCAGAAATGGCAAAACCTTGCCGCCCCTCGAGAGGGGCGGGAGGAGAAACCCCGCGACGGGATTTTTTCCAATTCGAACCAGGCGTGTTACCACTCCACCACCAGACCGCATTTGACCTGAACAAACAGGCCTGTTTGTCGCCTTTGCGATCTGGATGTGGAAGAGTCATTTATCGCGGTATATATAGTCGTTTGGGGTTATCGTGTTTGATAAGGTGATGAACTGTGCGAGATTTCTGGGTGGTCGGTGTTGAGGTTGTGGTAAGGTTTGGAGGAACTAGAATTATTTCAGGATTGATGGGTCGTACTAGGGCTTCAAAATAATGGTTCCATCTTCTTTTGATTACGATCATGCCATAATAAGAAAATTATTCTTGCAAGGTGGACGTTGAAGTTCAAAGGCGCATTGTGTGTTGGGAACATCTTTCATTCTTTGCTACATAAAGCCAATCATTCACCATAACGTGCAACACATCCCAAATCCCATCATCTCAACATCAATTCCCGACATTTTCCTCACTCTGAAGTCCAAGCACCTATGTTTTAAACTCCATCATGAAACAGTATAAACACCACTTGCGCTGGCGGTTGGTGCAGCAGGGAGCGTTTGCGTAACTGAGGTTGCACCACTGTAGAGAGTAGGACCAGGAACAGTATAATTCGAAAGAGTTCCATAAAGACTGAACAGTATACCCGGGTCGGTCGGAGTATAAAAGCTAGTCGCAGGTACACCAGCAGGTTTTGTTGTTCCAGTACCCTTGATTGCAAGACTGACACACTGTGGATAGTTTTGAGCGCCATTTGCAGAGCTAGCAGAATGGAGAGCAATGATCTCGTGGCGGAGAACATAGTTGCCAGTTGCGATATTTGAGGGTATTGTAACAGTCCAGCTGTTATTATTGGCAATCAATACATCAGTGCCCCATAGCCCACTGGTCTCTGCCGTTGGACTGATCAATCCAACTTGATCAATCTTGAACCATTGCAGTGTTGTTTTGTCGACAGTTTCGCATGGACCATTGCAGTTGGCTAGGTAATCGATGACCGGACCCTTATGAGATACGGGCCATGGTGTCCACTGAAGCTCAACCTTTCCACCTGCCTTAACGGGAGCCTCGATTTGGGCTGATGTTGCGCCAACGTGGCAGATGATATCGGAAGACGTGTACGCAGCCGGAGAGATGAAACCGTTGTCGAGGTCTTTAGGTATCAGCCAGCCAACAGTTACGGGGGCGGGTGAGGTATATTGATAGCTTGGATTGTACCCATTGTAGCTTGATATTATTAGCTCAGTTTCCGGAGAGACGTAGCATTTTTAAGGAGGGGAAATCTTACTAAATTCCATCAGCGACGATTCCAGAGACTGTGCCATGGGCTTTTACGGCTGTGACGAGTACTAAAGCTGTGAGTTGCTTGGAAAACATGATCACTGTCTTGATGGTACAGACTTTGGCGGTTGTATACTCAGACTGTATCTAGGAATTTGGTGACCGATTTATACTTCGACTGCCAAGCGTCGATATCTCCTGCCTTTCCTGGTTGATAGAAGCCAACACGGCAGTTCAATCTTACAAATGTCCAAATGAAACTGCAGCGATGACAGAAATGTTGGCAATCAAACTTCTGGTCACAGGAGCAAATAACTCGTCTTATGATCGATACTGAAAGCCTCTATGTGAAGCAGATCGACTCTATATTAATATGTTGAGTATTGGTGGTCATATAAACTCCGCCTATGGAGTTGCAAATCTTGAGCGACCCTCCTTAAATCTTGCCTTGAAACGCCCCACATGCGGTGTTCCTTCGGCAGTGTTGCCACATACCCCGGATTTTCATTTAACGTATCTCAATTTCCCGGCGAGCCGTCGGGAAGTGTGTATTCACATTTTATCCGGAACCTGGGTTATGCAGGGGTGCGGATAAAAGGAAGCATATGCATTTGGGCGATAATGATATCTCATGATCTTTGATATGATAACAAATGGAAAGGCGAAGAATAGCATGTGTCTACTATATTGGAGCAAACATGGCATATTTGGTGACAAATCTGCGAGGGAAAGCTTTGCAGGGATGGGGGCAATGCTCCGAAATACTTTGCGACGCTTTCGAGTGATTTCATTTAGCACCAGATGTGGAATACTCTTACGAAGCCTTTGCTATCTTTCAAACTTAGCAGGGTAGAGCAGCGAGGGGTTGCGAGTCACTGAATCATTAAAAATGCACCTTCTCCTAAGTCAGATGCACCTCCAAATATTTAACAATCAATCATCATTGGAGGATGACACTTTGATTTGTCCGTCCAATTCTATGAACACTGACAATTGTTTGGATTCGTTGTGGTATTATAATGATACTTGCTACTCTAGCTCAGATATAAACAAAGTTTACAGAGGAGCAATTTCAGAATCTAAAGCTCCCATGGATAAGTATTGATACCCAAGTTTAGGGAGACTCACAAATCACTGCAAGAGTAAAAACCCCATCAAAATTTGAGGGTGGAAGCTCCTTCGCCAGTTTCAAGCACCGCAACAAATTTCAGTGAAATCTCAAGCATGTTTGTCAGAGTAGAGTAGAAATACAAGTCACCAGTCAGTTTGGATGGATCTGATCAAACTAGTGAGATATTTGAAGTGAGATCAGGAAATGTTCCGCATATTTGAACGTGAGATTGGGTGCGATATAAACGTATCTACTGCTCGGTACCAAAAGTTATCATAGCTCGACATCTTAGATGCGGTTGCGGTGTCCAAAATTCCGGCCACAGAATTTGGATTATAGAAAATAAAACACCAATACTGAGACTATTCCAGAGACTGAGATGGTCTTCGATTCAAACAATCTATCTGTCAAAACGGTTCAAATATTATCGTTTTCCAAGGTCTCATGTCTGACTGTAGTCTAGACTACTGAATAATCAACTCTTGAAGTTGATAATCTGGTTGCAAAGTAAGAAATCCATGCACAAGAATAAAGTGGAAATGTAAAATCGATGCTTTCTCAACCCAAATCACCCGGGTCCAGAAGGTTGACCGAGACAGGGTTTGTGGTAATATATACTAGCCCTCAACCTCAACTTTAACTCGAAATCAACATGTGCATTCATTCTTTAGAAAGTTTCCTATTTATATTTCTTCGCCTAATCGGCATGAGCGCTCACTTTGCAGCTGAGGTTTCCAATCGCGTCACGTGGAAAAAAGACCTCTTCAAATTGCAATGAACAAGGTTCAATAGGGAGGATACCGCATAAATTTACACAATTCAACTTCGCGCATATTCACATGGGAAACTTTTCCAGGTGGTTGAAACAGACGGAAGTCTTGATCCACTGATGCTCCAGCTTTTCGTGGAAGTTTTAGCATCTCGCGCATGTGTATGTTTCAAGGGCTGACAGACTGGTTGTTCCTAGCCTATAGAACTACAAGATGAATATAAAGCTCACAAGTATGCTTGAATTGAATCTGTTGATAGTAGTGAACAAATTTGCCAGAATTAGATTCCAGGTGCCAGGCGCCAGGTTACGCACTACATGCTGAGCAACAGCAGAAGAGAAGATCGTAGAACTTCCCACTCCCACTCTCAGCATTGGATAACTTCAAACATTGCGATGGAATCTTCATAAAATTCTCCAAGACCATTTCACTTACAAGAGTCTTTCAAAACAACTTCATGCGCTTATGAAATGCCGTTGAAGTGGATATAAAGTTGTCGTTCAGCTCCACAGCGAGGTGGATCAAAAGCGTAGCTACGTCAGCCTCAGGCCAAAAGATAGCTTCACCACCCGACACCTCTCCTTGAACTGACGCAGCTTCAAGCCCCTCTACATTCACAACTTGTACACCTCTTCCCATATTTACAAACGCAAATTGTTCAATATGCCCGTAAGTGTTTGATACAATCTTATGATTCAATTCTTTTAATCAGAATATAATCTCGAGATAAACATTTTAGAACCACTCTAATCTTCAAACACCTCACCCGTCATACCTTGGACAAAGCTAACATACCACCTCTCCTAGGCCTACAACAGCATATTCAATGAAGACTCCTCCACTCCTCTCCACATAATTGGAAACTTCCCTCTCCTTCCCCTCCGCACAAAAGTCCGCGGACCCGCCTACACACTTCCTCTCGATCCCTCTCTCCCAGCACATCTCTCTCCAGAGCCCGATTCCGAATCCTACGATGCATTAGACGAAGTACTTTCGCTCTTTCGCGCCAACACATTTTTCCGCAATTTTGAAATCCAAGGGCCCCCAGATCGTCTTTTGATTTATGGAATCTTGTGGGTTAGTGAGTGTATTGGGAAAGTGAGACCGAAGATGGAGTTTAGGGAGGCGCAGAAGGAGGTCCAGAATATTGCGCTGGATAGCAATTTTGCCATTCCCGGAGAGCCGGGGTTTCCTTTGAATCAGGTGGGTTTGGTTTCCGTTTTATTTCTGCTGTTGGGTTTCTAGATGTGGGCTTGGAATTGGGAACTGGGAATCGGGTATTGAAATAGGAGTCAAAATAAAAGAAGGGAAGCTAACATGTACTCCGAAACAGATGTTCGAAGCGCCCGCCTCGAGACAAGAAGCCGAAACCCTGCGACAGTATCTAGGACAAGTGCGTCAAGAATTGGCAAGTAGATTGTTAGCACGCATTTACGATACCGAGGACAGGATGCCAAGTAAATGGTGGTTGAGCTTCACGAAGAGGAAGTTTATGGGGAAGAGTTTGTGAGAAGATGTGTAGATATGAATATGAGCTGCTTGAAAAGAAGAAGATGACATTGCAAGTTGGGAGCATGCATTTGTTAGGGAGTTGGCGGTGTTATTATGGGTGATACAAAGATATAGTTGTGGTTACGAAACGAAGCTAGGTGAAGGTGATTGACCAAGAGAAAAGGATAGGCAGACGAAGTTCACCAATCTTCCAGACTACTTTACCGAATAAAATATCGATTCTATACCTCACAGATACGTGCAGTGCAAGGAAAGTGCCATATATTAATCGCATTGGGGTCTAGCTCTATATTCCCATATTTACATCTTGTTCACCATTCGTTTGAACCTCCAAACTCCCGGGTTCCAATTTAATTTTCTTATTCGCACTCCCCTCAATATCCTCCGTAGCTCCCGTACTCGTTTTCTCTCCTTCAACTACCTTGGGTCTTTTCGAAAACTTTCCTCTGGCCGATACTTTTCCCTCCGCAGGAACAACTCTCGTTCCCGTAAACAGATATCCCTCAGCACCACCCTTACTCGTCATCAAAGGATGAGTTCTTCCTGGTAGAACTTGCCATTCGCGTTTTCTGCAGCTCTGTACCGATGTATTTAAGATAAGCGAGGGGTTCAGAGGGAAATCTTCATTTCCTTGCCATGTGGCTATTTCTGCTTGTGACAGTCCCTTTAACTCTTCTGGGGGTGATTGAATGAATGCCGTTCTTCTGCTCGTACTGTAAAGATCTGCGAGGGCGACTAGGGGTTCAATGGTGGGAGAATAGATGGTGATGGTAGCACTGGGTCGTAGAAGATGAATGGTGCGGCGGATAATTGATATAGGGTCCATGTTGGAAGCTACTACCAAGCCGGTGAAGTCGCCATGCTGTGTAGTCGACACTATATGTCTAATTCTCTCACAGCGACGCTTCTTTCGAAAATAGGTTCCTCTCTTGCCCGAACTCCATTTTGATAATTCTTCTGGAGTTGCTGAAGGAGGTGGAAATGAATACAAGCTATCGCTTTCTGGCGAAATGAGTTGAAGCCAGGATATAGGTAGGAGTCGTCTAGTCAGAGGGTGCGATGCTGCAGGACTATCGATATTGAAATTGAAATATTTCAGGAGTGAAAGATTTGGTTGAGAGTTGGTGTGTATTAAAGTCAAAGTATTAGTACTGGCATAAGGTCGATATTGACGATCGTGCTGGTGTCGAGGAGCTGGTTCTTTATCAGCTTGGGCTTCTTCTGACGCCCCTGTGAATTCCGTGGGTAAATCTTGATCTTCTTCTGGGTACAATAGGCCCATTCTCTCGGCCATAGCTGCAACGAGTAAACCACCAGTCTCATCCACAACTAATAGTCGCCCGCCACCACTTGTGTTGAGAGGGTCATCGGTATGCTCGCTTTCTGGATCCTCGGAGAAATGTACATTTGCCCAGCTTCCAGCCAAAGCCAGCATTTCATCTCTGCATTCCATGATCTTGCTAGCATCTTTCTCTTTCATCATCCAGTAATCCATCATTGCAACATCCATTGGTAGAATTGTGAATTGCCGCAGGTATTTCCTAGTTTTCAACAGCTTATATTTTGCTAATGAGAAAGAAGTCTTTTCGTCGAGGGCAGTGTGCGATAGCATTAGTTTGGCAATGAGATCCTTTCCTGCTGCTGCGCCGTCTCTTTTTAAGGTTTCAATTTCCTCTTGAGTTAGGGTCTGTCTGGCAGAGTCATCAATAGTTTCGCGATTCGAGCGCATGATAACTTCGCCATTCTCTCCAACAAGTTCGAATTCGACCCCATCCCCTCCAATTATTACATTTTCATCCGGAACTGGATTCGCTGCTGCATTTTCTTCTGCTATGGTGTCGGCATGGATCTCGGAAGCAGGTACAATCCTCAGATCCGAGTATTTTTGATCCTTTTGTCGGTCGACAAGTTCGTACTTGAGGTTATAGGGACGATCAATTATAAGATTGCTCGGAAATGTACCATATTTTCCCAGTGAGATTGGACTGGTTAAATTGTCAGCATTGAATTACCGTTAAAATCTGAGAAAACTGTAGACAAAAGAAAATTCTCCGCCAACGCTATCGAAACTCACTCACGTATTTGGAACAACTTGTAAGACTTTGAGGTTGTCTGAAGGTAGTCTTAGTGCTACCCAAGCATTTGCTTTAACCAAGTTGTGCATATTCTGAATAGTAAGAACACTCTCTTGAGCGGAGGTATTCAAAGGTATATATGCAATTGAGTGCCGATTGTTATCGTTGTCTATCAATCGATATTTATTTATTTTCGGAGTACAAATGAATCTGGTAGCCTTGCGTTTAGTTAATTTTTTCTTCTCCACAAGATTCCAGATCATTGGCCAAGCCTTTTGCTAGACATTTCAGCCTTCTATGTGTGGCGATGCTCAGCCACATCTTGAGCCACACTGAACTACCAAGTTTGAATAGTAGTAAGCTTTAAGACGCGCAATCAATTCCTTTTGATAAATACAAGGCAAGTTGAATGAAAACTCACTCTCACCAATATATTCTTCTGTGTCAACTATCTTTACCTCATCTTTTGTGAGAAAGAAACATCAAGTTTGTCGCAATTGCTCTAGTACCATTTATTTCCCAACCGCGTACATTTCGCATCAAGAGCGCAGATACGGATACGATACCCACACATCTTACTAGGTACTTATCGATACCATCGATAGTCTTTCAAGGCAATCGACCTTTGGTAGTTCTATTTAAAACATACGAGTAGCTTCTACATTCAAACCCTTTGGAAGAAGCTCGATTGTGTCTTCTTACAAATCTAAAAGCTTTCTAAGACAAATTTGAAAGCAGAGTTGTGGTTGCATTCTGGTGTCGTCTCACTTTGAATTGGTTATGACCTCATGGTTCGCTGATACCGATATTTGAGGAATTCATAATATCAATTTTACCCCAGATATCCAATCGACAGGAACAAACTTCACCCCGCTCTAAATAATACTCCTTGCTATCTAAGGACTATCACTCACGATGGTCACTCGAAAGCCCGTTCCCAAACCCAGCATCCCTTCCAACAACACCTCCTCGCCGCGATACCCCATTACCCCAGTATCTTCGGATCCACATCATGTCTCCCGTCCCGAAACGAATCACAATGCGATTTATGATCATTCTGCAGATAACATAGAGCCTAATGTTTGGAATGAAGAGAAGCATTCTCATCCTGATCACAAAAGCCTTCCCGACGCTTTAAGAGTTGGGCCATCGACAATCCATCCCAAGTCTTCTCAGGATATGCTAAAACCCAATTCCTCAATCACGAACCCATTTTTAAGAAGGCAGCAATCACAAAGTTCGCAAAGTGCAGTATCCGATGGAAAGGAAAGCAGTGCAGATATCTGGAATGAGCTCACAGAGAAACCCACACAGCCGGATTATCCACCACCACCTCCTCCTCAAATATCTCAAGGTTTGTCAGCACCCATCTAACCTGAACTTTGTACTAATCTTCTTTATAGTAACTCAACAGTTCTCGAACATGGGAGTGTCTGGGCAAGACACAAACCCTTGGCAACCCATCACGAACGAAAAGTTGCCATTACAAACATCCAGCCTTCAACGCGAAGATTCAGGAAACGAAGCCTGGTCAGGCGCAAATCCCCCAAATATCGGTACCTCTTCCAGCTTGTCCCAAGATTCGCAACAACCAGTTTTGGTAGATATTGATGAACCTGAATCTCCAGCATGGGATGAGGATGATTATGACGATGGTGAAGGGGAAGAAGGAACGCCAATTAGCCCCAAGAAGTCGACATTACCTACACACGAAACGCAGGAGATACTAGAAGATCAACATGCATGGGACTCAAGTCATGGCCAAAGTTCGAATCAGTCGCAAACGATTCCAGTTCAGTCCTCTGGGAACACACAGTATTCTAACCCTCCTGCGGAAGGGTGGAATCTAATTGATCATGATACCATACCGGAGAATTTTCAGCAAAGCGGTGTAGTCAGAGCAGATGGCACAGAGATTTCTAGAATAACCTCTGAAGAAATTGCTCCAGCGCTTCCACCGCGGAACTCTCAAGAACATCCTCCTCCTCAGCCTCCGCGCCCAGTCTTAGATGCGTCAAACACAAATATAATACCGATTACGACATCTGGTGCATCAGCCGCTGCTCTAAGACAGAAGAAAGAGACCTACGAGATTAAGAAAATATCTTGGCATGACATCAATGCCCAACATAACCCCAGAATTTCACCTATTCTGGTACAAAATGCCAACGGACCTTGTCCTCTGTTGGCCCTTGTGAATGCTCTGACTTTATCGACACCCGCAAATATGGAAACTGCTCTAGTGGAGACACTCCGGTCGCGAGAGCAGGTCAGTCTCGGATTATTGCTCGATGCAGTTTTTGATGAACTCATGTCCGGGCGACGTGGAGATGCTGCACAAGAGCTTCCAGACGTGGGCGATCTATATTCCTTTCTGCTAACACTCCATACGGGAATGAACGTTAATCCCCTCTTCTTTCCCGTTGACTCTACCCAGTCAGCGAATGATCCCAGAAATTCAATGGCACACATTCATCCTGCGCAGCGCGAGAGCTCGCTTCCAGGTACATTTGAGGAGACTCGTGAAATGATATTATATGGTACCTTCTCTGTCCCTTTGATCCATGGTTGGCTCCCGGAGGAAGAATCGCCTGCCTACATGGCACTGAAAAGATCTGCTAAATCGTATGAAGACGCACAAAACCTGATGTTTCATGAAGAGGTATTAGAAGAGAAGTTAGTTGCTGAAGGCCTCAATTTCGAAGAACAAGGGATCCTAGAGGATATTTCAACTATCAAAGCTTTTTTTATCTCCGCAGCAACTCAGCTTACAGCTCACGGCTTAGATCTCATAACTAATTCTATGAGTCCAGGCGCTGTAGCCATTCTATTTCGAAATGACCACTTTTCCACAATCTTCAAACATCCGACAACTCTTCAACTATTGCAGCTCGTGACAGATTCTGGCTATGCAGGGCATGCAGAAGTTGTATGGGAAGGCCTTATTGATGTTAATGGAGAAAGGGCTGAGTTCTATTCTGGTGACTTCAGTTTAGTCAGTGGACCTTCCACATTACACCAAGGAAATGAAGAAGGTAACTGGACCACAGTCACTGGTCGTAGAAATAATAATCGAGTTGAAACTTCACATGATACACCAGTGGGGAATCAACAAGAATCACAGAATCACGATCAAGGTACGAACACAGAACAGGAAGATCACGATTTCGCCTTGGCACTACAACTGCAGGAAGAAGAGGACGAGCGTAACCGAAATGAAACCGCACGAAGGCAAAGAGAGTCAGAGCTTTCACAGCAGTACATAGAGCAACAGGGGAGTGGCAACAATAGTAGTAATGCCCCTGTTAGCCAGCGGGGCGGTAGTGGGCGGGGTGGTACCAGAGGCCGTGGAGTCAATGTACCAGTCCGAGGAGGGTCAATTCGTGGTAGTACTAGTACACGAGGTCGTCCCGCAATTCCGCCTCGCAACAGTAATGTTGCCACTCCTGCCGTCGACCCAGAAGCAGGTATTGATGCACCACCTCCTACATACGAGCAAGCTGCTACCGAACCGGCTTACCAACCTCCAGATAATCATCCTGCACATCCAAACGCAGATCCAAGCCGGAGAACAAGTGCTTACACAGCAACCGCTAATAGTCAGCAACGTCCTCCAGCTAATGCTGCAGGTCGCCGTAATACGGCTTCCTATGGTGGCATTGGAAGGGGTAGTCAGACAATCATAGATCAGGTTCCTGGGCGCAGGATCCAAGCTCCAAATCAAGGGCTACCGACCTCTCAACAGCCAGAAAGGCAGAAAGATTGTATTGTTATGTGATTATTGCATTTTATGAATATATGGCTACGATGGATAAGCAATTGGGACATGAATTGAGCGGAATTTTAAGCCAGGCGTTTGGGCAATAGGCATTTTGATTTACAAGAAGGAATATATCACGAGCTACGGGTGGATGAGGGAAATTTTCTTAATGTATTATACGCTTCTTTTGCAAGTGATTGATTTGCACGCGATGAATGGGAGGACAGAACTGGAGGGTGATGTGGTTGTTAATAATCAGTTTACTAGTATACTTTGAAATTTGTGGACTTGATTTGATAATAGTATATATAGGTAATTCTCTCTTCTGCTTCAAACAAGATCATTCAATGATCGAGATTCGCAAATCAAATGACATTCTATCAATGCTTCAAATTGACTTTATATTCAAAATGAATTCAGGGGACTGTACTTGGAGTTGAAACATGTTGCAATTAATGAATGGATCTTGCTGTACCAGTGTACTTCAAGGAACGGAATTCCTTGGTCAGCCAGCTTTGTCGTGTCTGTAGCTAGATACCGGAATGCTGTTGCTATGCACGATATGCCTTGATTGTATCACAACATGAGAAGATATCTATTTCTTATCCTTAAATCAATATGAGAAATGCGAGTATAAATTCATCTTCCACGAGGATACTTGGAGAAGATAGATGGAACAATTTGCACATCAAGATCATGTGTTTTTAGGCCCAAAAGCGTTCTTCAGTGTTTCAATATGGCTTCAGTTCCTCGGGCTTTGGTTTTCACCTTGGCCTGCGGTTGATTTCTTAGTGGCCCCGGTTTTCTGTGTTGTCTCAACATTTCTTTTCACCATTTTGAAAACGTCTTTGCCCTGTATTGTTGATGTCATTTACGTTTATGATCGCCAAGCTTGTCTATTAAGCCTACGAATCAGAATGGACGAAAGGACCGACTCTGAAGATATTTACCCCTATTTAACCGCAACTAAACTAACCAGCATTATGGATAAATGGATAAATGCAACGAGCCCCCACCACAACCTGTGCCTGCATATAATATCCCCTCCTGTTCCTCATCTTTGGTTTTTATTTCTTTCAATTGCAACGTCTAAATATCTGATCAATTACGTACACCATGTCTGACAAAGAACCTCTTATTACTCACATCTACACCGCCGACCCTTCGGCTAATGTTTTCAACAACACTCTCTACATCTATCCCTCGCATGACATCCCGACCGATATCCAAGACAATGATAATGGAGATCAATATGCAATGGAAGATTACCACGTCTTCTCAATGTCCTCGATCCCCGGTCAGGTAACCGATCACGGCGTTGTTCTCTCTAACTCTTCCGTTCCCTGGGCCTCCAAACAGCTATGGGCCCCAGACGCCTGCACCAAGAATGGAAAATACTACTTGTATTTCCCAGCTCGCGACCATGATGGTGTTTTCCGTATCGGTGTTGCGGAGAGCGATAAACCTGAAGGTCCTTTTACTCCCGATGAGAACTATATCCCGGGAAGTTATAGTATCGATCCTTGTAGTTTTGTGGATGATGATGGAGAGGCTTATGTTTATTTTGGAGGAATATGGGGTGGTCAGCTTCAGTGCTGGGGAAACCAACATAAGGTTTTCGAAAAGGAAAAATATAGCACCATGGAGCCTACTACTGGACCTGCACTGGGTCCAAGAGTGGGGAAATTGAGTGAGGATATGCATTCATTCTCTTCTCCTGTCCAGGAAATATCTATCTTAGATGAGAAAACTGGTGAGAAGATTGGTGCGGAGGACCATGATAAAAGATTCTTCGAGGCATCGTGGATGCATAAATATAAAGGAAAATACTATTTCTCATACTCAACGGGTGATACACATTACCTGTGTTACGCGGTAGGAGACAAGCCTGAAGGGCCATTTGTGTATAAAGGGAGATTATTGGAGCCAGTGGTGGGATGGACGACTCATCATAGTATTGTGGAGTTTCAAGGACGTTGGTGGCTGTTTTATCACGATTCTACTTTGAGTCAAGGAAAGAACCATTTGAGGTGTGTCAAGGTTAGAGAGATCTTCTATGACGAGGATGGTGGAATGAAGGTTGAGTAATTGGAGAAAGATGGGGTGTTCTTTGTTGGCGGTGGCTATTTATTACGTGTTATGGCATGAGCAACTTCTTTTATGGCTCGCTGCCTCGTATGTGTTGAGAATCAAAAAGGAAATAATTCAACGGTACCTTCCTCAGTAACTTCCATCGTTCTTCTCAGTATGTGTACGTTACCGTTTCAACTAAAAACATCATTTTGATCCATATCTATAGAATAGTACTGTTAGGCCAGGATAGACTTGTCCATGGTAATATTAACTTGCGGCAGCTTCTTTACATTATCAATCCTCCGCTTTTCACTGTTTAGTTATTGTGATGACTTCAAAGCTGTAGGTCGTTGTCGAATCAGTTGAACATGTGGCGCCTTCTTTATTACTGTTCAACTAAAAAGCTGTGTCGATCGTAACTTACTCTTCACATTGAGTCTATCTCAATAATATCTCATTACACCTGATGAATTGAGAATTTTTTATTTCTTTATCGGAGCAAAGTATTGAATATTCATAAATTATCGAGTTATTGCACATCTATACTTCTTCTGGTGTCAGTTTACACGGATGGATCCTGCGTTTGTATCTCGGTTGTATGTAGAGAGTTTGTATTTATTTTCAAATTTCCTGCTGACTCCATTATTATAGCAATCCCGGTGGGTTTCCCTGGGCGGCTGAGCAGATTGATCGTGATTTGTTGACGGCAAGACTTTCACATCAATTTGGAGTTCAGATGCCGTTCATAGGGACAGATTGGCTTTAAACTTTAACGGCTTCATTAACTTTCCAAACGACGACGTTTGTATTCGGTTTTTTGAATATTATTTTTCAACACTCGGGCAGCTATTCGACGTCATCGACAAAGACGAGTTTTTTGCCAATAACAAAGCTCAACTCATCTCCCCAAATAAAAATGACAGGTTATTTTACTTCCAGAAAGCAGCTATCATTGCTATTGCATCCCCTCTACACCCGGTGCCAGCCCCCTTTGTGGAAAGCCATTTATCTTACGCAAAAGATATGGCCTTCGCAGCTTGGCTACCTATGCGTCTCAAAACGGTCGATGACTTTCCAGCGGACGTGCTCAGATATCTACAGACTCGTGTTCTGTCCTACCTTGCTAGAGTAAATGTGGGCTGTAGCCTTCTCAGTCTATATTGCGAATCCCAAAAAGTCGTCACAGACGCGGCTAAGATAGCCAGATCAAACAAGGAAGTTGATGAAACACTCAAGTGGAAGCTGCTTATTATTGTTGCCTGCCTTCATTTACAGATTTCATTATTAACAAACACCTCTCCGGGAGATGAATGGAGATACCTACAATTTCGCCTTGAATTTAGAGGAGTGGCTGCACCTAGCTGTTTCGTGCTCTCTTATGAGCATGGATATCCATCAATAACTACGGCCGAGGAATACGAATTTGTCATAAAGAATATTTGGCTTTCTCATATACAAACACAGCTTGATGAACAATGGATAAACTGGTCTCCGTTAAATAGGTTCAGAGGCATACTGGGTATGAAGACTTCCTCATCCGGAACTTATGTTTCCACATTAACATTTCCACATAGAAATTATGCATCTTAACAGAAATAAAAGAAACGATTTGCATCAACGCTTTTGCTTTCTATACGGGGAAGAATCAGACATGAATTCCAACGACAACAATGAAGCAGCGGCAAAATTTCATGACGAAAAAGTTATATGTTACAAACAGATCCAAACTTGCTCTGGACTTTTGTCAGATCAAACAATGACGAGATACAGGGGATTATTCAACGTCATGTTCCGATATGATTTAGAAGAGGCAAAAGCTTTTTTGGATCTGATCAACTTGGATAGTTGGAATGGGATAGATCAGCTACCTGAACTGGAAAAACGGCCGGGAACTATCGGAACCGCCGGCTTCAATGTTGTCATTAAGAAAGAAAAAGAAGATAAACGAGACTATGAGTATGTCATCGATGAGGAATTTTAGTGACTCATTACCTACCAGGGTATGAACAATCATTCAGTTACTCGGTAAATCCATCAGTCGTTGTACAGACTGACAAGTGGTTCAAAAATGTCCCCCAATTCCTCTGAAAATTATCGTTCGAAGAGAAGCGTGAGTATGGGTGAGCGTACGGAATGCCTGAAAGGCTTCATCAAAGCATTATTGATATGAGAAATACCGCGATATTAGAAGAACAGAATCTGGGCATGGAGAAAATCATTGTGCTACTTGGGACTGCAATGCGTTTCTACTGAGATTGATTTGTGCTCCTGCAAGCTGTTGGAAAAAAGAACTTTGGGCGAGGGAGTTGAACAACAAATTGGTATAACAGGTTCACGAAATCATATCTGGAAGTGTCTTCGAGTTTGTTTAGATAATGAGCAACGAATAGATTATTAGAACAATGGATATCTTTCTCTAAGCAACAAAAGCAAAAAGCAAAACTGTCTAGCTGATCTAAATCCCCCCACACCTAATGGCTCCGCATATACTATTGTATCATTCATTCAGTAACTTTGCAATCACACTTCCCGTCACCTGTGACTCCCTAATTACAGATGACCGCCACTTTATTCTCCCACTTCTGTCTTTCGGCCAACTCTACCATGTACCCCGCAACACTCTTCCTCGTACATCCCGGCAAGTGACCCATTCCCTTTCCCTCAGCCCCATACTCCACAACACTCTTCTTCTCTCCCTCCTTCAACATCGCACTTCTCACAACACTGTACTCCAAGCCTGAAGCCTTTAGCACTTCCTCCGCAGCAGCGTGATCCTGAAATCCAACCTTCCCCATCGTCGAATTATTGATAAGTAAACGCATGGGTAACCAAAGCGCACCATTCGAAGAACCCACTCCAAAAGCAGACATATAGACTATTTTCTTGACGCCATGGGCAGCCATTGATTGCGTAACTGTCGAGATGACATTTTTAAGGAAATCAGGAGGAGAAGTCGATGCTGCGAAGGGGGAATCCGACGCCCGACTAGACGAGAGGGTTACGAGGACAGTGTCGATTTTGGGTCCGCTAGTAAAGGCGCTTGTGAGATCGGAGGAGGAAGATGGTGTGCCTTTTATGACTGTGAGGCCGGGGGCTTCGGGGATGGAGGAGGGGTTGCGCGCGAGTGCTGTGACGGTGTGGTCTGGTGGGGTAGGGGTTAGCGAATGGGGATTTTTGGTAGGCTTTTCCTTATGTGTGGGGTGGCACTGAAATGCTTGGCTTGGGACCGGGGTAAAGGGATGAGGTATACATACTTTGTGAGAGAGCTTCAGCAAGTACAAGACTTCCTGTTCTACCAGATGCGCCTAGAATGAGGAAATGCATTTTTTCGATTGTGATTTTTCCTTTCTTTTTGGTTGTTGTTGGTTATTTGTGTAATGGGAAAGTAGTGGTTTGCATGTATCGAACACAAGAAGAAGCAGTTGAATATTGCGATTTTCACTTTATTTTTTTGCTTTCTACAATGCGAACTCTCAAATATATGTACTCGCTTCTCACAAGAAATCCACGAGTAGAAAGAACGAGGCAGTGAATAAGGAGGCTCTTCTTCCATACTCTTCGGATCCGGATCCCGGACCGGAGATAACAACTCCACAGAGCGGCCTCTTCGCGAATATCCCGTTTTTGACATTATGAATCAGCAAATTGATTGTATGACAGACAAAGAGTGAGAGTTTAATGCAGCTGACAAATATTAAAGCTGAGTTGGTCTCTCACAGAGAAATGGTTGGTATGGATGTTGTATCCCGAGTTTGATGTTTGGGGGCGAGGGAGGTGAGATGACTGTTACGAGCTCCGGACGAGGCAAATTTATATTAGGATGGTCAAGGCTGGGAAATCTCTCCTTTAACTTTTTTCTTTTCTATAGATAGATGATTCTACGACGCTTCCGCTATGCCCCATTGAGCAACCTGCAGAATGCGAGTTACTAGTACCAATTTTTGTGTGACTGCGAAAAGGGACATCGATCGGAGGAAGAGGAAGGCACCAACGTGCCCTGGAGGTGGATATCGTTAATCTCCGCAATTCTCTTCTCCGAATAGAGCTTTCGCAAAACACCAACAACTTCGGTATTATTTCATGAAAGGTCTTGTTATTTGCGACATTTGTAAAGATAATAGCAATTGCTACGTGGGAAATAACATACGATCTACACTAGCTCTTCGGTTGATTTAAGGAGGAGCCTAGGATCAAAACAACAGAATCTAAATACCCACGATCGTCTAGTCGCAACAAACCACTACCCATTTCTTCACCTCTATTGCACATCATAAAATTGCAACTCAAATCCTAAACTCCCGTTGAATGTCATGAGTTCACGAGATATACTCTTGTGCCCAGTAGCACTATAATAGATATGTCTTCCCTCGCTAGTACACTCATGACGTAAGTTGGGAGCTAGTGTTAGTATTTGTAGATTTACCAAGAACGAAATTTGGGATCCAATACGCATATACACATAAAATAATACTCGGTGATCGCTGATAATCAATATCGAAGAACAATAGGAACCTTTCACTTACTTTTCCATTTACAAATTATCATTATCAAGCTCTGGGCAAACCACTCAGATTTTCCCTTGAGAATAGGGCGTGTATTAAGCATTTCAAATGACAGCATTATAGTTAGGCAAAAGAAAACCCGACAGAATGGTTTGGAAGCAGCAGAAATTCAAAAAATCTTTAGATTTAGATATAATCTAGAGGATCCATATTTTTATGAATCCCCATCGCTAACGTCAAAATTCCAAATCACACCTCATTTTTGACCATCCATCCGTCACCCACACCTCCAAATATTGTTACATTTTCCCATTATCACCTAGCCTCTCGAAATCTACTTCAAATTCACCAATTATTTGGCAAAATGAAGATCATATCCTAGCCATTTTCTTGCGTTGACCTCGGAGACGCTAAGGCCTGGGTAGCCGTATGTCAATGGTAGGAAATAGTACCATCCAAAAAGCACAACAGAAAGAATGACTCCAACTGCTGCCCAGGACATCATCAAGTTCTGTCCAGCGAGCTTTTCACGTGCAGGAAGATGCTTCTTAACTGCACCTGCCTTCTTTGCGACTCCTGATGGAACATCGTCCATGATAGGCTCTACGTTGAAAATGAACTCAAGTAGCGCACCAGTGATCAAACATGATGCTAAGTGAGCAGGTAAATAATGATGCAAGAACAGTTGACGGCCCATAAGGTAGAATGGTAGATAATGTGTTGCCCAGGCAAGGAAAAAGAAACCGGTAGAATTGTAGAGACGGGATCGGGTACCTAAAATGATCGTTAGTTATGTCCTTTAAAGCTAAGCGAGAATAGGACTCACGGTTGTCTAATGCATCAACTCCGCGACGTAATGACAATTGATCAGCAGCCCAAATGCCGGCATAAACTGCAAGTAAACTACTTGCCAACCACCAACCAAGGGGATTTCCTAAAAAGTAGATTTGTTGTCTGGTGTCATTATGAGTCCAAAAACTAACACCTCTCAATAGAAATGGCCAAACGAAGGGTTCGCTAGCATATGGATGGCTGCTGGTCAAAGCATTGTTGTGATAGAACATTGCTCGTTGCAACTCGAACCATTTCTTCAAGAATGGAACGCTCTTAACCTTACGTTCCTCCTTAATCAGACGTGGAGAGTCCTTTGGAATGGATGGTATCTCATCCACATACCAGATGTTAGAGCTTTGAGCCAAGTTCTTGTTTCCGTTGATTTCTTGTTGTTTGTAGGCCCAATCTGGTAGAGGGGTTGTGTGTGTCCACATGGCAACCTTACTTGGCCAATGAATGAGCTTGAATTGTCCTTGAAGACTCTTGAAATCTTGGCGTGGTTTGCCGTTTTCAATTCGAAGTTCGAAGAGAGTATCATTTAGACGCTCACCCAATGCGTCTTCGATGGAAACTGTTGTGAATTCTTGGTTTGTTGGGTAATATGGAGAAGCAACATCGTGAGACAAGAGCATTGTGTTAGTGACAACGTGTCTTAATCTAACAACTTCATTGTTCTTGACAGGGCGGCCTTCAACTTCTTCAAATGTGCCTGCAGGAATGATTTGCCAGTGGTTGTTGGCATCGGCATAAGGATAACCAGTGACTTGTTGACCTTGACTGGAGACTCTACCATCATCATATCTAAGAGGATATGTATCGGGATGACTGTGAAGGTATCCGTGTGTTTCCTTGTGCTTGATTTGAATGTTATCAAAGTAATTGATAGTAACCGCGTTTGCGGTCATGGCGTTGTCGCTAAGAGTCTCTTGGAATTCAGGAGACATGAAATCGTCACCTGGACCAGACTTGGTCAAGATTGCGAAGTGAACTTGGAACCAAAACAAGTAGAACAGGAAAGGTACAATGATAAGGGCAACGGCGCGAGCGGCGAAATGCTTGCCAAATTCTGGCAAGCTCAAAGCACCCTGACGGCGGTTGATATCCAGCAAACTCCAGAGGTCAATTGCGACGGCAGAACCAATTGTAACAAATGCGAATGTACCAACATATTTGGTGGAGATGTCGCAACTCAAGGCGAATCCAGTCAAAAGGAGCCACTTCCACCACTTTCTCGAAAATGGAATATGTCGGAGTTTATAGAATTTGATATAGCAGAGAAGACTGCATGCCATTGCAAGAACAAGGGTGGCATCCAATAAGATCAAACGAGTTTGCCCAATATGCGCATTGTCGAATAGTACCAACGAAGCGGAGAGGACACAGGCAGGTAGAGTGTAACCAGATTCCCACATGATGGCGAAGACAGTTGGGACTGTCAAAGCTCCCAGAAGAGCAGGCATAGCGCGGAAAGCCACATATGGCACCTTGTTGTCGATGTATGAATCCCCAATGTTTTCAAAATGGAAATGTCCGTCGTATCCCACAAACCAACCCATCAAGGCGAAGAGAAGCTTTCCAAAAGGAGGGTGAACATCGAAAAAGTAGGTTCGCTCAAGGTAATATGAAGCAAACTATTGAACAATGGGTCAGAAAAAGCTAACTTTGAAGGGAGAAATATAATGCAAATTACCTTGCCGAAGTGGACTTCGTCAAACACCACCTCATTAGGATGACTGATTCCCCAGAATCTTGTGACGAATGCCAGAATTGTAATGATTGCCAATGCAATCCTGTAATCCCATTCTGGTCCAGTTTTGGTCTGTAAATCTTTCACCAGAGCATCGAGCTCAGGATGCGGCGCCGCAACAGTAGAGGCGTCTTTTGCTTGAGGTGGAACTGAACCACCTTTCCGTTTTCGAACGGAACCTTGAGAAGACATATTGGAGTATAAAGGGTATAAGAGATTCTAAGGGACGAAATACAGATTAGACATATGTACCTATGCGAGGTGTGGTTGCAGGAGCTATGATAAAACGATGCAACTGTGTCAAAACTGGGAACAACTTACAAGAGTGCTTCACAGCAACTTTTTTTAGAGAGTGTAAGAAGATAGCATTGATCTCAAAAGAGACCAGCAGGAATGAATTGTTGTCTCTCGTGTTGATTGACTTTTTTAAAGAAACTGAAGCCCCTTGACAGAAACGGGTTGAAATTATTACTCCAAGTTTAAGCCGCGTAAGAATAGGACACTTTGTTAAGAATCTCGCCTGTTTAAAGTGAGCTTTAGCTTCATCATCATTTGTTTGATCAACTCAGGGGTATAAAATGTATTTGCTCTTGAAACGGAACATGTTTATATTATTTTTGCATATGTAGCTATTCAGATTTATAGATCAATATTTGAGATCAACATTTACATTTTCATATTCACACCCAGTAATTGACCGGTTTTTATTAACCTTGAGACCAAGTGGGAAGGTACAAAAAGAAATATGAGTCTAAAATTAGCCCGATCACGTGAAGATAAGAGATGAAGATAAGAGCTCTGACAACTGCTCCAAGCAGAACTCAAGCGTCTCAGTAATCAGTTGCAATAGCTGGTATAAAAATACTTGATCGCTATACTGGACTCCCGCTTTGTCCCGAATCCGAACAAAAGTCATATTGATGCCACGGAGAAAAGATGTTTTCAAGAATCGTACTCAGACATCGTGCCATCAGACTAACTAGTCGTTCCTCGCTGACCACTACTCTTACTACAACACCTCAGCGAGGTACGATTTCGACAACACATACTCTGAGAGCTTATAACACAATCTTAGCTAGAGATTGGTCATGCTTCAGATGTGGTAGACATAAATATGCGAATAAAGAAGCGAGTCTGTGTCGTCAGTCTAAGAGGTCTATTACAACAATCAATAGCGCAAATCTCCCAGCTCGTAAGTTTTTAGATTGAGTTTACAAGATTAGATACTAAGCCTGCTACAGCAATTGGTCCATACGTAAGTCAGCATTGTTCAAACAGTATTTGAATATCCGTCCGTATTAATCAATATCTTGGAACAATAGTCCCATGCTGTACAGACACCTTTCGGTATCTTTGTTTCCGGTCAACTCCCTGCAGATTTCGAAGGAAACCTCGTAGAAGGAACAATACGTGAAAAGACGGAAGCAGTTCTCAAAAACCTCCAAGAAGTTCTTGTCACCGCCAAGTCCTCTCTCGATAGGATTGTTAAGGTCCAAGTTTTCTTGACAGACATGAAAGATTTCGCCGAAATGAACGAAGAGTATGAAAAGTGGATCACTCACAAACCAGCAAGAAGTTGTGTAGCCGTTAAGGAGTTACCGAAAGGTGTCAATATTGAGATTGAATGCATCGCCTTGCCCTCAATTACTGGGCCCAGGGAATAAGACTTATTGACTGCGCGGCGGGATTATCTTTCTATCATATGATACCCATCAAGGTATGGTGCAAACACACATAGATTTTATCTCGTTCTGTGTTGTTTTGGTGGGTGACTAGGTTCTGAGCTGTATGAAGGATGAAATGCGAGCTAGAGTAGAGACAGATATTCAAATGATAGTAGTACTTTCTGATTATCTAGCTGGAAATTGGCATGGACATGAGCTTTTTTACGACTTCGAGACTCAAAGTTGCAGTCATAATAGTCCGGTGTCAATGTTCTGGCGAGATTCACTAATGAATTCGGTATTGTGGTCGGCTATTACACGGTTGAGGTTGTAGATCCGGTGAGTGGAGCACAGATAAGACGAAGTATCTATGTATACCCTGCAGTCTGCTCTTTCGATTTACTGCTGGTGCATTTATCAAATCCCGAATAACAGCTTGGGCCCGGCTTCATTTTCTACTTCGGGACTTCAAGAACTGATGTTCTTACATATTCACCCGGTACTTCCGTTAGCCCTCGAACTAAACTGTATGTGACAGTGGGCATGTGACGATGAATTTAAATGGGTATTAGAAGTCTCCATATTATCTCGAACCTACAAAGTATATAATCCTTCAAGCGAAGTCCTTTTCTCACTAGTCAATACGTGGCATCCGCGTAAAATTCACTAGCCTCTGAACTCCCGTTCAAGCGAACCGGATAAATTGAGGCAAAATCACGAGTTCATCAACTTCATCATTTCACGGCCCGTCATTTCCTAGTATTAATAACAAATCTCACATATGCACCCCAGATAGTTCAACGATAATCTGGGGAATTGTGTAACCACTTAGGTTAGACGGCATTGATTAGTGGAAATGTCTGGGCATATTTGGAGTTCTGCAGGGTATGTTGCTGGGGTGGTTTGATAGTTTTTATTCACTTTTTTTTGTATAAATTGGTTCCCCCGAGATTTTTGTATTGCCTTTGAGATCAATGTGCGTTCTTTCCTTTGCTCAAGTACATTCCAGTCCGAATTCTCAAAAGGTTTAGAGCTCTCCAGCCTGTGTTGTAATAGGAATATCGCAACGAACCCACGCAAAGCTTATTAACAATGAAGGCCAATCTCGTTCTCTCTGCTCTTTTCTCTTCTCTTCTTCCCACACTCATCCACGCTCAAGCGTCCGGAAGTGGTACAACAACCCGGTACTGGGATTGCTGTAAAGCATCCTGCGGTTGGTCCCAAAAGGCCACCTTAGCCACTGGTTCCAACCCCGTCAGTTCCTGTGACATCTCAAACAATCCACTCACCGACTACAATGCTGTCTCTTACTGTGCTTCTTCCTCTGGTACTGCATTTATGTGTGGCTCACAAACACCTTGGGCAGTCTCAAATACAATGAGTTACGGCTTTGCAGCTACGACGATCTCGGGTGGAACGGAGGCGAGTTGGTGTTGTGCTTGTTATCAATTGACATTCACGAGCGGGCCAGTGGCTGGTAAACAGATGATTGTCCAGGCTACTAATACAGGTGGAGATTTAGGAAGTAATCAATTCGATCTTGCTGTATGTCTACATTCTCTCCTCGCCCCATCACTGAAACACGTGAATATTTCACTGATTCTCCCCTACTAGATTCCCGGCGGTGGTTTCGGTATCTTCGACGCCTGCACACATCAATATCCATCGACTCCAGCATCCGCATGGGGTGCCCAATATGGCGGTCTCTCTAACCGTACCCAATGCGCCTCACTCCCCGCCGCCCTCCAAGCCGGCTGCTACTGGCGCTTCGACTGGTTCCTCAACGCCGACAATCCCGCCATTACATTCCAACAAGTCGCATGTCCTGCTGCGCTCACCGCCAAGAGCGGTTGCGTACGCGCCAACGATGCTATCAACGAGACGCCCACAGGTTCAAGTGCAGTCCCTACCTGGGCGAGCTCAACCGGCGCTGCTGGCTCTACTTCTTCAACAACTACGAGCACGAGTAAGAGCACGAGTGTAGGTGCAACGATCAGTACCTCTTCGACAACAAGCAGTGCTGCAAGTGGCGGAACGGGAACACCCGTTGTGCGTTATGGACAGTGTGGTGGAATTGGATGGTCGGGTTCTACAGCTGTGAGTTGAGAATCGTTTTTTTTTTTTTTTTTGCGTCTTGAATTTTTCAATGATTACTTGTTGTCTTTTATTGTTGCTGCGTGCTGAACATTGTATCGACATGGCTAATGCTAATTGTTTGAAAATAGTGCGCGTCGCCTTACACGTGCTCGGTTTTGAATGCTTATTACTCGCAATGTGTATAAGGATTTATCGGGTCGGAAGGAAAGGGAGAATAGTTATTAGACAAGCGGAGGGGTGGCTGGCGGGCTGGTCGGGATGTCGAATTTGTACATATCGCGATGGTTCTCTGTACATATGGAGGGGGGTTTTCAATCATAGTACAATTATCGATGCTGTGGCTTCTGGAATATACAATCGGATGCTGGTCTCAGTGAGTATGAATTAGGGCATTGTCATGTTGTGGTGGGAAGCTTTGTGTTTAAGCGCATGTGATCTCAAAAGCACCGTCTAGCCTAGACTCGTCAATGAGATCAATGTGTCGGTTTCCAATGATTTCTTTGCCATAAACTGTCTTTCATAGTAATTCAACTTATCATGGCAAATGAGATTGTGCGCAACACCATCAAAGCATTGTTTCGAGAACTAAGTCAATCGAACACTCGTTTCTCATGAATCCAGATTATACAATGATATTATACAGATAGTTGATCCTCCTACAAGCGATCTATCCTATCAAGCCACTCTCTAAACAATAATATTATCCTCGTCATCAGACGGTGTAGACTCATATCCATCAACCTTCGAAACATAAGGCGGCCTACAAAAAATCCATCAGCAGGCTCCTCACCCCTCTTCCCACCCACAAAACAAACACACTCACCTAGCCCAGTTTCTCAATCCCACCAAGCCCGCCGTACCCACAGCATAAGCCCCCAATAAATTACTCCACCCCGTCTCTCCAATCTGTCTCTGACCAACCGCCAACGCTACCAAATCGTACACTAAACATCCACCGAAAATCCAATCACTATTACTAGCCAACATACCGAATCCCAATCCTGTAACGATTTTAACAGCGGTTGAAGGACCCTCATGGTCAAAATAGGCTACAGAGCCATTGTGCAGAAGATCCAAAACACCGATTCCGGCGAAAGTTTTGGAAACTACATGGGTGAGGATTGAAGAGGTGGATTGTGTGTTCATAGCTGGTTGACGAGCAAATATGTAGTAAAGTTGAGTGAGGGAATTGATCAGCACGAATATATTTGCGGTTTTGAGGGAAGCGGAGTTCCAGAAAATCATCCAGGCTGTTTGGGTTAGCACTGGTGTACATTTCATTTCGTCTAATCATCCCCCTCCATTGGCTTTTGTAGGAAAAAAAAATACTCACAAGCAATACACAAATTCCCCACGCAATAAAACGGTACGAAATCCATCATCTTATCTACCTCCTCCTTCTCCTTGATACTTTTCTTCGGATCCAATTTCCACAATCGATATAACCATACAAGTTGGAAGATCTGTTGCGGGAAAAAGAAGAGTGCAATGGCGTATGGTTGAGGAGACCAGAATGAAAGATGCGCATCGTGGATATCTTTCATATTTGGGGAGGATAGCATGCCATATTGTTGAGCTGCGAAGTCGATGATGAAGGAGAGGGGGCGACGTATCGCGCGGTGCTATGGGAGATGCCCATTTTGAGTTGAGGGTGGAGATGTATTGGTAGAGTTGTGGGATTGGGGTTGGGGGATTGGATTTTATGTTGAAATTTTATGATAACAAGGAGGATGTGGAGAGGCAAAGAGAAGAAGTGAGAAATATATATAAATGGTGGTATTGTATGGTATTTTGTTTTACTGGCGATGACGATGATATCGATTTGATAGCTCGCTCCTTCCGGATAATCCGCCCAAAAGTGATGATGTCAACGATCTAAATAAGTTTTAGGTTCGTCCCGGAGGCTTTGTCCCGCGTTCAATAATTTAATTACTACTCCATATTTTAGTCAATTGACTAATTATGTACATGTTGATTCAAGATTGTGTGTATCGAAATCCAAGTCGAATTTTCATTTATATCGATCGACCTCGCGTCTCGTTCATTCATGAGGGGAAATAAGAGGAGTTAGTTTTGTGGAGACCAAGATCTTCGAAATAGATAAATAGGCCCCCTGTCGTTCATTTATCTGCCTGCTTGTGCGTTTCTTTAGAGAGTTGGAATTGTAATTCTTATGGGTATGTGAGAGATCTATGTTTGATGTAGACACATCAATACAGATTCAATTCATCAGCTTCTGATGTGCTTCTTGTCTCTTCAGTGTGGGTAGTCCAAATACTGTGGATTATACTAGGCTCAAATGTCAAATCCTTCATTATGTCATTGTGAGACATTCGATACCTCGTTGAATCCGATCCGACATCACGGAAAATTTAGTACCATCTTGACTTTTTCTCAAACACTACTCAACTCAATCCTCATCGGCCCTAGACCACTAGCATCACTTCCGCTTCCCGATACCACGCCTTCCGTCTGTATCTCCAATCCTACCAAGATCGGTCCCTTCAATAGCCTCCTCAACCTCATCTTACCATTCATCTTTCCACCAGCATTCTCATCATCACTGCCGCTCTTCGTCGTCAGTCTTTGGAACCCAGCTTGGATATCCTCTAGAGACCTCAATCGCGTCTCTGGCATCCAGATAGCCATTACAAAAACGGCCAGCAATGAGAAGCCTCCAAACATGAAATAAGCACCATAACTAGAATGAGCCAGGAAAATCGGTGTCAAGAACGCCACCAACCAATTTGCGAACTATACAGCCATTAGCAATTTCATCTTCATGCCTTCATATATTCAATACTTACAAAGCTCACCCCCTGAGCCAAACTATTTGCCTCATTTCTAGTCTTCATGGGTTGAATCTCGCTAGCATAAATCTTTCCCATGACCGCCCATGTCGCACAATACGTCAGCGCAAATACAAAAATTAAAACCACGACGACCCAGCGTACAATCCCATAGGAATGGACAGAATCCGAAAGATATAGTGCGCCGATAATGAACATCGACGAGGATAGTATGATACCGCCAACTAGACCGGATGTACGACGCCCCCATTGATCGACGTAAAGGGTAGCTGGGATGGTGATGGCGACCATAAGTATGGCACTCACCCCCGAAGCGAGAAACGTGGACGTTGTTCCGGGTAAACCTGCAGTTTCGAAGAGAGTTGGTGCGTACTTTTTCATGTCAGTAATCTGAAGTTGAAAAGTCTGTGAAAGTGACTGCACACATATAAAACCCCATCAATCCCACTTAATTGCAACGCTCCCAACAAGAAAACTGCCAAGAAAGTTCTGCTCCTATACTCTTTCTCGAAGATTCTCAAGAAACCCCTGATTCCCTTCTTTACATCCACAGCAACTGGGAGTGGAACCAAAATGTCCTTCTCCGCTTCTTCTTTCTCAATCCCCAATCTTTCTAGTGCCCGCAATGCTTCTTCTCTTCTCCCCTTATGTAGAAGCCATCTTGGTGAATCCGGCAAGTAAGCACAGAAGGCTGCGAGGACAACAGCAAGTAACGACTGAATAATGAACGGGGCTCGCCACGACATCGAAGACTCCAAGCGGGCAGAGCCAAAACAAGTAAAATATCCTGCGCAAACACCAGCTGTGCACATGAATTGTGGTAGCGAAACGAGCGTTCCTCGTGATGCACACGGTGCTGTCTCGGTGATATATCTAGCTTGATGTTAGAAATACTACATATTATCCAAGTCCATTCTCTCAGTCAAACTCACACACTAACACACCCCAACCACAAACCCTCGCCTAAACCAGCGAGTGCTCTTCCTGCTAACAAAACCCCCAATTCATCTGCACCAGCTTCCATTCCCGTTCCTAATGCAAAAACAAGCGATCCAGCCATAACCACATAAAGATGGCCGATCCTCTCAGCCAGTTTACCACCGAAAATAGAGGGCATAGCACCAGTCATCATGATTAATGAGACTGTGAAACCACGGAGTAGGGGTGATAAATCTCCAATTTTCGAGGTAAAAGATGACATACTGGTGATTGCACCAATGGATCCGGTATCATAGCCATTGAGGAAACCACCCAGGGAAATAAGAGATGCAAAGATGGTGTAGCCTTTGGGTTTTGATATGGTGATGGGTTTAAGTGAGAACATCGGGACAGATCAATGTTGACTGACAAATTGGATGAAAGTTTTGATGAGAAATGAAATGAAAAGAAAATTGAACAATTGCTCCTTTTTAAGGCATCATCAGATGTAAGAGTTTGGAATATTATTTCGCTGACGTTGCATTAAAACCGGCGATCATATCGACACGCCCTTCACTCGTCGCGCCCTGCACTTGTCTTGTCAAGGCATGTAAGATTTGACATATGATCGACAAAGAATATCCAATCTCGTCATTTGCCATGATTTCGCTGCTGCCTTTATTAAATCAGCGTAATGTACTCTGATAACATTGTTCCACTTACTATTAGCAAATATACAACCTAATCAGAAGAGCGAATGTAAATTAAAGTCAGAAGAGGAAAAGAACAAGAATACTTTCGTACTGTAATCATCATCCGAACCTTGGGAGAAAACCAACCACAGGCTGCCTTTCCGTGAGCTGGGCTGCGAATAGTTGATATCGATGAAGGAGATAGAAGATGCACATTCCAGACCCAATGTGCGGATTGAGAATACGACGTGTTTCTAAATTTAATACTTGGAAAAGAGCGCGCGAAACTCCCCTCGCGCGAACTGCACTGAGTACTACTTGTTCATTATTGCTCCCACCTGAACAGAAGGTTCATCATGTGTGTAACAGAGCCATGATCTAGTTAGACTTGTTAGTAATTTAGGTTGAATGGAATTGCTATTAGGCATCAAGTTTCTAGGGGATTCGTTATTAAAATCCGATGTCCCTGATTGATGGTTGTTGTTGCTCAACCCACCAGGCCGCGTAGACCACAACCGACATCTTAATGATTCAACTACTCCTCTCAAATCTATATGAGATGTTTCACATCCAGATTTTCTTTCGACACTGGTGAATTTAGTTCATTATTTTATTATAACATTTAATCATTTACTTTTCCAATTATCAAGCTCACCGTATATCACTTCCGTGAAAAATGTCTACCGACCTCAAGATTCGTGCTAGTGACCTTCCAGACGGTACAGAGTCCTCGATGGACTTTCTTGATTCTTCATTTTTTCAAAATGATCGTGGCCAGTGTTTACCAACACCAGCAGAAATTCTCGCATTAGCTGGCAATGAGGCGAGGAAACCCCAACCTCCTCCTGTCATTTTCGAGCATTTGAATCTTCTTGTCAAATGGGGTCGTTACGTTACGGTAGCTGAAGCACAATGCCTTTGGATAATCCAAAAGGACCTTGGGGACGAAGTTCCTGTCCCGGAAACCTATGGCTGGAGAGTTGATGGGGATTATGTGTTTATATACATGGAATTAATACGAGGGGTCACATTGAAACACCAGTGGGATTTCATGGATGACTCTGACAAAACCATTGTTTGCGAACAGTTAAGCAAAGTAATATCATCGCTGCGGAGCGTGGAGCAAGATCCTCAGGATCCTTTCATCGGTATGTTATTAGAATACATGAAGACCTTAGCATCGTTCTCAATGTCTAACTTCTTTATAGGCTCCCTCAGTCGGGGTCATCTTTCAGATATCATAATTGAGAACCAACCTCCTGGCGGCCCATTTGCAATTATTGAACAATTCAACGAGTACTTTTCTTCACTACCCTGGTTTCGTTTTACACTTCCGAATAACTTCAAGGACCCTTGGAGAGAGTATCTACCAGATGACGGGTCGATTAAACTAACGCATGGGGACTTACATCGAGGCAATATCATCGTTTCTCCCACAACGCCGCCTCGTGTGCTTGCAATCATCGACTGGGCCCATTGTGGATGGTATCCTGATTATTGGGAATACTGCAAGGCAGCTAACACATGTTCGTATGATGGAGAATGGCGAAATAAATGGATCCCGACGTTCCTGACTCCACGGGTTGAGGTGCATAGAATTTTTGCCGAATATACACATGCGATGGGAGCTTTCTGAACTTGAATGCCTTTTCTGTATAGTAACTGATCTTTGGTTGAAGCTCTCAGTATTTTTGTCTGAATAAAGGCTGTCTAGAGTTAGTTCCTTTATCTTGAAGACGGGAAGGTTGGCGCAAACGCCGAATTTCGAGATGAGTTTTTTTGCATAATCAATTCATGGCATCCCAAGATTTGTATATTACTGCTATTTTCTCATGAATTAATCCTACAATTGCCTTTTCCAAGTTGAACGCACATTCTTTCAGCCCAAAAGTCGAGCTTTAGCCAAGTCATAACCCCCATTTCTTATTCATCAGTTAGCTGTATTAGCTTTGATAGCAAACATAATAAGCCGGTTGCTATTATTTGAGGGTGCCATTTTAAAAGGGCAAATATGAGGATCTAATATTGCTATGTTAGATTGAAAGAGACAGAAAAACGAGGACGCAAAGTGCGTGGCTTTTTGATCTTTATTTGCATGCCTTGCGTGTATATTAATATAGCAAAATTTGATATCTTTCAACCGACTTTCTGATAAATCAAGCAGTCATGTAAAATGAACCAGTACAATTAAGAGCACCGGGATATTCCTGAAAATCTGCAAATGTGAAGAGCGAAAAATCTCATGGCTCGCTACTCAACTTTTGCGAAGTGGATAATTGTTTTAGACGAAGTGAATATTTGATTCATTAATGCTATCTTATACACCAACGCCAGCTAATATACACCCCTCTAGTCTTTAACAGACTTCTAGTTGTATTGCATATAAGTGGCAGTGGAGTTAAACTTCAAGTTACCCTTGATGACCTTGTCAACTGCGCTCAAGAAGTCCTTTTCTGTCGCGACCTTTCTTCTAGCACGAATGGCAAACATTCCTGCTTCTGTGCAAACACTTCGAAGTTCAGCACCGGTAGAGTTAGGGCAAAGACGTGAAATCAATTCCCATCTAATGTCTCTCTCAACAGACATACTCTTGGCGTGGATTCTAAGAATGTTTGCTCGTCCCTCGAGATCTGGTAGCGAGAATTCGATCTTTCTATCGATACGTCCAGGTCTCATCAACGCGGGATCCAGGGTAGAAGGTCTGTTTGTAGCGAACATGACCTTGATGTTTCCTCTCGCGTCGAATCCATCAAGTTGGGTAATCAATTCCAACATGGTTCTTTGTACTTCGTTGTCTCCACCGGCACCATCATCGAAACGAGCCCCTCCGACTGCATCAATCTCATCGAAGAAAATGATACAAGCTTTCTTCGTCCTCGCCATTTCGAACAATTCACGAACCATTCTAGCACCCTCTCCGACATATTTCTGCACCAACTCACTACCAATAACTCGAATAAATGTAGCATCGGTTCTGTTGGCGACAGCTCTAGCGCAAAGTGTTTTTCCAGTTCCTGGAGGACCATAAAGTAAAGCACCTTTGGGTGGGTCGATACCAAGGTTGACAAATCGTTCTGGTGATAACAGTGGCATTTCGACGACTTCTCGTAGCTTTTCGACCTGTTCCTTGCAACCTCCAACATCACCATATGTAACATCAGGCTTCTCCTCAACTGTCATCATTGTAACGCTAGCATCGATCTTCGGAGGTAAGGGTAATAAGATTTGGTACTTGTTGCGGTCGACACTATTTGGGATATGATTAGCTTTTTAAATAATTGAGATCGCATTCCGCATACCCAACTCTCATTCCTTCCTCAATATCTGTAGGACTGACACGGTCGCCAAGGTTCACCACGAATTTCGCGATCTGCTTAACGTTGATGACATATTTGCTCTTTTCCGTATCCTTTTCGTCTTGAATAATCTTCGTACATCTTGCAACTTGTAAAGGTTGCTCTTCTGACATCCGTTGTCTATCTGCTGCTACATCCCACAAATGAGGTGGCGCCAATCCGGTATCTGATTCCTGTTGGAAGTTTAGGCCCTGCTTGTATATGCTACAAATGCTGATCTCCTACCTTTACGCCAATCTTCTCATTCACACTTGTTTGCTTCTCTTTGATCTGTTGTTCGAGTTTCTTTAGCGCGGCACCATATGGAGCTGCGCCATAGGTTTTTAGGACTTGAATATCTCTACGATTCGTTAAATACTGAAAGGATGCGATAATGCGATGACCTGGATAACCTTACTCATCTGATAAAGGTGTGATCTTCTTCTCCTCAACCTCGTCGTCGGCGAAGTCCTATGAATTTGTCAGGAGGAGGAGTCCTAGCAGCTTGGGTAATAATATATACCTTCTTGTAGTTCTCCCAGTTTTGCCCCTTTGCGCTGACCTTCGAGATTGTTAGTCAAATATATAAACTCCAGACAATACAATACGAACCATGATGAGAGCTGAGTGACGAAAGGTACGATGTTGTAAGGTTGTGTTTTAGCTGAAGATTTGATGGATGAAGCTTCGTGAAATTGGTCGTTTGCGTAGAGATTAAAAATTCAAGGGTAATGTAGTATCCTAACCCAAGTTCCTTTCAATGTGGTGGAGAAAATGTGGTTGTGAGAAGTTTAGTTTGTTGTGTTGATAATCCTCCCATAGCTCTTAGGTATCCAAAGGTACGTCGGCGTTGCTTGATAAGCTAGTCCAAGATAAGGTTAGCCGATTTTTCAAAATTCGAAATCTCAAGACAGACGCGCAGTAGCAGTAGAAACGCGACGACGTCACTTCTTAACATATTTTGAGATTAAACGTTCCAGATTTCCTATAGCCAATATCAGATACTTCAAGATGGCTCTTACACAATCAGCAGGAAATTCTACCAACAATGCCTTTAAGGTGGGACATTTAAGTAGCTTAGAGGGGTTGTTCAATATAGCTAATGTGGTCTATAGGACAAGGAAAAGCCTATGGCTGTTCGAAATGCCAACATTCTGGCTGCCAGAGGTGTGTTTGGAAAAGTTAAATCATGCGGAAGTAAAGCTGACAAAATACAGCTGTCGCAGATGCATGCAGAACCTCTCTCGGTCCCAGGGGAATGGACAAGATGATTCAAGACGGCAAAGGAGGAACACTTATCACAAACGATGGAAGCACCATGATGAAGAGCATGGCAGTTATGCATCCTTCTGCGAAGATGCTGGTCGACCTTTCAGCAGCACAAGATGTAGAGGCTGGAGACGGAACTACTTCAGTTGTGGTTATCTGTGGAAGTCTGTTGGGTGCTGCAGATAAATTACTAGGAAAGGGAATCCATCCTTCAGTTATTGCCGAATCTTTCCAGAGAGCTGCTGCAGCTTCAGTTCAAATTCTTCACGATATGTCGGTCCCAGTTGCTCTCAGCGACACCGCAACTCTTTTACAAGCCGCCAACACATCTCTTTCTTCCAAAATCGTTTCACAATACTCAAATCTTCTCGGCCCTATGGCAGTAAACGCTGTTACAAAGACAATCGATATTAAGACTGCAGAAAACGTGGATTTGAAGAACATCAGAATAGTCAAGAAGTCAGGAGGTACCATCGAAGATAGTGAGATGGTTGAGGGAGTTGTTTTGACTCAAGGTGTTTTAAAGAACGGAGGTGGACCTATTAGAATGGAGAAGGCAAAGATTGGACTTATTCAGTTTCAACTCAGTCCTCCAAAGCCTGATGTAAGCCATTTTGAGAAACTATGGATCGAGTGATGCTAACATATTTCAGATGGAAAATCAAATCGTTGTTAACGACTACCGACAAATGGATAAGATTTTGAAAGAAGAGCGAACATATTTGTTGAATTTAGTTAAAAAGATCAAGAAGGCGAAGTGTAACGTTTTGTTGGTATGTTATCTTATAGTTCTTTGCCGAGATGTCTTATTTAGCATAGGAATACTAACAACAACCTCTAGATCCAAAAGTCTATCCTCCGTGATGCTGTTAACGAACTCTCCCTCCACTTCCTCGCCAAACTCAACATCCTCTGTATCAAAGACATCGAGCGTGATGAAGTAGAATTCATCTGCAAATCCACCGGCTGCAAACCTATCGCCGACATTGACTCTTTCACCGAAGATAAACTCGGTTCAGCCGACCTCGTTGAGGAAGCCCAAACTTCCGGTTCCAGACTTGTCAAGATCACCGGTACAAAGAGCGCAGGCAAGACCGTTTCCATCGTCTGCCGTGGCGCCAACTCCCTCATTCTCGACGAAGCCGAGCGCAGTCTTCACGATGCTCTTTGCGTCGTTAGATGTTTAGTCAAAAAGAAGGCATTGATTGCCGGTGGAGGAGCTCCAGAGATCGAAATCGCATCGCAATTAGCACAACAAGCACGAGAATTAACCGGTACCGAAGCTATTTGCTGGAAGGCATTCGCTGACGCCATGGAGGTAATCCCCACCACTCTTGCCGAGAACGCCGGTCTCAACAGCATCAAAGTCGTCACCGAATTGCGCCACAAACATGCAAACGGAGAGAAGAATGCAGGTGTCAGTATCAAGAGTGGAGGTGTCAAGGTTGATATTGCGGATGAAAATGTATTGCAACCGCTTTTGGTCAGCACGAGCGCTATTGAATTGGCGGCTGAGACGGTGAAAATGATTTTACGTATTGATGATATCGCTTTATCCAGATAAAATGTCCGTATCTAAAGCAGAAATTTAAGGAAAAGTTGATGATTATGATATGAGATGTATATTAATGCATGGCGGCGAGTGGGATATCATTATAGAGATGGATATTTCGCTTAACCCCTTTTGGCATCAGCTCTAATGAATGAATCATGATTGTCCTGCGGAACAAATCCATGTTTACTGGTGCAAGTTTAAAAAGGACCTGAGCATGTGGCATTAAAGATGTTTGAATAATTATAAATCGTGAAATGAGGACAAATGTCCAAGTCTCTAAGCAGACAGCTTTGACTTGTGTTTCTGTTGTAATCAAAATACAGTGCAACTTTTTATTCGGTATTTACACTCATGGTCCCATTCATTCCATCCTAGGAATTATACAACCTTCTCTCATGGCTTCAGAGACTAAAAGGGTCTAAAGGGCCTCCAAGGGGCCTATCTATAACGATCAAACTCTAATTCCACTTCCTTTCTATATAATCCACCCGTTTTTCTTTCCCCTCCCACTTCCAAATCTATTTGACACCCACAACTACCAAATTCCTCGGACTCATCCCGTATTCAAAAACCCCCTCCACCCACGCATCCCTACACTCTCCCCTCTCCACCGCCTCTCGCAAAAACACATATCGATCAACTACAATCATCGACTCTATAACCCCAGCACTAAACGCCATTAGTGACCAAATGATACTGAGTTCTTTCTTCCTCGCCAAATATTGAGTTTCGTAAGCTTGGATTTCGGCATCGGTGATATGGCCGACTTTTTCTTGGACCATTGACGAGACATCGGAGCGGGGAACTTGTGGTTCCTCGGAAGAAGCGGGCGTTGAGGTAAGTTTTTGAATAGCGCCTCGCACGTAGCTGGTGAAGGATTCATAGCAGGATTTTCGGAGGGAACCGATTATGATGGGGGTTGTGGTGATGGGCTCCTCTTCTTTGTCGTCGCAACATTCTGTCGTGTTGCACTTTGTGGAAGTGGAAGTCCGTTTGTCGAGATGGTCGGAGGTGTCTAATGGGATGGCTTGTACGACGTCGTAATCTAGAAATAACTTTTGGAGTAAAGCGCGGTAGAAGTGGCGTGTGAAAAATGAATCGCTGTCTTTGGCGGTCCAGTTTGCAGGCGCTTGGACACCCATCATTCGAGATGTTATGTTGAGTGTGATGCCATGTTCGTTGTATGTTGATAGACGGTTAGACATGGGGAAACCGTGGGGATCTGATGTGGGGGCTGAAGTGGAAGAAGGGGGTGGGAGATTCAGAGCGCGGAGATTGGGACGGAGGAGAGGATGTTTGTAGGAAGGAGTGTTGAGTCGTTCGGAGAGTAGATTGTAACAGCAGCCTACGATGGCTATAGCGTGAACTGAAGGATTGAGGAGGAGAGAGCGGATTCCGTGATGTGAGAGGTTGCCGCAGGAATGGATGGATATAGCCATTAGATTTATTTCCGAGGGTATTGCTTCCGAGACGCGGGATATGATATCTTCCTTGGCAGGAGCGGCAGAACCGGGTTCGGAGATGATGTTGAGATCACCATCTGGGGCTGCAATCTTCAAATCCTCAATTTGTGACACCACATCTGATAAATCTCCATCTTCAACTCGATGTTCCACGTATTGAATATATCCCTTTCCAACAGCCGGGGTATATATCGTCTGTAAAGCCCTCGCCGGTCTTAAATCTGCCTCTTCATCTCTATCCACTTTCCCTACTGCTCTTTTAGTCTTCCCAACCTCTCCCATAATCTTCTCCCTAAAAACCTTCTTGTTTCTCATAACCTTTTCCCTCTCCGCCATCCCCGCCAAAATATCCATACTCTTCGCCCCCTCAATATTCCCCCCCTTACTTTCCACCGCCACAATCCATCTATTCCACGGTGGACTCGCCAACGTTCTCCCCAAATAATTCTGACCACTCCCAAAATCCACAAAATGAGTAATTTCCTTTCCACTTTCTTCCTTCACCTCATCTGCAACCCGCGTCACATAATCCGCAAAATTCGTCACCTCGTGTATTTTCTTCGGAATCATACCCACAGCCACATGTCTTGGTAATTTCCTAGCACTGAGATTCTTCTTCTCCACGCTTCGGATCAGAGAATGTTTCCGGATATTGAGGATATATGTGATGAGAGATTCTGGCGGCGGATTGGACGTATCACGTGCCAATGAAAGATCGTCCCGCATGAGCAAATCTAGAAAATCCATGGAGGGATAATCGAGTAACCAGGCGCGCCATTCTTCGGGGAGAATCTTATGATAGAGACTTGGCTCTCTGATGAAGAAGTCGAGAATATGAACGCCTCCGCATAGAGTTTGGAAAAGAGTAGAGGTGGTTGCAAAGTTTAGGAGTGAGTCGACGTATTCATCTGCGGTAGAAAAATCGTCTGAATAGGGAAGTGATTTTTCTGGAGGCATTGTAAGGTTTGATGAATACGTTTTTATTTGCTTTCTGATTTTTGCGGATTTTTTAAAGGAAGATTATATTAAACCTTGAATTTTTTTCATCATCTTTTTTTTCACAATGATACAAACACAGTGTGCGGCTAGTGTCAAAAATTCACGAGCCTCATCTTCCTTAACATTTTCCATTTCATAAACACATACTGTACATTATAATATCATTTCATCAATACATACGTATATATGTATATATCTACCTGGGCCTAGATATCTAATAAATCCCGAAATGTTATAATTCTAATTATCATCATAATCACAATCATCCTTATAATTATCGTTGTTTCATTCGTTATATCTTATAAATATTGATTAGAAATTATCGTATTAATCAGTGTTTGAAGGTCTCAAATCCAAATTTGACCTCTGACTACTAATTCTATTTTAAGCTAAGTAAGTGCATCTTGAATCATGATGGTACAGAATTATTATTAATAATTCAAAGACTTCTGGTATTTATCCAAAGATTTGTCCTGCCAAGGTAAGTCTAATTAATGAATGACATCTCAAAAAGCTTATTGTGTTAATCGGTACCAGACCTAAGGTTACTTCCCCCCCTCCCCCCCCCACATGGAAATCCGACCCTCTATTTGGTAGTCATTACTTCAAGTTGTGAACTCAATCACACAAATTCTAAGGTTATATACGCAGTAATTGGTGAGCTGCCATGAATCAAGATTCTGAACCTTCAAAAAATGGAACCTCCTCCACTACTCAGACTCCGTCATCTGGCAGCCGTCGACATGCCTGCGATCGTTGTCAGAGGCAAAAATTGAAGGTTTGTTCTAGTCTCGGATAAGTATCCGATCATGCTTCAGGGTGCTAGAAATTACATGCTAAAGACGTCTAGTGTGATATCGAAAAACCATGTCTATTATGCGTTCGCTCAGGGGCTTCATGTGTGACAACACCGTCTGGAGCTTCAAGGTATGTGCTATACAAGCTTATGGATGCTATGAAAGCTGACCAGAACGCTCGTTGAAAGAAAATCGAAGCAGACCCGGAGAAAAGCGGCTCGCAAAAGTACCACTGCCCCTAGTGCTTCGAGGACGCCCTTGGCCACCCACAAAGAATGGGACTCTGGACCGTCAAATTCGCGAACTAATGATTTCCTAGATCATACTCACCCCCCTAATGAAGAAGAAAAGGGTATATATTCAAGTTCAGCCGTTTCAAACTCACTGCATGACGATGACACAATATCTCAACAAACTACACCGTTTCCCGCGCCAGATAAGTATGCTGAAATGTCTACGATTGGACTTACAAGCAAGGTAAGTAAACACCATACCTGATAAGATGACCCTTTTGGTAACCTGTAAGATCTGACTGCTAAATATGGACAGCTTTTTCACATTCACAAGCAAGAATCAATCAACTCTTTGGTAGAAAGCTATAGTACAAATGCTATTCCAGGCGGAGACTTCGTAAATACCCAAAACAAAGATCGCCAGACGGTCGAGTCAGTTAGCTTAGACTCGCTTTTTCCAGGGTTTACCTTTCCACCAAGGCCAATTTGCGATTTTCTTGTAGAGTCCTACAAAAAGTCGGTGCATTGGTTCATGTTGCTTTTCCACGAAGCTTCGTTTGAAAGCGAGTACAGGGAGGTCATGGATAGTCAAGCGGCTAGTCCCCGTCAACTTGGAAGCGTTGTACTTTTTCTAATGGTATTTACTATGGGAGCGCGGTACACGACCAATGAAGAAGCTTTGGAAGCCTGTGGGACGAATCTGGACCTAGAAACGCTCCAGCAGCAAATGCTCAAAGAAGTTCAAGCACATCTTTTTGATGTTATCGATATCGGTGGAATTGAGTCGGTCCAGATTTGTGTTTTGCTAAGTTCATTCTACATGTACAATGGTAGACCAAACTTAGCTTTGGCTATTTTGGGAGCAGGGATAAGAAGCTCACAGGCAATTGGACTACACAAGGAGTCTTTGTGGGGACCCCTTACCGAGACTGTCAAGGAGGTTCGTCGCCGCACATGGTGGGCACTGTATGTTTATGATAGGTAAGTCTAGATTCTATATATCATTCATTCTCCGAATGTCGAAAGTCTTTTGTTACGTCGGAACTAAACCTTCTCTCAGGTTCTCGTCGATTACATACGGGCGGCCCTTATCCATCAACGATTCTGATTGTGATGTGCGCATGCCCGGTAATCTGGATGATGCCTCCAACGTTCATCCATTGTTGAATTCTCTAGAACTTGTGGATGCAAATTCTTCGACACAAGTTACCTTAAACTCGTACCATCGATTCAAATTTGCTTTGTATGCTATTGCAACTCCTATTATTGGTGACATTTATAATTTGAAAAACTCAAATCCCTCAAACATGGCACAACAGGCTATATCAATCAACACGAATCTTGTGAGGTGGTTTGACCAGCTGCCATCAGAACTAAAGCTAGATTCAAATACTGATCTCGACGTTAGCAATCTTTCAGCTTCTGAGGTCAATGTCTGCAGGTTATTCCAGCTACAAGCTCTTGTGTTACAGCTAGCATATGACAATATTCAAATAATTCTTCATCGGCCATTTCTTCGATACAATCATTGCTTGGCTGTACTTCCTACATCCGCTCCGTCTGATTTACGTCACACAAGCTTGGAACAATGCAGGCATTGTGCCAGACGAACGTGTAGCATTTCACCGCGTTACGCAAATCTTCTCCTAGCTGCTCGAGATACTCATGCCGTTGCATACGTCGCCATTCAGAATTTTACTGCAGGAGTCACATTAGGCATGGTGGCTCTATCAGACCCAGGTTCAGAGCAAGCACAGGATGCAAAAAGAGGGGTGTCGAATTCGATATCCCTTCAAAGAATGCTCGCGGTATCATCCATCGTTCCATTACAAACGGTGAAGGTTTTGGAGGAGCTTTTCCGGCTCATATTCAAAAGAGAAATGGAGATAATGCTCGAGGGTCCTCCACTAAATCTGGAGACCGGCAAAGTCGCTTCCAACTTTTCGCAGCACGAACAAGAAATCAACGAGTCGCCTCGTAATCTTGTGCAAAATAAGGCAACGCTATCCAAATCTCCATCATTGCAGACTTCGCAAGCCGTTGTGATGGACCCCTTACAAGTTTCCCGTGAAATTACAGACAAACAACCGCAAGTAGCGGAAATGAGGCCAGCGCAAGAGCTTGGTATTGGCATGGACTGGAACAATTGGTCTTTTGATGAAGGAATTGATAGTGCCCTAGAGTCGATCCAACAAGGTATTTTACACTCCACTTCAATAGCCTCCGCTATTTGCGAAATCTCTTATCCCAGCTGTCATTTTACTTTCAAGAAGGGAAGTCGTGCTGAGCTAACATTTTGACTCATAGTTCTCTGGCAAAATTCACATCCGGTGACAAGCTCAGAAACATTGTCTATGAATACCACTGGCTTATGTGGTAATACATGTGGGCCGCAAAGGCAGGTGGCGGTTGACGATTCTAAAGATCCGATCACTATCCCATCAGAAGAAGTTCAATCTTTCAACATAAATGAGACTTTAGGACAGAGTTCCTGCGATCTATATGGGCAGTGTTGGATGTGGAACTGGGATCCTTCTGATGGTGATAAGGGACCCAACTTCGGGTAAGTAAAGGCTTGCCTACCTGTCGGACGATTTAAAGAAAATTCAAACTCACAGCAAACGAACTATTGTAATCAAATATCCTATTTTCTTTTCGACGCTTTCGCATTTGTCATGTTAAGATCACTCGCATGAATTTGTTATTTTCGGAAGATTTTATTGTATCCTGGTATCGAGCCGTTGTATGAAGTACATATAATACAAGTGAGTAGGGATAATCCGCAGTAGTGACAGCGCGCGATGTTCGATGTTCTCTTTGGGAGTTATATTCTGTACAGCTCACCTCACGAACTGATCGACAAAATCTGCGCCCAACCCAACCTTTTCATAATGAGCTTTGGCGCTCGAAAGCTTCGAGAAAACATCCTCCACCCCCACCGGATTACCAGCAGGATCAACATAAATATAAGCGCCCGTAACATGAAACAGCGTAATCATCTCATCCACTCCCTCCGGCACTTCTAATGTATGAATATCCCCCGGTGGCTCAAAAGCATGGCTTCCTTCGGTCGCCCACCAATCGTGCTCCAGATAATGCCATTTTCCACGCAGCGTCGTCGCATGCACAGGACCGGAATGTCGATGTCGTGATAGAATCCCTGAGCGACGCACGCGTAGGATATTGACGAAATAGCCCTGGGAAACGCAGAGCACGAGCGGACGAAACCAGACGTTGGGGGCCTGTGGTACCCAGAGCTTCTCGTCGCAGTCGAAGGATAGCACGTTGGGGATTATGAGGTCCGAGGCGACGTGTGGGAGGGGCTCGCCTTGGTAGGGGATTGCTTCGGTGTCTGGGCGAGCGTGGGAGGTAGTCATGGTGTTTGAGGGGGTTTGTGGGCAGGTGGTTGGTTGGTTTTAGGGAATGCTTGATTTTTTGGTGAAAAGTTTGTTTGATTAACTCTGAATTTTAGTCTGCTATTTGATATATCAAAAGTATTCTACTCTATATAAATTCCCTGGAGAAACCCCTGCATCTGATCTCATATTTGAGCAGGTTTTACTCTGTAAAGTGATCTTCGCTACCCGGTGGAGACTAGCCACTAGACCTTCCACCGGACTCCATACTGAACTAGCCGAGAAGAATATCGAGGCTCACCATATAAACTTACTGCTATCGCTCTTTTCGACATCGATATTGATCTCTTGGATAGTTAGAAATGTGATTTGTTCCATAGATTAATTATGTTCTAAACAACTTTTACATGGAACTCGAAGCAGGAGACGCCGAGTCTGATGTAAGAGAAAATATTTTGTCAGTACTTCTCTCCCTTGAAGACACCTCGTCGGAAAAGTTGGAAAACTAGGTATGCATATGTATCTGGGTATGATATGTGTGATTTTCTACTTATATATTCGTGATACTGTATTTCTGGTATGATGGAGAATTTGATGGCTTATAAATTATGTATGTCACTGTGTTGTTATTTTAAATACATTTTGATATTTGATATTTCTGTAGATGGATTCAACTAGTTTTCTATGGGTGAGAGGCTCGTCAGAATGTTCGGGATTTTGGGGACGGGGATACACGTATGTCACAGTTGTTGATTTGTATATTGTATATAAAGTGCACGAATTAAGATGTGTTCGATGAATATTCAGCAAAAATATACTTCAAAATATTATCCATCTATCCTTAATCTATCCGTTGCCCTTCTTTATATAATAGCTATTCATCTACTACCACAATACTCAAAAACTCCCACCCAGCCAATTCTATCAACTCCAATAAAACCATTCCTCCTACAACTTACAACGACGCCGCAATCGTGGTCTCGAAATCTTCCGGCTCCCGTCCCAATAATTCCCTCAACAAAGGTGACACAACCGCCGCCTCGCCTCTGCGGAACGCTTCAAACGCCGTCGTCCAAAGCATCGAATGATCAAATCCATGGTATGTGAAATTTGGCGAAACCTGGGGCTGCTTTGCGAACTCTTCATTAGAAACCTGACGGATGCGCACATCTTTCTTTGCAAGTTTTGCAAGAATCTCCACCGTCTCCTGCAACGTGAGGATTTTCGCTCCGGAAAGAAGAACCGTTTGAAGACGGTACTTGAATCCCGCGGGATCCTTCACAAAACGAGCGAGAAGCTCTGCAGTGCCCTCACCGAGCTCCTCACGTTTGACCCATGCGATTCCCGGTGCGGCTCCATCGTGCGGAATACAGATCTCCTCGACGGGATTCTTGGGGTCGAAAAATGAGGTATAGAGAGGGTAGGATTCGGAATAGAGTCCCTCGCGCACAATCGTGTATGCGAAACCGGGATGGGTGCGCGTGCAATTTTCGAGGTATTTTTCGGTGTCCAAGTGAGCGCGCATGACGTGGGCGACGGATTCTTGGCTGCTTTCTTTGCCGGCAAATCCTAGAGAGCCGTAGAAGATGTATTTGACGCCGCTGCGGAGCGCGAAATCGATGGCGGTGCGGTGACGCTAGGATTCGTTAGTATTGGCTGGGCTCTGAGATGGAAATGGATTGGAGGGAATGGATCGCCCACCAACCTGGGAAGCTTACCTCTGCTCGATGTTCATATTCTACTGATGCGTAGGAAATGAGAAAGAGAGTATCGATTCCTTGGAATGCATTCTTTAGGGAATTATCATCGTCATAGTTCGCCTGACGAACATCCGCGCCGGCAGATTTAGCAGACTCTAGTTTTGCGGGATCGCGCGCGATGAAAACTAGATCTTGGGCTGGGAGACGGGGAAGCAGATGCTTGACTGTGCTACCTCCAATGCCACCTGAGGCAGGGAAAACACCAACTTTGTGACCAGACATCACGAGAATGTTCTTGAAGTTGACGGTTTGGGATGATTTGAAGTAGTAGATTTTAAGAAAGTAGGAGATCAAGGAAATGGAATGGAATTGATTGATTGATTTCTGGATTTGAAGTTAGCAGATGAGCTGTAGTTATAACTTATATCTCTTTAGCAAAGAATAGGGTTGGTCATCTGAATTCGGAGTGCTTTGAAATCAGATGTTGGAGGGAAAAATTCGACTGATGGAGAGAAAATTAAAGAAGTCAAACTACTACTTACTTTACGTCATGTCAATTTGATTGTGGGGTATCTGATAGAACAAAAAGTCTGTATCATCTGTATTATACACTCCACGAAGACATTAAATTAGATTTTTCCTATTAAACAACCAAGTATTACACAGCAAGTGAACCCCTAGGGCTAACTATGCTCTGTGAGGAATCCAAGCTGAAATAAACGTTGGACATGAGGAAAATAAAGTTAGCTGCCAAGCTATAGCTTAGAAGCTAGAGTTATGTTGTCCCGTTGGCTGAAGCTTTCTCTACAGATGTGTGAACTTGCATGTTTCTCCAAACCTTCAAATTTTCATCAAAGTAAGCGAGTGAGGTTTCTCCTGTCTTCCTCCTTCGCTTTCCCCTTTTTTAGCGACCTTTAAGATTCTGAGACTTGGATGTCTTTGAAGGCTGAGAACCTACCAATAACGAGTATAGCTTCGCCTCCATGCGTACTGAATGTAAGTATGTTATGTTCTGCTCTATTCTATTCTGTACCCATCACACAACTGTCGACTAAAAAGCGGGGGGAACGAGGGGCAAAAAGGACGAACGATTATTAAGCAAATGATTCGACACCTAGCCCAGAACCTACCCGATACAAATCCGTGCTAGTGACCGAACATCCAATCCCGTTATTCGTCCCGTCCCCATACCACACCCGTCTTTGTCATTGGGATTGTAGATGTTGATAGGTATACCGGTGTGAGATAAACTTTGCACAACTTCCACACTATACTTCTTCATGTCAAATCATCAAAGATCTTCGAGCTATCATCTTAGCCCACCGGAAGTAAATATTGGCACTTTGCCCCACATCGTTAGTTCTACATTTAAGTAGCTAAGCAGTCGGAAGTCCGGTGGACCTCCACATTTCAACAAGAAGCTATCTGTATACCTACCACAGTAAGGTACTGATATCACATAATATAATGAAATTTGAAGAAGGGAGTCTTTTTCGTCCGGCTTATAAATACAATTCCATGCAAGACAACACAAGACAGCACAGAAATTCATAACTAAGGTACCAAGCTTACTAACTGTGAAGTTTTGATCGTGGATACTGGAGTCTGATACTATCATCGATGGTCTGTCATTGAGACGATGGTATGATATGATATGATGCTAACTCGCTACTAGTAGTCGTGGCTATCCATCCGTTTCTTCTATGATAAGTTACAAGGTATGACGCAACCCAGTGTTAGCTTGAGTACCTTCTCCAGTAAGAGAGTTTCGATTCTATCTACCTATTCTAACTCGTAGACGCCTTCGTTCCTACTGTAAAATTGATTGATTGATTAATAATACACTGCTTTATCGCCTAGTTCAATCGTAAATCCTAAAGCTTCAGAATTCATCCCCTTTTCTTGTAGATATAAAAGGGTTGACATTACGAGGTAGAAGAGAGATCAGTGTTTTGTATCTTTTATCCGTCTATAAGGTTCAGAGCAACTTCTCAATTCTCTCATAAAGTTCTTGTTCCAAGCATCGTAACATAAGGTCCATTCACCTGCTACAAATCGACCAATAAAATGGCTCCAACACGATTCGCCAATGTCGACGACGAGTCATCTATCATAACAATAGTGAACGAGCCTTCACCAGATGTTAGTGATACCCCTCTCCAAATCTTCAATTTCTGAAAGTATTAACTTTACACAGGTTCCCTATTTCACACCCAAGCAAGATCCAGTTTCAGGCACAGCCATTGCGACAAAGACTGATGGACAAGAAATCCCACCTCTTTTCACCCCCTTGAAAATCAGAGGTGTAGAGCTCCAGAATCGTATTCTGGTACGTGTTTCCTGTTCTATTACTACAAATCCAAATCCAACTCATCACCTCCTCATATCACCATAACTAACAACCCAAAAGCTCTCGCCCCTCTGTCAGTACTCTGCCGAAGACGGCCACCAAACCGACTGGCACTTGGCGCATCTGGGCGGTATCATATCACGTGGCCCAGGGCTTTCCTTCATCGAAGCCACTGCCGTTGTGCCCGAAGGACGCATTACGCCCGAGGATTGCGGGCTCTGGAAAGATTCTCAAATCGCACCTCTGAGACGCATTGTACAATTTGCGCATAGTCAGGGCCAGAAGATTGGTATCCAACTTGCTCATGCTGGACGAAAAGCAAGTACCGTGGCCCCGTGGTTGAGTATGTCGCGTGGCCCGGCTGCAAAGACGAATGTATGTTTATATGACTTGTCTATGATGTTTAGGAGAAAGAAATGCTGATTTGAAAAGGTGAATGGATATGAAAATGAGGGATTTACACCGGTAAGAATATTGAAACTCAATGGGCCAACTCGAATGAATGTGAATAACTGACTTACTTGACATCATCAGGCTCATGGATGGCCAGACAATGTGATGGCACCTAGTGCCATCGCTTACAAGGACAAGAATATTATTCCTCACGAGATGACCCGCGATGATATCAAGTCACTGGTCAACGCATTTGGAGACGCAACCAAGCGAGCCATTGAAGCCGGCTTCGACGTAAGTTCCCAACCCCCTCGTCGTGAAATTCAGAGACAATCAGTTAACAAAAACGAATACACACAGTCCATAGAAATTCACGGGGCACACGGCTACCTCCTCCACCAATTTACCTCCCCAGCAACCAACAAGCGCACCGATGACTACGGCGGCAGTTTCGAGAACCGCATCCGTCTCTCCCTCGAAATCGTAGATACCGTTCGCCAAATCATGCCCAAGGAAATGCCCCTCTTCTTTCGCGTCAGCGCAACAGAATGGCTCGAACATCTTGCTCCCGAACCCAGCTGGGATATCCAAGAATCTATCAAACTAGCCAAGATCCTAGCCACTCGCGGTGTCGATGCCCTCGATGTATCCAGCGGTGGAAATGATCCCCGACAAAAGATCAACGGCGGCCCGGGATACCAGGCTCCATTCGCTCGCCAGATCAAATTGGCTGTAGGAGATAGTCTTTTGGTGGGAACAGTCGGATCCATCACCTCCGGTGTGCAAGCGAACGATTTGTTGAAGGATAATGGGCTGGATATGATTTTCATCGGCAGAATGTTCCAGAAGAACCCAGGTCTAGTCTGGACGTTTGCGGATGAGTTGGGTGTAGATATCAAAGTCGCAAACCAGATTCAATGGGGTTTTGGTGGACATCGCAGAAAGTGATCTATCAGAAGAAAGGAAAGTTAAAAAGTATAGAACAGTCAAGAGAAGGAATAGATGATTGGTAATCATCAATTTTGTTTATAGAGATAGAGAATTTCAATTAAATAGATTCAATACTTCTAATCAATTGTTTTTACTTGTGTTTGGTGATTTTATTGAAGGGCTGGTATGTATCTTCTCCTGGACCCCCCACCCCCCCTTTTCTTTTTTCTTTGCCCACCTAGTATGCATATGTACAACTATCAATGATATAACCATTATAAATACAAGGTTATACCATACCTATGTATTCCTTTTGTCTCAGCTATTCTCATCATTCTACACATGATAATCTCATACGTAATATCACTCTAAATCCCATCAGATATATTTCCAACATACAATCTCATCACTACTGACCTCAATCCCACAATTAACAAAGTAAATCATTCACATATTCTCACTTCACATCACCAGACACCCAAACCCAACAATACACCCACCTTACCAAGGTTATTCAACATTTCAATTTCTCTTGACCTACCTCAAAACCAAGCCAAAGTGTTACGAAAAGATCGATAAAAATGCATTCATTGTCTGTGGTATCCATCGCTCTAATATCCGCTCTTCAGGTTATCTTTTCTTACTGCATCTATTACAACCGTCCGATCTTAATATCAATCAACTCAAAAAAAAATCCTCCTAGTCTGCCATCCTGCCACCTTGCCCAACACTGATTTTGTCCCAGAACCAAACTCCTCCTCAGAGATACCATGCTATCTTTTACCCGACCAAATCTCTATTCCCAAAACCACTCTACTCAGCAAGTACACCTCTTAGCATGCTCAAGAATCCCTCCTTCAACTTATACACCTCAGCCACTTCTGGCTTAGCAGGTTCACCCGCAGTTCTCCTTAAATGATCCTGTTTCCTTGCTCTCCTCTTTCTTTCAGCAGCAATGGGGTCCAACTCATCATCTTCCTCATCCTCATCACTACTGTCTTCGTCTTCTCCATAGTTAATATCCTCGAGATCCCCTTCGTCCAATCCAAAATCAGTACTCTTGAAGGCTAGTGCGCCGGGTATCTGCTCTGGAGCACCTGTACCTTCTGCCGCCATCTTTTGTCTTGTTTTATCAGAATGCCACTTCTTGCGTGCTTCTTGCCAAGTAATCAATTGGTTTATTTCGTTGATAGCAACTTCTTTGTTTAGTTGATTTACGCTTACGGCACCTGTGACAAGAGCATTGATGTCAAGTTTCCCACCCTTAGGACCTTGACGGAGAAACTCGAGGATTCCCTCGATCCAACCCATTAATTGAGTAAAGAGTCCATTATCATGTGTATGTACTTCATGAACGAATTTGTAAAAATTGTGCTCGTGTCGCTGGCATAAATCGATAAATGCTTGAACTGTCTGATTAGGGTCTGCTGAGAAATCTTGCTCTCGGCACTTTTCAACAACCTGTTTTGTATACCGTTAGTTGTTTTGGTCTATCGATGGAATAGAATCACACTCACTTTGATCGTATCCTCAATGAACTCGGCAAAATCAGTGACACTGTCGTACACATTTGCTGATTTATATACTCGTACCAAAGGCTCATAGAAGATTGTGAACAAGTCGCGAAGAAGGCGTAATGTAACCGGCTCCTCAATCATGTTTAGCATCATAGCCTTATCTCGCTGTCTCGTGTACAATTTGAGGAGTTGTTTCAAGTATGAGAATAACTGTGCTCCTTGCTTCATCTCTTCATCAACGTTCTCCACAGCATTATTCCAAGCAACATAAGCGTTGTATATCTTGCCGATTTGAGCCGAGTTCAGGGGCGGTTCGATATCTTCTGACCTTAGGATGGAGACAATCAAGTCCACGCCACTCTCTTCTGCATCAGCTCTTATGACATTCTTGAAATCTTCAGGACTGTCAGAAAACTTCTTCAATTTTTCACAAAAGACAGGCTCATTGATCTTGTTTTGGAGGCCATCGATAGACTTTTGGAAACTTCGGATCCCATCATTTAAGGTCAAAGAAAAGATCCTTTGCATGAGCGATCTCGTTCCGAAAGGTTGAGCTAGGAAGATGTCTAATATGCTAGACATAACAGCCGCTGGATTAGCTATTCGAATTGCATTCTTGATAATTGTGTATGGTATCATTGAGTGAATCTTTTTAGCTTGCGCGAATAATTCCGGAGAGTTGTCTTCTGCTAGGAATAAATGATAAAGAGTCGCTGCTACTTCAATTCGTAGCCATTCCGCAAATTTCTGGTATTGAATGCTAAGATCTTGAATGGTTGGCTTATCCTTAATTTCTTTAAATAACTTGGTAAGACCATTGCTTTCCACAATGTCGCGGCGGAATCTAAATTATTTAGTGGATGTATGAACAGATTCTCAAACGGGGATACGTACTCTTCCATGTAGATGTCTAGTTCAGCGGCGCGCTTCCTGGCTATTTCATAAAACTGTTGTTGCTCTACAACCCTCTTTTCGTCCATCAGCCTTCTTCTCTCAACATCCTCTACATCATCATCGGTTAGTTTGATAGGTTGTTGTGAAAGGAAATCTTGCATCGCTCGGGTTCCAGCAATTTGAGGATTGGCAAGAAGGCCACGGAGGAATGCTCTCAAGGATATGCGTTGATTTTCTCGCCATAGAGTTATGCCCTGAGAAAAATTAGCTCGTGTTATTATAATCTATCAGCAAAACTGACATCTGAGTCTGCAACAGGAGTTGAAGGTTTGAGAAGCCTATCAACTGATGGCCGTGGGGACGATGTTGATGGTCTCGGAGATGACTTTCCGAATGATGCCGCTGATCCAGAGCGACGATGATCTGATAAAATTAGTTGTGATACATCGAAACTTGGAAAAAAAATTGTGAACTAACCACGGACAGACAAGTTCTTCATGCCAGATTCGGCGCCCATAGCCCCCATTGTCGAGACCGAGGAGATTGAAGACGCATCGGAATCTTTGCCACCCGTAAGACCACTAATCAGGTTCGATGCAGTTGAACTCTCCTTGTTTTTCCGAGGCATTGGTGGAAGGACTTTGCCAGGAAGTTCTGTTCGTAGCCTCTTGTGAAGTCTACTAAAGTCACCATATCGGCGTCCGATGAAATATGGGATTTCCCCCTTCTTCTTGACTCGGAGAACGAATTCCTAAAGCGGTATAAGTAGTTGTTCCACAAGTTACAGCCATGATCAACTCACGGCATGTTTGTGGTATCTGATGTTTCGTTTGACTTTTGTCGTTCTCACACCCGCCACATTTACATCCCAACCATGCAAATAATGGCCTTCTGGCAAAGTCGAAAGAACACCATGCTCGATAGCACCTGCATCGACCACTTCGAGTTCAGAGAACCTAATTCGCTCCTCGTATCCTGAAGCCGTAGGTATACCAGATACCATCATCAACTCCACTAGCTTCTGACATTTCAGTGATAGCTTTCTGCGCTTTGTTTCTTCGAGCCTATCTTCGGATGACGAGATGTGTTTCTCAGCGAACGATTGTAGAAACTTGCATAGCAAGTTCATTAGACGTGTTTCCTCAAAGATCCAGAGACTTTCTCTAACTCACCACTTGTAATTTATCCTGCCAGAACTCCTTCTCCTTCGCCTTATCCAAAAATGGAAACTCGCGAACATGATGTACAAATATGTATCTGAGAATCGGTAGCTCGGAATCTAGAGGAGATACTTCCCCGCGATCGGATTTGAATGGGGCGCCGAATCTCTGTAATGCTGTGGGAGAATTCAATTCGGTGATTTCAAATTTCACTTGTTGCGAGAGTAATTCGCGCTTTAAATCTGTAAAGAATGAGTCAGTGTCTATGCCAAAAAAGAAGGTATAGTTGCCGAATACATACAATGTTCTTGCTTTCCAGTAAGTGCTTGTCCTTTGTCATCTCCAAAGACGCTTCTTGTGGGCGACAGTATGGCACCATTTGCTGCCATCTTGGAGGGAGAGGACGGAGGAATAATGGGATTTCTTCCCTCAATCTTATTTTCGTCGTTCATCGAACTGTTATTTTGAGTATTTTGAAGTATGTTTATGAAGAAGATTGCGCGACTTCTAGATTCTTGCGATGTTGTTGCAGGCTGAGGGATTTCAATGTTCCAAGTTGTTTTAAGTTTTGAGGTCGGATGCGATGGGCTATGCAGTGCGTAAAGAAGCTTATGGCGCAGCGGGGTAGCTCATAAAATGATGCTTTTCTTCTGGTAACCTTAACAGATGCTCTTGCATCAAGGATAAATAGATTGGTATGTCACCACCACGAACGGTTCTAAAAATAACTGATGATCAAATACTCGTAGAAGTCAAATCACAAACACTGTCTTACTTGACATTCACACCAGAAGGAAATACTCAGGCATTATATACCATGTATTGGAATTTTGGAATCTCTTGACAATTACAATACAGGGATATATGATGGGTGGCTTAGGGAAATGACGACTGATGTCTATTGTGTGCCGGTCTACGGCCCACGGCACCATGTCACCATTCTAGAATCCAAAGTGTTAAATAGATTCCAAGGTTGGTAAATGTAAAGCCTTTGATTATATATATCATTGGTCATGAACCTTGCATAATCGACTCGGCATTCACCCGTCTATCCATCTACCTAGTATCTACAGACGCGAACCCCCAAGACTACCTGTGAATACATATGAATGTCACTCCTAATGCGTACGGTTAATGTGTATGATATGCAGTGTAATGTTCAACGATGCTAAGAAGAAGATGGGTGAGTATATGGATTGGGGTGTTGGTTTCGACCTTTACCAGCATCCGCTTCTCGGCATGTCAATATTATAAGTCATGGGACCGTCGACCCACTGATTTTTGGGTCCCGTAAGGCGTAGTATACTCGGAAAAGTGGTACTATTCATACTTAGACTCGAGCTGAGAGGTGTAAGCCCTGTGTGTACATTTTCGTACCAATAAATTATAACTCGTCGAGTACTTTAAGTCTTGGGTCCTCTGCCAACTTCTCTGCTTCCTTGTTGACTTCACTTCCAGGTGTTGAACTCTCCAATATATCGAGAGTAGGCTTCAGCATATTTCTGGTCTCATTTTGGGCCTTTTCCAACTCTCTCAGCGCGGTCGGATTAGAGATGTTGAATCTTACAGCCCCATGACCTTGCCCTTTTGAGGGAATATATGCCAAAATGACAATGGATAGTAAAATGGTTGCGCATATCGACATCAAAATCCACATCATCTTGAGTCGTTTTCGTGTTTTGTCTTGCCATTCCTCCTCTGCTTGTTCCCAGCCTTTGACGCGCTTTCTAATAACGTCTACCCGTCCACTCAATGTGGTGACTGTATTTCGTCCTTCCTTCACACGTTTCTCCAATGCTTTGATCTTTTGTTCCTGTGCTTCGAATTCTTCGAATCCTTCTAGTTGTGCTCGACTTTCTTGAACAAGCTCTTCTCCCTCTGTACTAAAATCCTCATTCAACTGTCTAGTCATGGCTGCCAACTCTTTGAGGGATCCGATTGTCTTGTGAAGATCCCTAATTTCTCCAAGACGGAATAATATGTTGCATCTAAATGTCGGGAAGTATTGTCCGCCACAACGTTCACATCCGTTAAGGTATTTCGCAGTTCCCTAATCCAGCGCATTAGTATCCGAGAGTAGAGGTGGTAAGTAAGACAAACGTGGCCATCATGGCGCCCTTCAGTTTCTCAGCTTCGAGTTCGCCCTCCCTTAGAGGCCTTCTCTCGTTGTTCTTAAACAAATCGAAGCCATCTACAGTAGAACCCAAGATACTAGGCCTTCGACTTCCATTCCGGCTCCCATCAGGTGAAACTCCTTCACTTTTGGATTCTCCCGATGGACTGAGAACCCTCTGCAAAGTAGATTGAGACGATTTCTCGTCTTTGTCTCGACGATGTATATGTGGATGGTGATGATGCTGGTGGTGGTGGTGAGATCGGTGAGGTTTCAGGGGAGGAGATGATACCTCAGATACCGACCGTGTGACTTGATGACGAGATTTATTTGGAGAAACATATTTGGATCCATCACCGTTGGAAGACATGACTCTTTTAGTTTGTGATCAGATGTTGTTCCGTTTCATATTGAGGTTCCGATGAATGCATGTGCTATGAAGCTTGTATGGTGGGATTTAATGACCATTGATGCAACTATAGGGGCGGCCGTTAGCACATCGCTGTACAAATTCGTTCATGAATGGTACTAGATATCAGGTATGTAGGTGTGTTAAAAGTACGAGTTAATAAATCAATTTAGAAGATGTAATGGAAGATTGAATCCTTTGGTTATTTCTGATATTATTTATCATGTATTTGAAAAAGCTAATATACCCAACCCAAGGTCCTTACTCCTGATCGAATCTCGTTGAATCGTTGTCGAAGTTTCTGTTTCGGCAATATCATAACGTCCTCCAACTTCCAAGAAGCTTCGCTCAGTCCGGGTTGACTTCGTCCTCAGCGATAGGAGATAGTCCTCGTTGGTGCTGCTGTATCCGACTTCTGGTAGGCATATATCATGCCATCAATAGCTGAATATCGCTCGACGTGCTATATGTGACTTGCGCAAATCAACCACATCACCTATATCAACCGACTGCTTTCAATGTGTTCCAAGTTATTCCATGCGCCATGCTCCGTCCCAGAAGATTGTCTATCATGACTTCAACATCTTGTTTCTCTTCTCTCTTCTCTTTAATCTGTCAACGCGCTTCTGGTGCATCTTTTCGGCCATTTTCTCGTATCGTTCTCTTTCCTCCTTGTTGGCGCGCTTTTCCTTGATTTTTGAAATATGGGCCTGTGATAATGATTAGACATGATCCAGATAGAGCTGAAATGGCGCTGACCTGTCTTGCAGCTTCTTTCTCCTCCTTCATCTCCTTTTCTTTGGCCTTAGTAGCTGCTATAGCCTCATCATTTGCCTTTCTCTTTTCATATGAGGTATTTCCAGCCTTTGGTCGGAAAGCTTTCTTCACGGGGTGCCATTGTTTGCCTACGCATATTGAGTCAGAGACTTGATGCTCGGGAAGGCATTGAGAACTATCAATTGGAGCGCATGCATACCATTCTTGCGCATTCCTTGTGGAAGGACGGTCGACTCAGCTGCAGGAGCGGTAGGGGCCACTTCTGTTGACATTTTGATAGAAGGAATATTAATCAAATATTGGGCAATGATCTGAATATCCGTATGTGAGGATAGAGGTTGAGGGATTTAATTTTTGGGCGTTATGGATCGTCGTACACCAAATTAATTGTCGACAGGAATTCCAAATTCCAAGCACATAAATTACGATGCAGGAACTTTTTTTTCTCGTTAGCCATACTGATAAGCGTGATTGATTGCTTATCAGTCGCATGCATCAATATTTTAACCTTACTAGGTATATAATTTATTATACTAGAGTGACTAAAACGCATCTGGACTCGTCTCTTTCTTCCCAAATTCTTTGAGCCATTTTTTTCGTTATTGCCTACGGTAGGTAGGTAGGTAGGTAGGTAGGTAGTCAGTCCACCGGCATCTCAAATCAATTTATGATGATTGTTGTCATCGTTATTGTTCAATGTTCTATTAATAATACGTTGCCTACATATGTAATGTATATAAAACTATATAAAACTACATAAAACTATATAATTAACGCAATCCTTTAGACTCGCCTCAAATCTCTTCATCAGATTGTATTATCCATCCTTTTCATCATCATGACTATCATGACTATCATGACTACCAGTACCTCCTGATCTTGCCTTATTTATTGAATCCCCAGCTTTCTTGAAAACACAGGACGGGACCGACTGCCAACCTTGAAGAAAAAGTTGTTTAGATTGTGGAGACTTTCGCAGATTTTCAATCTGATAAAAAAATAGCTCCATCTTCCCCCCCACCTCACTTGAAAGTTGACAGCCCCTCCGAAGATGATACTACGATAATCGGACTTCACTTTCCTATCCACGACTTTCAAACCTTCGAAATAACTCCACTAGTACCACTCTCGAGCCACTACATATCTATCTTTTACCTTGGCACACCCAGTCTACACTCTCTACCATGTTCTTCTAGCCATGTGGTTGGCTTGGTTGGGATCAATTCTTCCTTCTTCGTTTGTGGGTCGCACTCTGATTTTATAATTATTACGAGTTCACGGCAATAAATTACGAGAGAGTAAGAGAGACCTGGGTGCAACCCATTGTTGGAGAGAAAATCTTGCCTACAGAAGACCGCAGATATCTTGCAAACAATCACGCAAATCAACTGTTTCCTTATCTTGCAACTGTTATTCATTTGCAGCGTGGGACAGCAACCTCATTATCCACCCGGCACACAAGGAATCCCAAATCTGCCGTGTCTCCTCAACTTATAAAGAGCCATTCAAAACCCCTTTCTCCTTTTCGAACTCAATTCTCGATAGAAGTGCAGAAAGTCGAACCCAAAGAATACACACATTGATACAACCAAATAACAGTTTATTACTCTACTGGAAACATCTTCCTTTACTTTCGCATAAGAGAACTACGATCCAGTCATAATGGCAGCAACTATGACAGCGGAATTCACTCCCGACACACCACAGAAAGTAGTATCCAAGGGAAAAGAGGCTCTAATGAATTCTGTTGAGGATTGCCTCTACGGTTCCGTATGTTACATCCACAAAAACTGAGCAAGGCAATTATTAACAAATGAGCAGATTGCCGGAGTGGCTGGAAAATATATCGAATATCCTTTTGACACAGTGAAAGTTCGATTGCAATCACAACCCTATCATCTTCCTTTGCGTTATACTGGACCTCTTGATTGTTTTAAACAATCAATTCGCAGCGATGGGTTCTTAGGATTATACAGGGGCATCAGTGCTCCACTGGTTGGTGCTGCTCTAGAGACTAGCAGTCTTTTTGTTTGGGAACAAGCAAGTAGAGAAGCACTTCTCAAGGCTGGAGTATACAAAAGAGATCAACCACTTCCCCTGGAGGCATTGTGGATGACTGGTGCACTATCCGGTGCCCTTACTTCTTTAATCCTCACTCCTATTGAATTGGTCAAATGCAAAATACAAGTTCCGGCGACCGCACCAAATGGTTCAGTTCCCGTCGCTGCAAAAACAGTCTCATCAGTTATTCGCGAAGTCTGGCACCACCAAGGTATTCGCGGTTTTTGGAATGGGCAGCTAGGCACTTTAATCCGTGAAACGGGTGGATGCGCCGCCTGGTTCGGTAGCAAAGAGACTGTTTCTTCTCTTTTTCGAAAGCTGAACGCTAAAAATAGCCCCCAAAGTTCTTCCTCGGTTCTATCTACTGAACTAGCACCATTGCCTTTCTGGCAACAAGCTCTCGCCGGTGCCTCCGCAGGCATGTCTTATAACTTTCTCTTCTTTCCCGCAGACACCATCAAATCTCGCATGCAAACCGCCTCTACTTCATCTACAGCACCACGCACTACATTCATGCAAGAAGGTGCTCTTCTCTGGAAAAAACATGGTCTGAAAGGCATGTATCGAGGTTGCGGTATCACGGTTATGCGATCGGCACCTAGCTCTGCATTCATATTCATGATTTATGATGGATTAAAGAGTCGCTTCCATCTTTCTTAATACTTATTCCCCATTTGATCACTTACGGCACGACGCGCATGTACATAGAATTGGAATCTTTGCCGCTTTCCACTGTGCATATCACATTTTACCATACAAGGTGGGCGGATATACAAAACTCGAACTCGGGTCTCGTTTTTTGGCTTTCGGTTATGAAAATCTTGAAATTTTATTGGGGGCAGGCGTTGGGGAGGCGTTCAGGGATGTTATATCATAGATCTGTATAGTCGTTCGGTTGACTCGGAAAGGAGGGGTAGGGGTGAGAGTGAGATGAGCAGAGCTCAGGTGAATCCCTGATCAGCAAGAAGGATTCAAAGCTATTGTGTCGAGTTGGAAAAGCTCGAGACTGGAGCAAGTCAACTTTTGAGCGTTGCATTTTATATATTTATCATAGACGGGATTGGATGAGGTAGCATGGAGTAATGTGGGATTATAGAATTTAGAAATTAGAAGTTGTTTTGAGAATGAAGTGTCTTGTTTTGTTCAGATTGGATTTCCCTTTGTGTGTTTGGTTTGGTTTGGTGTTATTTGTTAAACTGGTAAGTGGGCATGGTGTGCTTAGATGGATGACGGGTATGGTTAGATGCTGGGTATATTTAGATGCTAGAGCAAGTGTATATCTATATGTATTAGAAGTACTAAATGAGATGTGTGTACATGGTAGAAAATACATGTATGTATATACAGATGGTCGCGCCACAAAATAGATGTACATGCGTCAATTATGATTATCACAGATAGAGTATATAGATACCCAAATAGGTAGCGGAAGGGCGTGAGATGACATCCCTGATTCATAGGTTGCCTAGCACTTTTTGTGTTCTTTACCAGACGAGGTGAAGTTTAACGTTATGAGATATGTATTGGTACATCCGCTTCTGTGTGTTCAGAAGCATGGAGTATATAGTAATTCATTCATGATTAAAAGCTATGGTATATTATCTGAAGACAATTAACTCAACGCAGTGCGAAAATCTGCGTGGAGTAATAGACTGGGAACTTGTTCGTTCATAAGATGATCGATCCTCCGAGAAGATGAAGGACTTTGGATTCGCCGCCGCGTGTGAGTTTGTAACGCGTGCTTTGTGCAAATTCGTTCTCGGCTTGCTGGCACCTCTTACTCTTCCTTCTCATCAACATACTTTGTTCCCTTGCCCTTGGGACTCTTCTCGACTTCCTTATCGCTGATGTTCCAATCGTTCAGATATCCGACGCCGGCGCTGAGGTATGTGGCGAATCCGAGCCAGCCGACGTAGGGAGCGAGGGCCCAGGCGGCGACGGAGTCGACTTGCCCCCAGATGTAGGTGAGGTAGGAGACGGTTCCGGTGAGGGCGACGATGTCGACGGTAGCGAGGATGGGACGTTTGAGGGAGAAGAAGAGGGGCATCCAGATTAGGTTGAGGCCGAGTCTGTGGGTGAGGGGAGTTAGTGGGGATTTGCTGGGAAAACTTGTGTGCGGGGGATTGGGAATTGGGAATTGGGGATTGAGAGTTGGGAAGTGGTGCAGGAGGGTGTGTTCGTGAGGAATTGTGGGAGCTTCGCTTACTGGATGGTGTAGAGTGTAGCACCTTGTTTGAAGAGGAGATGTTTTTCAGTAGATGCCAGAGGAGATAATCCGGTAGAGTATGCGCGGTAGGCGGAGTATCCCATCAGACCGTAGAGGAGAGTCCAGGCTGGACCGAAGACGTAGGGAGGTGGACGGTAAGGGGGTTGTTTGAGTGCCATGTAGGTTTTTTGAGTTTCTTTTGCTGGGAGGGGTGTTAGTGATTTGTTTCGGGGTGGTAACTTGCTTTGTGTTGTATGTCATCTAGTCGAGGATGTATGAGGAACAGAGATTCATGATGTATGATCTCGTCGTAGATGAATAAACAATGAAATGGCAAAAGATCAATACTTACGTCGAACTGCGAAACCAATAGCGGATCCAAGAGTAATTGGTAAGAGAACCGAAGCCGTTGGATTGGCAAATATGGCTGCCGGCAGCGTTAAGCTGGGAACGAAGGTCGTCATGATGGATGAACGGAGTAAATTTCTGATTGATGATGGGGTTGTTGATGGCGGCGTGAAAAGAAGTCTTGAGTAGAAGTTGAGCGTACGTTGTCTTTATATCCTTTTCTGGTGGAGAAATCAGTTCATCCCCTCAATGACGTACTCCTCGTGTTATGCGAAAGCAGTAAAAGTATGTGGAGTGAGAAAGTTGAGAAACCTCGGTTTGTGTGGTGGGAAAGGATTGGGAAGGGGAATTGATATGATTGCATGGAGGAATTACGAGTTATTTACTGAAGTTATTCACGGATTCTTTTATAGGGTAACAAGATATCTTATGATATGAATGTTGTGTGTGTATCTACTTATGTTGGGATCTTCTCATATGCTTCAATATACATGATTTGAGAAATACGATCGTAATTACTTACGTGTGTGGTGATCTAGAGATCTCCCTCCCTACCTGGCTCGAGCCTGGGTACCTACCTCATACCTAGCTTGATGAGTTCAATCAATAGAACTGCATTTGGCTGTGTTCGGGAATTGGATAGATTTGATTGGCTCTTGAATATGCCCTGCTTCACATCCTTGTCGCTCTCAATAACCCATTTTAATGATTGGCTGGAACGTGGATTATGGGTAATGTGGAGTAGATTGAGTCA